TTCGCCCTTCGCGGTGTCTCGTGATGTGTTTATGGCTGCGGCTGTGCTTTCCCTCGGAAATCACTGCCGCCCTACTTGAATCGCTTTCTGGGGGAGCGTTGAGACAGCCGTATGTGCAGATGGGGAGGGAGCCGTGCATTCGCGCCTCCATGCGCCGTTTTGGGGAAGCAGCTGCGCTTGTTGAGCAAACCTGCAGAATACATGGTTGGCAAGCTAGCAGCTGATTCAAGGCTGAGTTGGTGTGTCTGCAGGCAGAATTAAGGCCAGGCGCAGCCATTCCAGTGGCTTTAGCAGAGCAGTACGAGCAGACGCAGCGCCATGCGTTGCAGCGTCACGTGCACATGCTGTAGCTGCAGCAGCGGCTGTGCCAGCGATGGGGGTGCGGAAGTATCTTGTGTTTCTCTCGACAGCAGCGCTGGCAGACATTGCGTTTTCCCCCTTTTTGTAAAAAGGGCCTATCCTTTGCTTCTTGTTGTGCTTGCTGCAAGTGGCTGCTCCGGGGAAGACTGCTGGCGCTGTATGTAGAGTAGCGAGCGGCAAGGCGCTTCCAGTGCTGACACCACAGCAGCTTCCACAGTGCAGCCCTCTCCCATTAGGCTTGGCTTGCTTCCTGAACTCCTGGAAAGGCCACAGTTAGCGAGCTCTCACTAGCCATAGCCTTCTAAAATGACGAGTCTCGTCTCGTAGTAACTTGATCCAAAGGATTTTAGGTTGGGAGGGGAGGGTGGGAGGTGATTGTTGCGTTACGTTGCACTGTGAGAGGATCTCACTTTGATGCACCCAGTCAAGCGCATGAACGCTCCCTGCCGTTCTGCCTCGCTCAGTCAGCTGCTACCCTTGCAGCGACCCCCTTGTAGTCATGGGTAACGTTCCCAGCCACCGATAGCTACACTCCTGATTCTTTTGGGGAGAAGGAATTCAGCAGTGCTTTGCGCTGGAGCGTCTAGAAGCTGCCCTTTCGCAGCAAGCGCCGGCGAGTGCTGCAGCGCAACTGCGGGTTCGCAGCTTCGGCGTGTTGTGAACTTCACCCTGCGAAAATCCCGTGCACTGCAGCGGAAACGACACAGACTCAGGACGTACTGCCGACAGCGGGCTTAACAGTAAGAGGCAGCAGCCGCGCTGTGCCGTGCCGCTTCTTGGAGTGCCAGTCAAACTAAGCAGAGCCTGAAGCAAAGGGGATGGTGAACAAGCCAGGTCGTTCGAGACGCAAGAGACTGCTGCTGCAAAGTAGATAATAGGGCGTTTCTTTTGCGCACACGCGCGCGCGCGGTCCGCTTGCGCTTGCCAAAGAAAAGCAGTATTGATGATTTTGACAAAAAAGGCAGCTGCAGCACTGCTGCATCAACAAGCGTGTTACTCCTGTCAAGGGCCTCATAGGACGCACGTGACTCCAGCTTCAATGCAAAGCCGTGGAAGGCTGTGGCATACACTTTCTAAAGTGTTCGACTTTTCCCTGCGCAGACCATGTGTAAAGTTTCCTTGCGAGGGATTTTTCGCAACTCTTTGTTCATGGCATCTACGTGTATCGCCGTAGCAGTAGTCTACAGTATATCGAAACACACACGAGCATACACACGAGTCATTCAGTTTTTGCCCGATTCGTGGTAAGATATGAGGAGTCTCGAAGGATTTTTCACAGGCGCAGCCTAGATCGCCACAGGATGCGTTCAGTCGACCGCCAACCGCGGCGGAAACAGCACTGACTGTAGCAATAGTGGGTGAATAAAGACCGGCAGCATCAAAAAATGCATTTAGAAAACCAGTGGCGCCAGCACCAATTGCAATAACAACAGCCAAGGCTGGAGTGGCAATTCTGGTCGTACCAGCTGCACCAGCCACATGAGGGCTTGCAATAGAATGGGCAGCGCTCGTCGTTCAGACCGACTATGGGGCCTCTAGTGATTTCATTCGCAGTATGTTGACTTTGGCGTTTTGACTGATCGTTCGTTATTCGCGCTTTCCCGCTGTGTTCAGTGTTGAGAGCAGCGCGTCATTCGTGTGGTCAAATGACCATGCTCGGGTGTATCTACAGCAAAGTTGCTGCCTCTGCGGCTGTCACTGGTGCTTTTCCGTGTTGCGTGCAGATTAAAGCGATGCTGTAATAAGACGGCAAATAAAAGATAATTCACGGATAGCTCAATTGAATACCTTGAACGGGGCAGGCGGCTGCTGGTGCATGCAGCGGCCGCTGCAGGAGTCGTCGTCCTTCGGCAACTGTTGCATTCGATGGTGGCGCTGCTGCTGTATTTTATAGCCCTGCCAAGAAGACGAAACAACTGGCAATGCTAAGATCTGCGTCATTCCGTTCTCCTTTGAGATTGCCAGCGTCATCCCTAGCGAGAGCTTTCCATGTACCCCTGCAGCAACGCCGGCACGCTGAAGATCAGAAGCGACGACGCCTGACGCGGCTGCTGCGACTACTACAGCACGCCGCAATGGTGCTCACAAACAGAGCGACATCTGTCTGTTGAGGGGCACTGTGCGTCATCAACCTTCACGACTGCAACTGGATATGCAGCTGCAGTCGATCTCCTGAGCGAGAGCAAGAGAGAACGAGAGACGGAGGAGGACAGAGAGAGAGACAGAGAACAAGCCGCACCACTTGGAGTGGCGACTGTCGCTGCTCTGCTGCTGCTTCTCGGCAATATTCGCCGCTAGAATGATTCCCCTCGAAACGGCGGAGAGTCGCTCCGTCCCTCAATGCCGCAGGTACAGGTTCTACAAGCTGCTGTGTCGCCTTTCTGACAAGGGAAGGGGGCAGGCATGTGAAAATAGCAGCAGGAGCAGCAGGAGCAGCAGCAGCAGCAGCAGCAGCAGCATTAGCTAAGGAAATTGCTCCTGTATGTCTGCCTTTCTCTGCGTGTGAGGTGTAGGTGTGTTTGTCTGTGTTATGCTGTGCGGCTGTGGTGATGCGTGTAGGGAGAGAACGCTGCGAGAGAGGTCTCTGCAACGAAGCTGCAGTGGCAGCAGCGACAGCAATGGGGAAGGTAGCAGCAGCAGCAGCGGGAGCTGCTGGAGCACTGGCGAGAGGGAGCTTCCTTCCACTCCTGCGTTCTCACGCATCGGCAGCAAGCCACCCTCCCGTGCGTATGGCACTCTCGAGCAGAAGCAGCAGAAACAGCCGAAGAAGAAGTCGCACTACTCCCGCCCCCAGTTGCAGCACTCGGGTGTCGATTCAGGAGCAGAGGATCTTCCTTGGCTCACTGCTCGTCGACAGCAGCTGCAGCAAGAGAAGCAGCAGCTGCTGCTGCGTGGCTCCTCAGACGACGCGAGCAACGAGAAGGTCGCTTCTTCTCTCGCCGCGAAAGAGGAGCAGGCTGTCGAGCAAGCGACTGCGCGCAGACAGACTGGCTGCAGCTCGTGCTGCTTGCTGCGTTGCCTGCCAGTGTCAGAAGACGGTTTGGCTCTCTTTCTTGTCACCTACGCAGCGTACGCCTCTCTGTACAGCACGCGAAAGCCTTTCAGCGTGGTGAAGGGGTCGTTGCATGCTTCAGTTGGACTGTCTGCGCAAACACTTGCGTTCATAGACACCTCCTTCTTGGCGTGTTACGCCGCTGGGCAGCTGCTGCTGCCGCTAGTGCTCGCAGCTATTCCCCAGCGACAGTTCGCGTCGCTGACAGCCGCGTGCTTCCTCGCGTCGGCTGTGGCGACTGCAGCCGTCGGCTGCAGCAGCAGCGGAGGCGCGCTGCTGCTGCTTTGGGGCTTTAACGGTCTGATGCATGCGCCGCTTTTCCCGCTGCTCCTCCAATATGTTGCGAGTGCGATAACTCCTCGCAACAGGGGAGCTGCTCTCGGCTTGTGGACTACTTCGCAGCAAACTGGTACACACTGAAACGCGTCGATAGATTTCTGACACTTCTGTTGCTCAACCTTAGCAGCTCGAGGGATGCTCGTTAGGTGTTTACACGTCTGTGTGCATATACATGTGTATATGTGTGGATGTATACATATATATGCACATGTATATGCATGAATATGCATGAATATGCATGAATATACATGAATATTCATGAATATGCATGAATATACATGAATATGCATAAATATACATGAATATACATGAATATACATGAATATTCATGAATGTGCATGAATATACATGAATATGCATAAATATACATGAATATACATGAATATTCATGAATATGCATGAATATGCATGAATATACATGAATATGCATGAATATAGATAGATATACGTATACGTACATATCTATGTCTACATCTCTCTCTCTAGATATACATATGTGCAGGTATCTACATCTCTACATATATGCATACATGTATATATATATATATATGATTAAATATGGCTCTGTCTACGATGATGTGCAGGTGCTATGACGGCAACGGCAGTTGCTGCAGTTGTAGAATCAGCATTAGGCTGGCGTCAAGTTTTCTTTTGCGCAGCGGGTACAGCAGCAGCAACGGGAGTGTTGCTTTACTTCTTGCTGCCTTGGAGCAGCAAGAAAGCCGAGCGGCAGCAGCAGCTGCAGCATCAAGAGCAACGTGAAGCACCTCGTGAGTTGGCTTGCTTTGCGGAGGCAAAAGCAGAGAAGCAGCTTCTCCAGCATCGCGAGTTTGAGCAGCAGCAGCTGCAAGTGCAGCAGCAGCAACAGGAGAAGCTGTTGTTGCTGCAGCAACACATACACTCCCCCGATGCGCTCATATGTTTCCAGCCCCAAGACAGCGCATGCAATTTGACTGGAGGTACAGGGGACAGCAGCAGCAGCAACTTTAGCAGCAGCAGCAGCAACTTTAGCAGCAGCAGCAGCAACTTTAGCAGCAGCAGCAGCTTTTGCACGATGAGCACTGCTGCCGACTGTACTGGCGTCATACCGGATAGTGCTGGCGAAAACACCAGCACACCTCCAAGCAGCAACCCTTTTTGCAGCAGCAACGTTTACAGCAGCAGCAACGGCAGCAGCCCAGTGTCTTGGCAGCAGCCGTCAGCTGCAGCAGCAGCAGCAGCACTTGCTGGAGAGCTGCCTACGCCTGTGATGGCTTCTCGTGCTGCGTCGTCTCGCCAAATTCAAGAGCGACTTTCTTGTGCTGCCTCTCTCAGTCACAACAGAAGTCGCGTTTTCCTGCCTGCTCGAGGTGCCTTTGTCGCTCTCACGACTACTCCTGCAGCTTCAGAGGTGGTCTATCGGGGAGGAGCAAGTGGTGCTGCTAGCTTTGCTGCGGGAGCTGTAGGAACGCCTCAATTTCGTCAGTTGCTGCAGCTTTTTTCCATTGCCTCCTCTTCCTCCAGCAGCAGCAGCAGCACCTCTCGCCGAGTGATTCAGATGCGCACAAGAAGCGCTGGCATGGCTTCACACAGCAGAATGCGACGGGGAAGCAGCAGCAGCAGCAGCAGCAAATTGATGACACAGGAGGCTGTCTACCGTTCTCGGGGTGTCTTGTCTCTCGTGTGCTTGTGTGGATCGGCATACTTTTTCATCAAGCTGATCCGATACAGCCTGCTTTTGTGGCTCCCCTTCTTCTTGGCGAAGGAAGCGCAGCTCTCCGCTGCAGCTGCAGCCGCTGCTTCTCTCCCTTTCGACGTTGGGGGGATGCTAGGATCTGTCATTGCAGGCTTCGTGGCTGACAAGTTTTGCTCTGGTAAGCCTTATCGACTGCGTTGGAGGGGCTGTAAATGGCTTCGCCTTGCGTGTATGTGTGAGTGTGTATGTGTATGTGCATGTGTATGTGTATGTGTATGAGTGTGTATGTGTATGTGCATGTGCATGTGTATGTGTGTGTATGTGCATGTGCATGTGTATGTGTGTGTATGTGTATGTGCATGAGTGTGTATGTGTATGAGTGTGTATGTGTATGAGTGTGTATGTGTATGTGCATGTGTATGTGCATGTGTATGTGTATGTGTATGCGTTGCTGCATGCACTACTGTGCGCTGCCTGCTGCTGTTGAAGAAGAGGAGGAAAAAGCTTACCCCACTCTATTTTCTGCACGTCTCTTGCTGCTTCTCTGACAATGCTGCAGGCAAGCGGCTCTCCTGTGCAGCCAGCATGAGCTTGGGAACAGGCTTCTGTCTGCTGCTGCTCGCGATCACGTGTCAGCAGCAGCAGCAGCTCAGAGTGCAGCGTCAAGAGCAGCAACAGCAGCAGCAAGCCCTAATGCAACAGCTACACGCTCAGCAGCAGCAGACACTGCAGCTTCTCGAGGAGCAGCACAAGCGTTCTACGCAACAACTCCCGCTGCAGCTGCAGCAAACGTTAGAAAGAACTCACCTCTTGGAGCAAGAACGGCAAAAAAAACAGCAGGAAGTTCAGCAACATCAACAGCTACACGAAGCCGTGCATCCAGACGCGGCTTTGCAGCAAGCGGTAAAAAGCGAAAAGCTGTACGATGCCTCAACGCCAAAGACACAGCCAACAACTACCCACTTAGAAGAAGAAAAACATTCACGCATGCAAGGCTTCACGCAGGAACAAACAGTGTCAAGCACACAGCAGCCGCAGCTACTCAATAACAGCGAGCTGCCACAGAAAAATTCCCCGCAACAACACCAACAACATCAGCAAGTGGTGCCGCAAGAGCAGCTGTCCATACACCTGCAGCCACAGCAACTGCCAACACTCCAACAGGAGCAACACTCCCTGCAACTGCAGCAACTGCCGCTGCAGCAGGAGCAGCAGCAGCAACAGGATCAGCAGCAGCAACAGCAGCCGCCACTGCAGCAGCAACAACAGCAGCCGCCACTGCAACAGGATCAGCAGCAGCAACAGCAGCAGCAGCAACAACAACAGCCGCCACTGCAGCAGCAACAACAGCAGCCGCCACTGCAACAGCAGCAGCAGCTCCCATCACTGCAACAGGATCAGCAGCAGCAACAGCAGCAGCAGCAACAACAACAGCACCCGCCACTGCAACAGCAGCAGCAACAGCAACAGCCGCCACTGCAGCAGCAGCAGCAGCTCCCACCGCTGCAACAGGAGCAGCAGCAGCCGCCACTGCAACAGCAACAGCAACAGTCGCCACTGCAACAGCAGCAGCAACAGCAGCAGCCGCCACTGCACCAGCAGCAGCAGCTTCCACCACTGCAACAGCAGCAGCAGCAGCCACCACTGCAACAGCAGCAGCAGCAGCCGCCACTGCAACAGCAGCAGCAACAGCAGCAGCAACAGCAACAGCCGCCACTGCACCAGCAGCAGCAGCTTCCACCACTGCAGCAGCAGCAGCAGCAGCCACCACTGCAACAGCAGCAGCAACAGCCGCCACTGCAACAGCAGCAGCAGCTCCCATCACTGCAACAGGATCAGCAGCAGCAACAGCAGCAGCCACCACTGCAACAGCAGCAGCAGCTCCCACCACTGCAACAGCAGCAGCAGCAGCAGCAGCAACAGCAGCAGCCACTGCAACAACAACAGCAGCAGCCGCCACTGCAACAGCAGCAGCAGCAGCAGCTCCCACTACTGCAACTGCAGCAGCAGCAGCAGCTCCCACTACTGCAACTGCAGCAGCAGCAGCTCCCACCACTGCAACAGCAGCAGCAGCTCCCACCACTGCAACAGGATCAGCAGCAGCAACAACAGCAGCAGCCGCCACTGCAACAGCAGCAGCAGCTCCCACCACTGCAACAGGATCAGCAGCAGCAACAACAGCAGCCGCCATTGCAACAGCAGCAGCAGCTCCCACCACTGCAACAGGATCAGCAGCAGCAACAGCAGCTCCCGCCACTGCAACAGCAGCAGCAGCTCCTACCACTGCAACAGGATCAACAGCAGCAACAGCAACAACACCAGCAGCAAGTGCAACAGGATCAGCAGCAGCAGCCAGCACTATTGCAGCAGCAGCCTTTTACCCAGCAACAGCAGCCTACATTAGTGCAGCAGTTGCAGCAACAGCCAGCAGTATTGCCGCAGCAGCAACAGCAGCCGCCACTGCAGCAGCAGCAGCAACAGCTGGCAGTATCGCCGCAGCAGCCTTTGCTGCAGCAGCAACAGCCTGAGATGATGCCACAGCAACAACAACAACCCTCATTGATGCAGCAACAGCCATCATTGATGCAGCAACAACCCTCATTGATGCAGCAACAGCCAGCAGTGTTGCCACAGCAACAACAACAACCCTCATTGATGCAGCAACAACCAGCAGTGTTGCCACAGCAGCAACAACAGCAACCCTCATTGATGCAGCAACAACCAGCAGTGTTGCCACAGCAGCAACAACAACAACCCTCATTGATGCAGCAACAGCCAGCAGTGTTGCCACAGCAGCAACAACAACAACCCTCATTGATGCAGCAACAGCCAGCAGTGTTGCCACAGCAGCAACAACAGCAACCCTCATTGATGCAGCAACAACCAGCAGTGTTGCCACAGCAGCAACAACAACCCTCATTAGATCCTCAGCAACCATCTTTGCTGCAGCAATCTCCCTCTGCTGCACTGTCGATGCGTGTGTCTCCTCGGCAGGAAGAGCAGACGCATCAGGAGGGGGGTGTCTCTGCAGCTCCTCTTCGACGGCTCGATCCTTCATTGGTAGCAGTCTCGGCACCAGCAGCAGAAGGCGGTATGTTGGAAGTACAGGGGGAGGTGTCTTTACAGCCAGTTGCGCTGCAGTTTCAGCAGCAACAGCAGCCTCTGCAGCAGCAATTGCAGCGCCTGCTTGAGAAGCAGTCAAAGCCAGAGGATCACCGTGGGGAGACAGCAGCTGCTCAGGCTGCAGCTGCAGTAGCAGACGCAGCTGCCGAGTCAGATGGGGATAGTCAGTGGTCGCTGACGCTGCTTCGGTTGGAATTGCAGCAGCAGGAGGAGCTGCGAAGATTGCAGAAGCAGCATGCGGAGCAGACAGAGGCGGCTGCTGCAGCGCTTGCTGAGGCAGCGTCTGTAGCGGCTGCCGCAGAGAAGCATCAGGTTCAGCTTCTGCTGATGTGCATGCTGCTTGTTGGCTTTTTTGTTGCTGCTCCCGACTCTATACTCGGTGCTTCGGCAGCTCAGGATGTAGCGGAGTTGAACGGTCTGCCTGCAGCCTCTGTCTCCTCAACTGCCGCTCTCATTAACGCCATGGGAGCTGTAGGAGCTCTCCTTCAGGTACATGCGGCCACATATAGATATGTACTTTACATATAGAGATAAATATATACTATGTATAGATATGCATATTATATATGGATATAAATAGAGGTATATAGACATATATCTCTTTATAGGTATATGTCTATACATAGATGTATATCTATATATGTATCAATCTATATATAGATGTATATCTACATATAGATGTATATATATATATATATATATTTTATATATATATATATTATATATATAGATATAAATAGGTGTACATAGATATGTTTGTGTGTATATATATTACATATATTATATATATGTATACCCCTTCTCCTTCCCTGTGGCTGCCTCCTCCTGAGAGCCATGCTCCAAATCGACGCGAGTCACTCGTGGCTGCAGTGCTGCTGCTGATTCTGCTGCTTTGAAATTCGCAGTAGCTGCCAGCTCTTGCCTGCTCCTGTCAATGTCTGTCTGTGTGTGTGTGTGTCTTGCAGGGTAACCTCACGGCAGCAATATCTGAGGCGTATGGGTGGGATGTGCTGTTTGGGATGCTCTGCGTTTTTGCTGTCTTTAGCGGTTTGCTGCTTCTGCCAGCTGCCCTTGCTGAGCTCAAAAAGAAGCCTGCATCTCAATGAAAGGCTCGTCTTTCCCCAGCAGTCGATGATTGACTGCCGTCCTTGCGTCAGGTGCGCATGCGAAGGAAAGAAGGGGTGGAAAAAATGCCGCGCGGTGGGGAAGGGGGCAGCTTTCCCAGTGTGATCTGCGTGGGTGTGTGCAGCAGCAGATGTGTGTATTGAGGGGGTGTTTTTTAATGTCATTTTCTCTTTTTTTCGCCCAAAGGATTGCCGTTGCACAGCGCGAGAGGCGTAGTAGAGGGAGAAAGATGATAGAAGGCAGGATCGTGCAGGGAGTGCTGCATACAGGACGCCACGTCGTGTGCTGGCGCATTGTAAATGCAGATGCGATGTTGCACTCATGTCTGCTGTCTCTTTTCTAAGCAGAGCTGTGCTGCTGAAAGCGGCAGCCGTCTGCTTCCTTGTGTCGTGCATGCACACCTCAATTAAAGCGCATCTGCTTGCCCAGGGGCTGTACTCGCCGCGCACAGCTATCTGTAGATACCTCAAGTGCAGTGCAGCTGATAAGAAAAGCCTAGTCGACCTATCTTTGAGAGATTTTTCGATAGAGTGATTTTGAGGAAGGGCCTCATCCTAATCTTTGGGAAATGCTGTCATGAAACAGCGATTTGTAGACGCGCACAGAGCCGCGGCAAACCATATTTCCCCCTATTTCTAGTGCTGTTGCAGATAGAAGAGCGCTTGCTTGTGGTGGTTTTAGGGGGGGTACATCTGGCATTGCACCACCGCGTTTCGGTGTGTGTGTGTATGTGAGTGTATGTGCTCGTTCGTGTCTTCCCTTGTTGGCTGTTTGTAGATACGAATGTTTATTTTAGTGCGCTTTTGTAAGGTGCCTGGCTGGAGCTGCCGTCTAGCAGCACAAAGCGCAGCGAGCAGACACCATCGCAGCATGAAGTGCTGCTACTGCTTTTACGTGTTGCGAAGACACAAACGACGACGCGTACACCCGAGGATGCACATAAAGCTATACAAGTGCGGGAGGCTCCTAGGTTGACTCTTTAAGTTTTCTCTATCTCGCTATCTCTATGCACAAGCAACGCCGGGCAGAACCCCCAAGTTAATTTCCCTGCCACAGCTAGAGACCAGCAGCAGCACTGCCGCTACAGCTCCTGTTGCTGTTGCTGAATTGGCGTAGCCTCCCATTCACGCGGCTGCGGGGTATGGTTAACCACCGAGTCGTGTGGCGGCATTTGAGAAGAGAGAGAGAGCAGTTGCTCAGGGAAACACCAGCAGACGAGAGAGTGTATCATTGTCAAGTAAAGGTTTGACCCCCGACACAGACAACATATAATTGCTTTCCACGAGCAGCCGCATCCGAGGCGGCATTGCCGTCTGTTTGTTTGTATCGATGAACGTAAGCCGAGATCTCGGACCGACGACACCTCAGTGCTGACACTGCGACGAGATGTGCGCAGTGCGCACCGATGCCTCCCTCGGGTGTATGAATGCGTACGATCATGAGTGTGCGTGTGTGAGTATGAGTTTGTTTTAATGCATTTATATGCCTGCGTGGCAAGAGCCCTTTTTTAAAGCCCTGTAAGGCCGCTAGCCGGACCGCCGCGTCTCTTCTTCTTAGTCGGCGGCAGGTGTATGGACACCTGATCTCGCAGCTGGTGGAGTGCCTCGCTGCTGCTACTGGAAACGCATCGCAGCAGGACGCCGAGTGCTGCGGAATTGAAACGCAAAGCGTCCTGCGGGCAGAAAAAAACAGAAGCAGCAAAGAAGCAGAATTTTATCTCAGCAACAGGCGAGGCTGCTGCTACCCCACGCCGCCTGCCACTGGAAAGCTGCCCACAAAGGGGCAGGGAGGAAAAAATAATCATGCAGCAAGGCAGGGAATAGGAAGGGAGAACAGCAGGCAGCCGCAACAGGAAAAAACGGCTCACGCGTTGGTACTGCAGCAGCGGGCGAATAACAGCCCTCAGCCTCTGTATGAGACTGCGATGCTTGTCGCATACGATGAACAGGCTTTTGCAATCATACACAGACACACAGCACACACATTCATACACACAGCATACACATTCATACACACAGCATACGCATTCATACACACAGCACACACATTCATACACACAAAGTTTCACAGCCACTTTCTTGCAGCCCGCCTCCCCCCTCCCCCTCCCCTTGAAGTAGCATTGAACGGACGGGGAGCAAAGGCAATCGCACAAAACGCGCAGGCAGAAAAACAGTCGCCGTAGGGGGTCCCTCCGTTTTCGCGCTTTTGGGATTTACCGGAAGTGCAGCTGCACGAGCTGCAGAGCCAAGCGCACAGCAACCTCTGTTGGACCTGGTAGCATGCATTGGTGCTCAAGAGGTTGCAGACGTCGCTCCTTGCTCTGTGCAGCGTCGCTGTCTTTAAAAAGCCTCGCAGCCTCCGTTTCCAAGAGTTCTGTCAGAAACTGCAGCAGCTGCAGCAGCAGCACCGCATGCGCACCAAACAGGAGAGGCAGCAGGGAAGGCACCGTGATGAGAGTCTCACCAGAGCCAAATGCATTCAGAGAGTCGTACCACAGCGAAACGCATCCGCCTGCATGAAAAAATCTCAGAAAATTCCCGTTCTAGCCTGCTGCTCATACACTTCCCACGCCATCACCCCGCAGCTGCATGCAACAACTCTGCAGCAGCTCCACACCTCCAGCGCATAGTCCAACGGGAGTGCGAGCAACACTTCGCCTGCATCTGCCGCTCTTATGCTGTATATACACCGCAACAGGTGCTCATGAGCCGAACAGCCCAGCAACTCCGGACGAGCTGCCGGAGGCATCGGCAAAGGATCTGCTTCAAATGAAGATCTGCAACCATCACGTGGCAACGCAGATACCCAGCGGAAAAATGCAGTCGCAAACTCGGCATCCTCTTCGCGTTGCTGTCGTGCCACTTGCAGCGCCTGAAAGGCCAATGCGCACAGACACGAACACACTTGCACACATCTACAGAGAGCTATAAGTATATATATATACACTGATACCTACATTCACACACATACGTTTGCATATATACATTTACACATATACATTTACATATATACATTTACATGTATACATTTACATGTATACATTAAAATGTATACATACATATACACATACATGGATACACACCAATACATGCACTCATACATACCTACACCCAAGCACATGAATACACACGTATACAGACACACAATACACAAATACATACATATACAGAAACACAAATGCATGAATACACGCATCTACAGACACGAAAGTACATACATACAAAGGCAACAGCAGGCAGTCAGGCACGCAGATTGACCAGCCACCCTTGCTGCATTTGCCGCAGAGCTAGTGCAGCGGCGGAAACACAGAATTCGCCGCCCCTTCGCCATGAGCAAAACGCAAGTCCCCTTTCCCCCTTCTCCCGAGCAGTTTCATCCCATGCGTGCCACGGCGTTGAACAGCAGAGCCTAATGTCTCTAGCCTCCCAAAAGGCGCAATCCAAGGGGGCGTTCTAATGCGATGCGAACCTCGATAAGCTTGTCTGCAGTTTTTAAAGCCTCATCCGTTAGTTTGGTAGGGCGCTCCATGATGACTGTAGGAGCAACTGCAGTAACAGCCGCCGCTGTAGTCGCGGCTGCTTCTTCAAGACCTTCTGCCTCCCGCTGCTGCTGCTGCAGCAAGCGCCGCTCTTGCTGCTCTTCCGCAAACACCTGCTCGTCAGTACGGCGCCAAAGATGGAGCTGTCTGCTGCTATCGCTGCAGCAGAAAAAGTCTCCGTCTGCAGAAAGACAAAGAGCAGAGAGGGCAGCACCTCCCAGGCAGCCCCCTCTAGCGGAAACTCCGCATGCGTACACCTTCACCAGCAAGTGACGGTCTGCATCCCACTGCTTGATGAAGCCGTCCAACCCAGCCGTCAAGACATAGTGCGTTAATGGCAAGAATGCAACCTGCGCACAAAACACGAAGTCGCCGAAGACAACCAACCCTTGCCAGCGCTTACGTCAAGCTGCAAAACGAACCCCTAGAAGCATATACAAGGCTACGCAGCATCCTCTTTGCCGTCACAAAAAAGCCGCTACTCAAGCTACTGGTGCTACTCATGCTTATGCCAAGGCTTCTGCTTATGCCAATGCTTCTGCTCATGCCAATGCTTCTGCTTATGCCAATGCTTCTGCTTATGCCAATGCTTCTGCTAATGCATGGGCTGCTGTTATGCCTGCTGTTGCAACGACGACTGCGGCAGAGCAGGCGTCTCTCTTTCCGTGAGTGTGTATGTGTGTATGTATGCATGTATGTATATGTGTGTGTGGCTTTCTGCTTTGCGGCGACTACAAGCTCCCCTGATTTCGAGTGCGAGAAACTCGCCATGCGCCCCCTGGAAATAAATGCAAAATCCAGCATGCCTGCCCCCCCCTTCCCTGCCTGCCTGTCTCCTCCCCCCGTCCACGCCTGGTGGGGTCTAACAAAGGAGCTGCAGATCCACCTTTGTGACTGTCTCCTCATGCGCGCGGAAGCTTTTGCGAATATCGCCAAAATCCAATCCCCAGATCTTCAGAGATTTGTCAACGGAGCCTGAAGCCAACAAGGCTCCCGAGGAAGACACCGCAACGCTCGTTACTGGCAGCTTATGGCCATAGAGCGACAGCCGAATGCGACCTGTAACAGAAGCAGCAGGAGCAAAAAAAGCCTCAATGGCTGCAAAAATCACTCGAGCATCCACGACAGCGCGCGTTAGTTCTCCCCACGCACATTCCGTGTGGCGGGGGTAGCAGCTCCGCAAGCTTCCAGCGTCTGCATGCGCGTCGCAACAAGACCACCCACGCCGCTTCTCTAGCTTCGGCGACTGCCCTCACCTGTGTCTGCATGCAGCACAAGAATCGTGTGGTCGATGAGCGCCACAATCAGAAGGTTGCCTACTGGATGAAACGCGACATCCAGCGCCTCATCAGGAACGTTGAAGGAACCCTCGCAGCGAAGCGATATCTGCTGATGCTGATCTTTTGGGGAGAATCCTCCTCCCGCCTTTTTCTTCTTCTTTTCATGCGCCTCAGACAGCTCGTCGGAGATGTAAAATGCAAAGAGCTTCACAGTCTTGTCGCTAGAGGCAGATGCAAACCTGAACGCCCGACAGCATCACCACGCGCACCAAAAAACAACCCCATGAAAAGAATCGCTGCAGCCCTCCTCCCACAACCCCCCCAACCCTTCCCTTACCACCACCACCACTGCAACCACCACCACTGCAAACACCACCACTGCAAACACTACCTCCACACACGTCACCCCTGAGAAACTGCAGCCAGGCAGCGCCACAGTCCAGTCTGTACACTCGAAACCGCTTGCTGCGGTCTCTCTGTCTACAGCTCTCTCTTTCTAGCTCTCTCGCGTTCTCCTTCTTTCCAGCTCTACCTATCTCCATCTATCTCTCTCTATCTCTATCTCTCCCTTTCTCTTTCTCGCGATCTGCGGCGGCTCGTCCTCCTGCTGTCGCTGCTGCTTTGTGATGCGAGAGGCTCAGAGATCCCCGCTGTTGACAAATTGCATGCGTTCAAATTCATCATGAACCTTTCGCGATGGATTTACCCTGTGTGTTTAGGGTGCTCTGCTAGGGCGTTGACAGCTCCTGCATGCGCCGCTGTGCGCTGCAACAATTCGTTCGAGCCAAGATCGAAGAGAAGCAACTCGCCGCTTCTGCATCCGAGAACGATATGCTCATTTCCTACATAGAGACACCACACACGCAAAATTTCAAATGCGGCAGGCAGACCCCCCTTTCCCAAAAGTTGGGCGTCATACGGTGTTGGGAGGCGTCATGGTGTGTGTATACGTATGTGTATGTGTAAATCCATTTGCATGCGTTTTCATGCATGTGTATGCGTATGTGCATGTGTAAATCCATTTGCACGTGCTTTAATGCATCTGTATAAGTATGTGTATGTGTAAATCCATTTGCATGCGTTTTCACGTATGTGTATGTGTATGTGTAAATCCATTTGCATGCGTTTTCACTTATGTGTATAAGTATGTGTATGTGTATATCCATTTGCATGTGCTTTAATGCATCTGTATAAGTATGTGTATGTGTAAATCCATTTGCATGCGTTTTCACGTATGTGTATAAGTATGTGTATGTGTAAATCCATTTGCATGCGTTTTCATGTATGTGTATAAGTATGTGTATGTGTAAATCCATTTGCATGCGTTTTCACGTATGTGTATGGGTGGGCACATGTGCGTATTTGTGTGTTTGTATGTGTATGTGTGTATCTACATGCGTGTCTATGTGTATTTATGTGTATATGTGTATTCGCATGCGTGTCTATGTGTATTTATGTGTATATGTGTGTCTGCATGTGTTTAGAGGTGATGTGTATCTGCACACGTTTGTGTGCATGCGCTTGTATGTGTATGCTTCACAAGGGGCGTCACTTGAAAACACGGCATTCTCGCAAATACGCTGCACCTGCCGAGAAAGCCTCCAAATTTTTTTCACTTTTCTACGAATAAACGCGATGCTTCTCACCCGCCATGACAAAGCCGCACTGAGGCTCTTCACACGGAAGTGTCTTGACACAGCGCACTGTTGATGAAGACGCACTCCAAACTTTTGCTCCCTAAAGCATAATAACCCCAGCACACATACACACACAGACACACAGACACATACACACAAAAGTCTTGCTAAGCCGCGAGCGGCTAACATATTAACTGTCAAGTAGAGTCATGCCTGTTGGCATACAAACACATGGCCACACATACATATACACACACATGTACATACACATACAAGCACATGCATACAAACTTGTGCAGATACACATGCAAATAGACCTAAGATACAAACACATAGACACGCACGCAGATACACACGTATGCACACATATAGATATACATACACATATGTACATACATATATACATACATACACACACACACATGCAAATACAATTACGTAGACACATACCCCTACCCATACAATCACACCCAAACACCTTATCGGCTAGCCAAGCTGCCTGGCTAGCCGATACAGCGCTTTGCTTGCAAAAGCGCCTCGTAAGTTGCAGCACCAAGAGTAGCAGCAGCACGCGCATGACTGCAGACGCGAGTGTCATACCTCGTCTGCAGCTGAGAGGATGTATCCATCATCATGAGAAGTGCAGAGACTCCGTAACTGCCCTGCATGCCCTCCCGAAGAAAATCTTGTAAGATGCTCAAACGCGTCCTCCCCGTTTGCCTGAGTGCGCACGTTTTCGTGTGACGCATCCACCGACTTGTCTTCGTGTCTCTGTGTGTCTGTATGTGTGTCTATGTCTGCGTGTCTCTGTGTGTCTGTATGTGTGTCTATGTATGTGTGTCTCTGTGTGTCTGTATGTGTGTCTATGTCTGCGTGTCTCTGTGTGTATGTGTCTGTATGTGTGTCTATGTCTGCGTGTCTCTGTGTGTCTGTATGTGTGTCTATGTCTGCGTGTCTCTGTGTGTCTGTATGTGTGTCTATGTCTGCGTGTCTCTGTGTGTATGCGTCTGTGTGTCTATGTCTGCGTGTCTCTGTGTGTATGTGTCTGTGTGTGCAAGCCGAAGCACATGAATGCATGTTTGTCTACATATGCGGACATGTACATATGCATGCACAGATAAATCTCTCAAGCGCAAACTTGCAGCAGCACGTGTAATAGGTATACATGCATAAATATGAATATATGCAGGTGCGTAAGCGCCAAATTCTTGGTATGCAGAGACTCCTTTGCCGCTGCTTTTTTCTATGTGTGCGTTTGCTTAGGGCGTAAAGGGTTAAGTTTACGCGATATTTGCGGAGGAGTAGAGGATCCGCCTTCCACACTTCCAGCGTGTTGTTGTTGAGGTTCATGCAAATTCGAACGCACAGACTGCTTGTACGGCGGAGATCTGCTGCACTGCTGTTGCTGCTGGCTCTGGTGCGAATGCCACGCGCGTTAAATCCCTTGACGACAGCCGATGCATGCAGCGAACCCACATACAGCATCTCAGAAAACTGCTGATCGTGCTGCTGCTGATCGTGCTGCTGCTGACCCTTTTCTTCTTCCTCCTGCTGCTGCTTCTTCTTGAGGCGCTGCTGAGCACGACGCTCACGCTTCAGCTGCTGCCGCTTCTGCTCTTCTGCATTCAGACAGCGGTAAAAATCCACGATGCGTGATCCTCCGCTGCAACAGAGCAGCAAACCTCCTGTCCGTACAGGCGAGCTCACCCCCTCTCCTGCTGCTGCTGCTGCTGCCGCTGGCGAGAGAGACTCCTCCTCAGTTGCTACAAACTGCAGCCAACGCACGCGTTGCTTTTTGCTGCTGCGATTCGGAGAGACACTTCCCAAATACCTTGTCACTGCCCTTGTAATCTGCGCTGCTGCTGCCTCTGAGGCAGACGCATTTGACGCTGCCGCTGCATGCAGCCCAAGGTGTAGAGCAAATACACGAATCTTGTGATCACCTCCACCAACAAACAAACGCGTCTGCAAAGACGCACACATACACACCCAAACACACACGCATATATACACATGCCTACACATAGATTCATACACGGATATATACACATAGATACATACACGGATATATACACATAGATACACACACGGATATATACACATAGATACATACACGGATATATACACATAGATACACACACGGATATATACACATAGATACATACACGGATATATATACAAACGGATGCTCATAGACAGACAGACACATACACATACACACAAACACATAGATACATACACACATACACATGCACATAGACAGACAAACACAAATATGCATACAGACAAACACACATACATACACATATACATACAGACACATACACAAAGATACATACAGACAAACACAAATATACATACAAACACACATATATACACACGTACATACATACAGACAAAGACATAGATACATAGATATATATACAGCCACCACTCGAAGCCGTGAAGCGCTCTCTTTAGCCCTGTACTATGAAGAAAAGATATCTCGTCGGCACAAATATCTCAGTTGAGAGTACATGCAAAGCAACGAAAACTTTCGAGGCAGCACCACATGAGAAATCCGTGAGCTTCCCTTTGAGCCATGCACCACGTGGTGCAGAAACACTAGCAGCTACTCACGCACAACACCCCCAGCAACATTCGTAAGATGCCCAACAACTGCAGCAACACTAGCAGCAGCAACACTAGCAGCAGCAACACTAGCAGCAGCAACACTAGCAGCATCAACACTAGCAGCATCAACACTAGCAGCATCAACACTAGCAGCAGCAACACTAGCAGCATCAACACTAGCAGCAGCAACAGCAACACTAGCAGCAGCAACATTAGCAGCAGCAACACTAGCAGCAGCAACACTAGCAGCAGCAACACTAGCAGCATCAACACTAGCAGCATCAACACCAACAACAGCAACACAAGCAACAGCAACAAGTGGCAACCAAAAGCAGTGCTTGCAAAAGGAGCAGCAGCAAGAGCAGCACTTTGTGCATTTACTTGGCATGGATTAACAGCGAGCGTCCACACTTCTCCTGCTTCTGCTGCACCAACTTCCGTGTGAAGACATAGCTGGAGATCTACATCCCAGATCTTGAGGAGACCGTCTTTAGAGCCGCTCAAAAGCAGTACGCTGCTGTTTGTAGTGTTGCATGCATCACTGCTGTTTTGGCTGACGTGGCTATGTGCCTTTCGCTTGTTGTTTCTCTGTTTGCCGGGTGCTGCGTGTTGCTGCGTTTCTCCGTCTCGTGCTGCAGTTGCTGCAGTCGCAGTTGCTGCGATTGCGTCTTCTTCTGCATCTGCCTCTTCCTTTGCAGCTGCTTCCAGAGCTAGCGTTGCATGCAGCGGGAGTAGAGCTGTCACTGGCTGCGTATGACCACGCAAACGGCAGCGACCTATTCCTCCGAGAGCATCCCATACAATGACATCACCATCGACCCCTCCCGACACGAGTAAGTCTTCGCTAATGTGCGTGCTGCTCGTGCTGCTGAGACTGCGGATAGTGGTGCTGCTGCTGACTGCCCACTGAAGCGCAGAAACAGAACCGCGATGCCCATGCAAGACGAGCGAGGGGGAGGCAGTTGAGAGCAGGAGATGTTGCTTTCCCTCGAGTGCAGCAGTCGCTGCAGCGGAGGTATTTAATGACCATACGCGAATGCTGCCATCGCTGTAGCCAACGGCAACGGCTGCGGCTACAGCTGCAGGAGCCACCACCGTGGCGGCCTGTCTGTACACCTCGAGTTCGCCATCTGGGAGCATCACAGGGGGGGGCTGCAGACGCAGCAACTGCTGGCGTTGCTGCGTATGCCACAAGACAGCTTCGCTGCCGCAGCAGCACCACACTAAGTCGCCGCTACAGCTGCTGAAGGAGGGTCCTACGCCAGGCAAGAGGACGAGGTTCGCGGAAGGCGTTGCCGTCAGGCCGAAAGAAGCAGCATGCTTGTAGTTCAAGTAGGCTTTCACCATTTCCGCTGCCTGCTGGTGGAGACAGAGAGGGGCTGAAAGCGAGGAGAGAAGGAGTGAGAGAATTCAGGGAAGAACCCTATTCCAGCCGTCGAAAGTTCTCTCTACAGAGGCTGCAAGACTCCCGCCAGAAGCGCCGTTGAGCGGCAGCGGGGGCAGCCTGCCCGACGGCAGGACTGAACCTTCTGAATTCCAACGCGAATTCTGCACGCTTCTCCACCTGTTTCGCTTCCTGCAGCAGAAACTGTCGAAAAGTGAGCGCAAGCCGCCCTTTCGACTCTGGCGATGGCGGTCCGGGGAGACGACTTCTGAATCGAGGCAAGACGCGCTCATGCGAGGAACGGCGAGAGACCCCTCCCGAGAATAAAAAGGACGCAATCATGACAAATTCTTCGCGAGAAGTGTTGAGGAGTCGATATTCATCGCAGAAGGCAAGCAGGAGGCCTCCTGGGGTGTTTTGTTGAAGGGCTGCTGCTGTTGCCGCTGCTGCTACTGTACTGCCCCGCAGCAGACGCGAGCAGACAGGCGACACGGGTGGTAGCTGGCAGAACTACGCTTTGCGCGCCTTTCTTCCGACGTTTTGAACAGGAATACAAAGGCCTTTGCACTTCGGAGGAGGTTTGAATGCAGTGCGCTTTCGCGCGCATGCCGCCTTCGGTGCAGCTGCGCTTGCAGTGTATGACCACCACCCCCGGGTGGAGTGCAAGTCTTTCATGAGGGTCTGTTGCGGCCTTCTTCTTCTGCGCATCTCCTCTCGGCTGCCCACTGCTGCTCACCGCTGGACCAGTCGAACGTCTACGAGGAAGACTGGTGGCGCAGTCTGCACTGCAGCCGTCATCGCTGCTCCAGACGCAGGCGCTGCTTTCATTCAAGACTTAGCCATCGCAAGGGCTGCCGTTGCAACAGCAACGCCTGCCGCCATTCCGGCCCTTCCCGCACGGACTGCAATATTGCAAAGCGCATGCAAGAGGCCATATCTTTAGCTCCTCCTGCCCTCCACGGAGAGCTGCAAAACAACGCCCTCTCTCCCTCTCTTTCTCTCTCTACATCCTTGCCAACAAAGACACTACCACCACCTGCTCACTCCGCCAAACCTGAATCAACAGCCATAACAGGAGGAGGAGGAGGGGCCTTACGGGCCGGAAGCACTATCCTGCGTCTTGTTTTTTGTGGTAGCGATCCTTTGGAAATATCTGCAGCAATGACACGCGCGGGGAAGCCTGCGGAGGGGGCATCCGCAGTTCCTGCAACTCTGGAATACGAAGGCCAAATGTTTTTAAGGGAGCGCCTATGTTTATCGCTCCTCTCTGGGAGGGAAGTAAGGATTCGGCATATTCGGGAGAAACCTTCTGCTGCTGTTGCTACTGCGGCTGACGCTCTTCCAGGCTTGCAGCAGTACGAGGCAAGTTTTATTCGGTTGCTTTGCAAGGTTTCTGCGGGATCGGAGGTGTACATACACCCGACGGGCACCTCGCTGCGTTTTCGGCCGGGGGTGTTGATGGGGGTATGCGCCGCTGCAGCGGGTGGTAACACGGCAGTAGGGCAATCAGCAGCAGCAGCAGCTGCTGCTGCTGCTCCAGTGACACACAATTGCCACGCGAGTCGTGGAATCAGCTATTATTTGGAGCCGTTGCTCATGCTGGCTCCCTTCTGCAAATTCAGGATGTCTGTGCTGCTGCGGGGACTGACGGATGCGGCAGCTTCCGACGCCTCCGTCGACTTGGTGCGTCTGCAGCAGCTTCCCTTGCTGCAGAGCTTGCTGCAGCTCGCGGGGGGGGAGGTAGCAGCGGCTGCAAAAGCCTCTCCTCCTGAAATCAAGGTGCATTGTCGAGGCGTTCCAGGTGCTCCCTTTGGTGTTGTCTCCTTCAAGGGACCACATGTAGCAAGGGGACCAATGCAGCCTCTCAGCCTTGTGAGCGATCGAGCGCCTCCTGTGAAGAGAATTCGGGGAGTTGCTTTTTCTTCGGGTGTCTCTGCAGCCTTTCCAAGGCGGACCGTTGCCGCTGCACGCAGTGTCTTGAATGCCTTGCTGCCTGATGTCTGGATCTACGTGGAAGATGCCTCTGCTCCCCCCGCGCGTGGATCGAAGGCGCTAACCACTGCCGCGGTGTCTGCTGCTGCAGGGGCAGCAAGTGCGCAGCAGCAGCAGCAGCTGCAGCAGCTGCTGCAGGAGCAGAAACAGCTGCTTCGGAGCAGCAAGGTTGCTTCCGTAGGGCTGGTGCTGGTTGCGGAGGATCTTAAGGGAGGCTGCAGAGCTGCAAGCGACGCGATCCTCCTGGATTCAGCTACAGAGGCGAAGGATGCTGCTGCAGCGGCATCGCGTGCAACGAGCAACAGAAAATTGCAAGTGCTGCTAGAGGCCGAGGCAAAAGCCACCAAAGGAGGAGCAGCAGCAAATGCAGGAGGCATAACGACAGCTGAGGAGCAGCTAGGCATCCGCGTCTCTCGGCTTTTGCTGCTGCAGCAGATGCTCGGAGGGAGAGTGCCTCCAAGAGCTCAGAAACTTGCACTGCTTTTCGCTGCCTTAGCTGCTGATCATGCGCCTTCCCAGGTGAGCGAGAGGCGTCTTCCAATACTGCAGCCTTGCATGCGTGAGAGACGCGAGGCGAAGGACTTGTCTTGTTTCCGTGTCTTCATTGCAGAGCGTTGTACATACACTGCACGCTGCCCTTTAGTGGGACCAATACCGGGATGCATGCAGCAGATTAGCATCGCTCTATGAATTTGTGTGTATGTAAATATGCATACAATATCTATAAATATATATACACAATTAATTAGACAACCATAAATATATATATATGTATGTCTAGATACCAGTGTATACAGGTATGCGGGTGTCTGTACTTTGGGCGGGTGTATGCACGTGCAGGTGCTGCTCTCTCGATTAGTGCCAGCTTCTGTTGGTTTCTTGAGGCTTCTACGAGACTTTTTTGGTGTAGCATTCACGTTCACTGAAAAGGCTCAGCAAGAAGAGGTTCAGGAGGAGCATCAGGAGCAAGAGTCTGATGACGAGGAGGACGGGAGTATGAAGAACGGCCCTTCAAATACAGCAGACTCCTTAGATCTCTCTTGGGCACCTCAGATCGTTGCCTCGTGCGTTGGTATAGGATACAGAAACGTCGGTCTGAGCAGCTTCTAGAGGTTCTGCTGTAGCTGCCCCTCCTACGGCGTGTCTGCGAGGGTGCTGCACGTGGACGACTCTGTTGGAGCAAAAGGCAAAGGCGGAGGACGGGGTAGCTAGCTAGCGACGCCATGGCTGTGCAGGCTAGCTATCCCTCTGTGCTCGCGCAGTTTGCAGCGCGCAGCATGCTCATAGGGTAGTCCCCATCATCATGCGGCACTGCTATACGTGCTTGCGTATGAACCTATGTTTTCTTGGCAGTTCCTAGCCGTTCGGCATTTTCCCCCGTCTCCACCCCCGCCAACTTCCTGGCCCCATGCACTTTGTAGATAAAAGAATACCATGAAAGAGTGCTTCCTTTGGGCACCTTTGTTAGAGCGCGTCTTAGGCGTGTACGGACGGATGCCTCCGCTGTTCTTGTCACACATTTTTAGAGGTGTAAAGATGTAGATTTTATATATATATATATGTATATATATGAGTGTGCTTTCCTGTCTGTCCTGCCGCCTTCTATTTCGCTCCCCTGCGCATGGTGTCTGCTAATAATATGTAGGCGCGGTGCCGCTCTAGTTTGGCAATAGGGGGGGGTGTCTGCTCTCTATTTTGGTGTTAGCGCATGATCACTTACCCTCTTTAGTCTTTGCTCAACTCACTGCGAAGCATGCCCGAACAGAACCTAGCTCGTAGGCTATTATTTTCACGGCAGCTCGCTACCTTGGCTGCAGGACTGCCCTCTGGCCCCTCTCTCTCGGAGAAAGTTTCGCTTTGCTACAAAAAACCTAGAACCGACGAAAACTCCTGAAAGCTCTCGACTTCGCCCTTTGTCGAGAGAAGAGCACACACGACGGCAACGCTCCTGCGCACGCTTCCGTTGCAGCGCAATGATGGCAGGCACCGCCTGTCTTGCGTGACGGCAGTGGCTGCGCTACAGCGTGGCGTAGACAAACGCCCTCCGGCCGTCCATGGCACGGGGTGTATGTACACGTAGGTATGTATATGTACCTGTACGTATGTGTGTATGTACATTCCTATTCTTACGCATACAGGTATGTATATACAATATATATATATATATATATATATATATATATATATATATATATATATATATATATATATTGTATATTTACGGAGGGGAAGACTCAGCTACGTCTAGGCAACAAGGGCCACCATCAGCGTGGGCTTTCTAGTGTATGCACACCATCCTCCTACCCCTTGTTTTCCCAGTCGTGCATGACATGACGGCTATGGACGCCTCCTGCTGCGGCTTCTCCTGTTCACGCCAGCTAGCCATCACGACGTACAAGGAAGCGGTCTGCGCCAAACTTGGTGTTACGCCAGTCCCATCTGCAGCAGAAGAAGCAACTAGGCGAAACACACCCCGGATAACTTGCGCACAGCGTGCTGCTGCTGATCAGCTGCTTCTGTGCCCAGTAACACGACCTGGTTACAGGCCTCACTTTTTATCCCATATATCTGTGAGCAAAGATATTCTCAAGGAGCCTATTACAGATGCTCCGATGCTGCCTTTCGCAGTGTTTTCGCCGTCAATGGCAGCAGCGAAGCATCTGAAATAGGCAACCCCCTCCCCCTACCCCCGTCTTCCCCGTTGCTTGCAGTCAGACAATTCCCAGAGATGGCCAGCAGCTCTTCGGCATCCCCCACTTTCCCTGCTTTCCAACCAATCTCTTTCTTTCTCTCTTTTCTCTCTCTCCTTCTCCCCCCCCCCGCAGCCAATACCTACCTCCCACCCGCTGCTGCCATTTGTCCTTCCCTAGAAAAGACACTGCCTGTGGCGCTAAATGGGGTGTAGTAGCTCGAGTATACCCCTGCTAAGACTCCCAGCTAGCAATAACAGTGCAAGTTGCGGTGCTTCAGGCACATGCGTGTTTCGCGAAGCGACGCTGACCTAAGGAGGGCTCTCTCTCCTTCGTCTCTGCCACCACAAACTTGCAAAAACTGGGCGTTCATGCCGTCAGCTCCAACGATCACCAACGCAGGAATTCCTGCGGAAGGACCTTGGCTTTTTGAGGGGATGTTCGACTCTTTCTCAACCTGCATGCACACATAACAAGGAGGCACCCTGTCAGAAAAGCTTCACGGAAGCGCACAAAAGGGAGATATACACACCGTGCTGTCCAGCCACCTCCTTAGAGGCATTAGCAGACACTCGTGCGTAGCTGCTTGTACAGATGTGTGTTTATGCATACATGCATGTGTGTTTATGCATACATGTATGTGTGTCTATGCATATATGTATGTGTGTTTATGCGTATATGTATGTGTGTTTATGCATATATGTATGTGTGTTTATGCATATATGTATGTGTGTTTATGAATATAGGTATGTGTTATTATGCATATATGTATGTGTGTTTATGCATAAATGTATGTGTGTCTATGCATATATGTATGTGTGTTTATGCATATATGTATGTGTGTTTATGCATATATGTATGTGTGTTTATGCATATATGTATGGGTGTTTATGAATATATGTATGTGTGTTTATGAATATATGTATGTGTGTTTATGAATATAGGTATGTGTGTTTATGCATACATGTATGTGTGTCTATGCATATATGTATGTGTGTTTATGAATATATGTATGTGTGTTTATGCATACATGTATGTGTGTTTATGCATACATGTATGTCTGTTAATGCAAACATGTATGTGTGTTTATGAATATATGTATGTGTGTTTATGCATATATGTATGTGTGTTTATGCATATATGTATGTGTGTTTATGCGTATATGTATGTGTGTTTATGAATATATGTATGTGTGTTTATGCATACATGTATGTGTGTCTATGCATATATGTATGTGTGTTAATGCATACATGTATGTGTGTTTATGCGCATATGTATGTGTGTTTGCATGTCGTGTGCGCTCATCCTCTATTCCTAGTCCCCCGCGCAACAGCCCCATTTGCCCCCCCCCCCGTTTTCAGATGAGTGGCATGCAAGCGGGGGGGATTGTACTTCTCTTGCGTGATGAAAAGTAATTTATTTCTCTCTGTAAACGGCGCAAAGCATGCAGGTGCAGAAGCACCGCCACCGCTGAGAGGCCTCTTTTTCCCAGCAATTTCGCTTACTCTGAAGTGCCTGAGCAAGATTGTTCTTAGGGGGTCGTTGTAGTCGACGACTAGCCAAGGCATGTGCTTTACGTGATCCAGATACGCCTTCTCATCTCGATCAGCAGAAACAAAGATAACCTCAATCTTTTGGTGAGATCCTCCTTCGTTGACTGTGCGGTAGAACTGATGGCGCAAGGGCAGCAAGGCATGATGCAGCGCGAATTCCTGAAACAAGCTTTTCTGCCCTGAGCAACATATTTTCCCTTCTCCCCGTTCCCCCCGTCTTTTGTTTTGAAAAAGGCATGTGCCTCCCCCTAGGAGTCTGTCGTACATGTGCGCATAGGGGCGTGCCAATAAGTGTGTGTGAAATACGTGTGTCTTCGAATCGAGGGGATCAAGTGTGCATACAGCTCGAGCGCGCGTTGCTACCTGCAAAAGGAAGGGAAGGAAGCTGGAGCACTTTGGGCTGTCTCCATCTGCGAAGTACAGGCCGACTGACTTGCCGATCAGGTTTCTTTGAGAAACAACATTACCATTGGAGTCTTTCAAGCTGCCCTCGGGGAACAGAATTAATTCTGCACAGAGCAGCGCACATCACAGCAGCGGCAACACACGCGCTTGACGCAGTGTGGCGTGCGGCAGCAAGGCGTCTCATGCATCCGTTGACAGAAGCGCAAGCGCTCTCGGGGGTGGGTGATACACTGCACGCGACAGGGCATGCCACGCTGCTGAAGGGAGTTGGCTACACACGACAGGGTCCGCTAGGAGGCAATAGCCGCAATAGCGCCTCCTGACGCGGAAAGAAAGGCGTGAAAGGAGCGGAGGGAGCGCTGCTCGTGCATGCACAGTGCTGAGCCTGCTACACCTGGCGACACGGCGAGAAAGAGAAGATGTATGGCTCGACTGCGTTTTCTGCGGCAGCTTTCGGCCTGCCAAGGCGCGTCTGCACTGTCACTCGCTTTGACTGTTCACAGTCACTGCCTCGAAGGCGAACTGCAATTTCTAACGGCGGCTGAAGAGAACAACTCCGGAACTAGCTGCAGGATAGAGGGAGTACCAGCGCCTACTGGCGAACATCTCTGCACATACTCCTAGGCCGCTTGCTTCATCGAGTTTTCATTGCAAAAAGAGACTAAAAGCCTCAAGATTTAGGGCACCTAAGCTCACCCATGTCTCTGTAGGCAGGAGGCATCGGGAGCATCTGCCCATCCTTCGCCTCGGCAGCGAGCACCTGCTCCTCGTTGAACCTTCGCTTCTCTGCATTATACGGCGAGCAGTAGTAAGGCAACATCTTTGAAAGAGAAGAAAAAGGAGGGGAAAAGACTTACAGTAGGAACAGTACCTGCGGAAATCAAAGTGATGTGTGAGTTTCGATGCTTCGGCACTGGTGCCTTGACGCTGTCGCTGCTGCACGAGAGCGAGGGCACGTGGCCTAGCCGCTTGACTGCCAACGAGTAACACATCGGCGATCCTTTCTGTCGGTTTTTCCCGCATGCAGCGCACGTAATACTGCAGAATTAAGTCACTTCGAGCACGAATAACATTGCCTTGAAGCTCGAGTATGCACATATACACTCTAAAACCGATCGACACTGGAAGCAGGCCCCTCGGCAAAAGGAACACTGCCGCTGGATTACACTCAACAAAGCATTGCTTTCATGAATGATTAAGAAAAGCATAATAGCTCCAAGATACCTTCAAGATACAGCCATCGGAATCCGGGGGGAAGGGCGGAGAAAGGGCAGTCGTGTTCGCTGTTGGCAACAGCCTTCAAGGCGTACCTCTACCAGCATTGCTGCCTACACGACGAGTTAGAAGATCATGCAGACTGCTAGCTCGGCAGCGCGAGAACATGCGCCTTACGCACCAGGTTGAAACATAACACACGCTAGCCACGGTGCCTTGCGACACACGCCGAACCGAACACGAAGAGAGTTGGCCCCTCATGGAAAGCAAACTCCTGCCTCGCATAGTAACCTTCCTCCGCAACGCCCCCTCCCACCTTCCCCTCCCCTTTGCGAACATAATCGCATACCTCCTGCAGTTGCACTTCTAGGCGCCTGTGCCGCTTGCACCGTGCTGCATGCAACGCTGCCACGTATGCGGTACCTGTAGGGCCAGTGGGTGTTTAAAAAGCGCGGAAGCAAGCTGCCCAGTTTCAAGCCGCTAATGTTGGCAGAACACTGATGAGGCATTCAGGGAAGGGGGAACGACGGGGGGAGGGGGGAAGTGGGAAGGGTGGCAGGCAGGCGACCCCCATGGTGATAAGCACAACAGAGGCATTCCAACAAAAGATCCTGTACATCAAAAGGGTTGGAATAAGCTCTTCCCTGTGCGACCAAATCTGCTTCGCAACACCCAACTCCGGCGGAGTCATAAAGTGCGCACTGTTTTCCTCTCTTGCAGGAGCCTAGCATTCTCAACGCTGCACGGGAAACAGTTAGATCTTCGCCCCCGCATGGTCACGGACAGCTGCATTCCGTGAATTTCGCGCGTTTCATGCGGCGGCGCATGAGAGGATTGGATTTCAAAGCGGCAAAAACCACGACAGGAGGGTCTAAGCGGCACAGTGTAGCCGTCCTTACTGCTTAATGCGCAAGCGCAAGCGCACGCGCACGCGCAGGCTGCGTGTGCATACGAAAGGCAGGACGCAAAAACAGACGGGCATACATGAAAAGCCGACTTTATCATGAAAAAAAGAGGGCGGTTCCTGCGTGAACACCCTTTGAGGCCGTGTCTCCCTTGGCCTGTCGAATGGCGTCATGGGAGTGCCGTTTTTCCTCCGAGCACTGTAACTCGGGGGATCGATCCTTCATGCAAAAATCTCCTCCCTGTCAGCACAGCTAAGGGTGTACCCGATTTCCCATGGTCCAGACGTAGCAGGCAGGCTTTTCGGCGTGCTTTATACGCTTGCCACCTCCCTGCGACACGAGATAGGCGTGAAAAGAACGCTGCAGCTAGCTAGAGAGGGTTACGCTCAGAGTCGTGGGATGCAGGAGGCTAGGCCCCCCTTCCTTATTCGCTTTGACTCTGCATGCGTGTAGCCATTTAGCTATGGTGGCCGTAGGAGAGTATTCGTTACTCTAAATTCTACGGAAACTATACAGAACGCCATGAAACGCGCTCTCTTCCCCGCCTGCATCCCGTGAAGCTCCGGAATGAAGGCAGAGAGACAGCTAGGGTGCGCGTTGCTGCTCACGCAGAGCATTCCGAAGCCTCATACTCAGCTGCACGTAGCAACCTCTTCGGCGCACAAGCGAACACCGTTGCGTCTCTCTTCGCGTATCGAGCGATGAGGACTCTGCGGTAAAGAATCAAGGTGTATGACAGAAACCGGGCTGTCCAGTTCTGCACCGATGCGCAGCTCAAAATAAATTGTGTCGTGCAAAACGCCGAAATGTGGCATGGAGCCTGCTACATCCGCTGTGTTCGTGGCGCGTAGAGACTCTGTGGCGGAGGCGCAAAAGCAACCGTTTGGGCTTTTCTGAGGGAAGCGCAATTCTGTGCAGGATTTGCTAACAGTCAGCTAGAGAGCCGCCCGACTGAAGAGCCAGCGAGCAGGTGACAGATGATCTACGTGCGCGTTTCACGGGATGCGCGGCTCTAGTTCTGCATGCCCCCTGGTTGAAGAGCACCGCCAGTGGCATGCCAGCACGAATACAGCGGAACGCATAACGCATGCACGGGGGTGTCTGCACGCAGTAGACGCGCAGTGCCATGTCGAAATGGAGCCCATATGGGCCGTTCGTGTCTACTCTGGCAACGTTCTTGCATGCCGCAGCCGCGGCTGCGGCATGCATGAACGACTCGCCATCGGAGAAAGCCTTTCGAACGCCCCTCATACGGATTACAAGACGCGAACGAGTACATGGGAAACCTCCTGATTCTGGAAGATGGATGTGCAGTAGGCGCATGCCGGAGTGCAAACTCGCAGGCTGACCGATGGACCCCTTGGAGAGCACCCCGAGTGGCGGCAGCAGCCGCTAGCAACACTGAAGGAGAATATGTACGAAATCCGCTTCCACTTGCATTTTGGAAGTATTCGCATTTCAGTTTACCTGTACCACGTGTTTCTTGACGATTAGCGCCACGTTATTGTTGCTCGCAGCCAGCAGTTCAAGATGCATGCTCAAGTGTTAGACGGCAGCAGCAGTAGCCCTAAGCGGCATAATAAAACGGCAGCAGCAGCAGCACTGAGCGGCATAATCAAACACCAGCAGTAGCAGCACTAGGTGGCATGATAAAACAGCAGCAGCAACCCCACGTGGCATGAATCAGCAGCAACATCAGCACGTAGCAGACAGCAGCAACTGGCACATGGCAACACAGCACGGTCTTTCCCTCCTATTTGCGTCAGTGCGCATATTCCACAGTGTCATTGCGCCTTTGGGAGGGCTCAGACACCGTGCATGCCACCGCCATCATGTGCATCAAGGATAGAGTCATCCTTGCCGACCACGCATCGGCAGCCTTGAGCTTGATGCAGAGCGGCGGCGGCAGCACTGGACGTCTCTGCTAGCTGTGCCGCGCGCGAAGAAGAGTGAGCATTCCTGGCGTTCATCTCTCTCTCTCGGTGTGTTTTCCGAAGACTCTTTTTGCCTTCTTTCTGCTGCAAAGACACCCGGAGGGAGGCGGGGAAAGTGAGGGAAGAGGCCTTCGCAACGCAGAAACTGCCCAGAAGACAGACACAGAGAGCTTCTGTGAAATGTCTGGGGTGTCAGAGGCGCCGTCTGCTGCCGCTGCAAAAGCTGCACAGCAAGCAGCCTCTACAAAGCCAGGGGGGCAGCAGACACACAGAGAACTGCGGCAGCTTACTACCCCACATGCAGTTGCGTCTGCTGCCTCGGCAGAAGACTCGGCTGCACGCGCAGGTGAGCCTCCCCTTTCGCACGGCAGCAGCAGCAAGCTGTTAGCAGGCAGCAGCAGCAGCAACAACACAAGACTCTTGAGCAGCACGAGCACTTGCCGTGCACCTATTCTGCTCAAGGGAGATGCAGACACATTTGTAGCGGTCAATGTTGGAGGTCTCATAGCAGTGCCTTCGCTCAAGCAACAACAGCAACACAAAGAGCAGCACCAACAGCAACACAAAGAGCAGCAGCAGCAGCAGCAGCAACACAAAGAGCAGCAGCAGCAGCAGCAACAGCAACACAAAGAGCAGCAACAAGGCCATGGCTGTGACGGCTGCAGCTGCAATTGCTGCTCGACATCTTCTGATGCGTATCAGACTTCCTTTTTTGTTACGGCGGCTCTCTTTGTAGATGGCATCCGAGTTGCTCCCCCCTGTCTTTTTCTGCCGCACATGCAGCAGGACGTGCATGCAGCAGCAGTAGCGGATTTTAAAAATATCCTTGGAGATAAATTTGAAGCAGCATCATCTGCGGAGGGAGCGAAGCTTATTAACGTCTGGCCACGACCATGTCTTCACAGCCTCATCGGCATGCCTCCTTGCGCTACTTCTACTGCTACTACAACTGCTATTACTGATACTGATACTGCTACTGCTGTTACTGCTACTGATACTACAAGTGCTATTACTGCTACTGATACTGCTGTTACTGCTACTGATACTACAAGTGCTATTACTGCTACTGATACTGCTGTTACTGCTACTGATACTACAAGTGCTATTACTGCTACTGATACTGCTGTTACTGCTACTGATACTGCTACTGCTGTTACTGCTACTGATACTGCTACTGCTGTTACTGCTACTGATACTGCTACTGCTGTTACTGCTACTGATACTGCTGTTACTGCTACTGATACTACTACTAACACTCCTGCTACTGCTACTGCTGCTGCTATTACTGCTACTACTATCGCTGCTCGCGGATCGTCACAACAAAAAAATTTGACGCGCGAAGCAACAGCGGAAGCATCGGCAGAAGACCACCAAGACGGCAGAGATCGATCCTCACTACCACTGGAAGCAAAGCCTCTACTCTCGTCAAGAAAGCAGAATGATCGAGATCCAGCGTTCGAGGAAGCCTCAGAGAAGGCTGCTGGCAGCGAGGCATCCAACAGAAGCGCTCATGAGAGCAACGGCGAAAGGAGTAGCAGCAGCAGCTGCTGCTGCTCCTACTGTACAGACAGCCAACGCAGCATCAATTGGGTGTCTATCCAGCAGCTGCTGCGGCTGCCCGCTCGCGTATCGACGTTGCCGCTGAACGGAACGCTTGTGTTTGCGGTGTATGCCTTTGACAGCAGCCTGTCCACAGAGGGTGTAGCAGCGAGGATGCATGCAGCAGCAGCAGAAGGTGATAGCTGGAGGCTCTTTGGTGTGTCTGTACTGCCCCTGCACGACGCTGCTGCATGCATGCGTCAAGGGAGGCGCCTGCTGCCTATACACCTCGTGCAGCAGCACGTGCCCCTGCTGCCACTCCTCCTCAGCGAGAAAACGGAAGTCACCGCGCAGCTCGAAGAGGGAAAGCAAGCCTTGCAGGCATTTGGCGAGGCTATGCTTCCTCTTTCCTTGCAGAGGCTGCAAAGCACACCTGCAAGTACAGCGCGAGCCGCACAAACTGCCGCTGGGAAATTACTGCACGTCGCAGAAGATTCTCTTTTTGCGCTGCTTTGCTGCAATACCGACGTAGTATCCGTATCTGGAGAGCAGTCTTTGCAGCAGAAGCAGCAGTCTTTGCAACAGCAGTCTTTGCTGCAAAGAGTTGAACTCGAAGCAGCAGCAGTGCGCTGCTGCCGCTTGCTAGACTTGCAGCAGAGCGGTGCGATCCCTCCAGTGGCAGAGCCTGTCGACGCAGCAGTGCAGCAGCAGCTGCAGCAGCAGCTGCAGCAGCAGCTGCTGCTGCTGCAGCAGATTGCGCAGGCGGATTACGAAGCTAGCTTGGAGCAGAGGGTGCGTGGAATGTCAGCAGCACCACCAGCAGCATCATCATCATTATCATTATCATCATCATCATCATTATCATCATCATCATTATCATCATCATCAGCATCATCATCATCAGCATCAGCATTATCATCATCATCATTATCATCAGCATCAGCATCATCATCATCATCATCAGCATCAGCATTATCATCATCATCAGCATCAGCATTATCATCATCATCAGCATCAGCATTATCATCAGCATTATCATCATCAGCATTATCATCATCAGCATTATCATCATCAGCATTATCATCATCAGCATCATCATCATCATCAGCATTATCATCATTATCATCATCAGCAGGCGTGCCGTTTGGTGGATTCCTTTATGTAGAACTGCCTTCATACGGCCTCCCTCTGCTGCACGGGGAGCTCCGCACTGTACGAGCGCCTTCTCCGTTTACGCTTCTGCCTGCCGCTGCGGGCATGCAGCAGCAGCAGCAGCAGCAGCAGCAGCCCTTCCTGCTTTCGCAGTCTCTAGCAGGAATCAACGGCAAATCGCCGTTTGCGTATTTGCCGCAGCCGCTAAGCTCGACGAGCAAAGCGCCTCCCGTGACACCTGCGGAGGCTGCGAAAGTGCTCCTGCAGCAGCAGCAGCAGCAGCAGCAGGAGCAGCAGCTGCAGCGCAAGCAGCAGCAGCAGCTGCAGTCCAAGCAGGTCGAAGCAGAGGGGGGAGGCGTCTCGCGTCTGGCAACAGCTGCAGCTGCAGCAACAACAGCCGCCCCCTCTGCCGCAGCTGCTCCTGCATGTGCCGCCTCTCGCAATTGGTTATGCAAGACTTGGGGAGTCGCACCGTTAAGGTCCTCGGGAGCAGCGCCTGAGGCTCCAAAGACAGCACAACAGCCAGCTGTACGTACACCGGATCTTGCAAGTACCGACGCCTCCACGCGCAAAACAGTCGGAAACACGCAGACACCCCCCCAAGGGGACGACTCGGCAGCAGCTGCTGCTGCCGACAAAGGACTGCTTGGGAGCCTCATTGCCGGTGCCTCTAAGGAGGCTTCAAAAGGCGAACGCGCTGCCAAGGGGATCGCGAGAGAAGATAACTTGCAGCAGCCTCTCCTCCAGCAGCAAGAGCAAGAATCTCTCCAACAGCGCAACTGGAAAGGGCTCATGCGCAATCCTGCCGTCGCTGAACGGCTGCAACGGCGGCTGCTTCTCGTTGATCCTTCATGTGGTCTTACGCATCCTGCTGCTGCAAGAGCCATGCAGTCGCCAATGCAAACGTCTGCTGGTTAGTAAAGCTGCGTATGTTGCTGCTGCTGCTGCTTTTTTATTGATGCTGGATTTCTTGATGCTGCACATTTTGATGCTGCATTTGTTTGCTACTGCGCTTAGCGATGCTGCATTTTTCGATGCTGCATTTCTTGATGCTGCATTTTTCGATGCTGCATTTCTTGATGCTGCGTTTGGCGATGCTGAATTTCTTGCTGCTGCGTTTAGTGATACTGCATTTTTGGCTGCTGCATTTAGTGATGCTGAATTTCTTGTTGCTGCATTTTTCGATGCTGCATTTTTCGATACTGCATTAGTTTGCTGCTGCATTTAGTGATGCTCCGGTTTTCGCTGCTGTGCATTTTGCCCATGTCTCGCCCTTAGCGAGGGAAGGGGGGGAGAAGGGAGGCGTTTATGGAACGGCTGGGTCGGTTGCGTAGTAAGCGCTCTAAAGGCCATCTACCGCAGGAATGCCGTGGCTTGATTTTCTGCTGCAGCACCGGCGAGACGCTGCGGCTGCGGTGTCTGTGCAGGTGTTGTCATGCAGCAGGTGCCTCCTGCTGCAGTGACGAGGGCATTCCAGAAGGTCCCTATGGGGACTGCCGCCACCTCAACGGCCAAGCCGGCGGAGAAAGCCCTTCTTTGGGCGTATAGGTGTGTTGATGGTGGTGGTGGGGTTGGTGGTGGTGGGGTTGGTGTTACTGCAGCAGCAACCACAACTGAGGGAGGCGCGGCGGAAGTGCAAAGCGCCCCCTACGGGATGCTACTCATGTGCCACACGTGTACTGGGTGGTGTGTTGCCGTTGCTCTTGCGCATGCGCGTGTTCTTGCTGCTTCTGCTGCAGGTTTCATTTGCTACGAATTCCGTTCGCTCTGCCGCGGCTGCTGCAAACGGTGGACTGGAGCGGCAGCAGCAGCAGCAGCCAGCAGCAGCAGCAGGAGGCGCTGGAGCTGTTGGAGCAGGCAGACGCCGCTCGGCTGTCTGTCGAAGAAGTGCTAGGTATTCTTCTCTTTTCCAAGGAGCTTGAGCCTGCGGCAGCTGCAACAGCAGCACAGGCAGAAGCAAGAGTTGAATCTCCCACAGGCGCGTCCTTGACAGCTGCCAAGGCACTTGAGAGCAGCAGCAGCAGCAAGAGCAGCAGCAGCAGCAGCGGCAGCGTTGCTGCTGCCGTTCACTTGCGTGTCAAGCGGCTGGCTGTGGAAGCCATAGAAGCGGTGCCAGATTCGGAGATTTTATTCTTCATGCAGCAGCTCGTACAGCTCATAAGGTCACTCACGCTTTTCCACATCCTCGTTATCCTGCTGCTGCTGATAGAGCTCTTTTGTTCGTGTGGCGTGCCCTGTGCAGTGCAGTCCGGTGTATAGACAGCGGGAACCCTACACTGAATAGATACCGTGCAGGGTGTATGTTCTGCAACTTTTCTCGCGGATTTATACATAATGTATATATATATATATATATTGATATATATATATATATGTGTATTGATATGTGTTTGCGTCTGTATATCTTTCTCTGTACTGCAAGATCTTTGCGCGAATCCTGCCCCAGTTTATGTGTTTTTTTGCCTTACGTCTACTGGGGAGTACAAGAGGTTTCTTTCCGCGCGCAGAGGGGCCTACCTATATATAAATGCATGTGCATATTTGCTTCTGTGGGATGTTTTGTTGTCTCCTTTTTTCTGGATGCTCAGGACCGACCAGCACGTAACGACTAGCGGCTGCCGTCTCGGTGCAGCCCTCATTCGGCGTAGCCTTCGCAGTTCTTCGCTTGCCTCCAGTTTTTTCTGGCTTTTGCAGACGGAGAAAGAGCATTCGGTAGGCTTCTTCCGTCTGGGACTAGTAGGCTTGTTTCCCGCCTGTAGAGATCACCGCTTAGTGCAAAAACGAGGCACTTTTGGCGAAGTCGGTCCGTAAAGGCAGGCGGAGCGTTCTCTGGAGTGCTCGCTAGCTCCGCACAGGCGTCCACAGCATCCCTGCCACGCATGCAGACTTTTTTATTGCCATCTTGCCGCCATGTGAAGGCTTTCTCTCCTCCGCATGCATGTGTGGTGCGGTGCACTGCATTGACAATGCAGGCGGACGGGCATCTTTTTGTTCGCGCTGAGCAACGCTTCCTCCAGTGCTTGCGTAGAAGGCAACGACGTCTCCTTCTTCACGCAGACACGCAGGCACAAGGGCACTCACCGCTGCCTCCCCGCATGCAGCAACAGGCTGCCATGGCAGCAAGCATTCTCCAGCTCTTGGAGAGGCAGGTAGGCAAAAAATTTGCCCGCTTTGAAACGGCGACAGCAACCACTCGCAGGAGCTGACGTGAACCTCCCTTCAAGGGTCGAGTCTTCCCCTTCTACCTGCCTTGATGTATACGCGCTGTTTACAATGCGCATCTCTCTCTCTCTCGTCTCCTTTCTTCTGTAGTGCCAGCTTTTCTACGATCAACCCTCCATTCGCTTCTAAGTTCAACCTTTGGACTCAATTAGGCTACACCTTCGTTTCTCGCAGCGCTCTCTGTTTTCTCCCGTTTTTCGAATCGTGCCAGAAGTCTCTCTTCAGAAAGACGTGTTGCAAGCTGCCTGCTGCTTCCCCGCCCTTCCACGCATAGCCACTATGCATGTGACGCCTTTGCCGCCTTTCTTTCCTAGCTGCTCCTTTTTCATTCTCTCCGCGGGCATGCAAGGATTCGTATTTTTTGTGTGTCTTTCCTTGTGTGTGTCTGTGTTTGCATATATGCATGCATACATATGTATACATCTATATGTGTGTGTGTGTCTGTGTATGCACATCTGCATGCATACATATGTATATATCTGTGTGTGTGTCTGTGCCTGCTTTCTTTGCTTCTCGGGCACTTGGTGTCTTTCTGCAAAGCGCGTCTTGCGAAATTTGCTGCACTCCCTCGATGCCAAGCTCAAGCTCCGAAGGGAGAGGGTTGACAAGCGTTCAGAACGGCTTCGGCTGCTTTTAGAAGTGCGTCTCACTTGCCAGCAGGGCATATGTTCTCTTGTTGTCTCAGAAGAGCCCGTCTTCCAGTTTCCCCCCCCTTTCGTATCCTCCCGTCTTCGCGCCAGTATGCATGCGCTGGAGGCTGTTGCTGCAAATGTGCACATGTTATGCATGCGTTTTCATTTACCGCTGCAGCGCCTTTGCCGCGATACTTTTGCCTCGCTGTTCCCCACTTCGGCAGCTGCATCCCCACTGCAGGCGCAGCCAGACGATCCGAAAGCAGATCTGCATTCTGAAGATGAGACACTTGCGAATGATGGGAAGTCGTGTAAAAAGACGGTGTTGGCTGCATTGGCTGCTGCGGCGGAGGCTGCCGAGACGGCTCGAACTCCTGCTGTACGTACAGCAGCAGCAGGAGCAGCAGGAGAAGGCGTTATTAGTTTAGCGTCTTTAGACACAGATGCAGGCACCTCAGCAGCGTCTGCTGCTGCAGTGGAAGACACCCCTGCTGCACGAGCCGCTGCCCTCCTTCGCGCTTGTTTAGAACCTTCGACTACAGTCGCTCATGCGTCTGAGAGTGATGAAAAAAAAAAAGCCACAGCAGCAGCTGCTGCGGCTGCAGCGGCAGAATTCGGCATCCCCTTGCCCTTCGATGACGGCTCTGTACTGCTGCACATCATCGCTCAGGAGTGCTATGTCATGAAGAGCAGCCAATATCCCCTAGTCATCAAAGCCCTCATCTACTACGCGCAGCCTCAGCAGCAGCAACAGGAGACTCTTCGACTGCAACGCTTTCTGTACAAAGAAGACGATGATCTCAGGCAGGATGTTCTCGTTTTGCAACTCATTGCCTACATGAATCGCATCCTCCTGCGCTATGGCTTGGACCTGAAACTCACACCCTACAAGGCAAGCCCTCTCCTTTCCCGCCTTCTCCTGCCTCCCCTCTTCTTAAGTGCCTGTTGATGTGTCTATGAGAGGACAGTCGCTAAAGAGGGTTTTTGCGTGTATATATATATAAATACATATAAATATGTATAAATATACATATATATAAATATATATAAATATGTACAAATATACATATATATATATTTATATTTATGTGTATGGACACACAGGCGCACATACACACACATATATATAAGTACACATAAATAAGCACACACAAATACACACACATAAATACACACACATAAATACACATATTGTACACATAGGAGTTTACTTCTCGCATCATCGGAAACGCTCCTTTTGGAGGCATTGGCAGAGGCGTTTGGGCTTTCGTGGTGTTGTTGGCTGCATGCTCAGGTTGTTGCATTTTCTGCATCCGATGGTTTAATTGAGTTTCTGGAAGGATGTGTTTCCTTCGCGCAAGTGAAACGAGAGAATCGTTCTCTGCTATCCTTCATGGAATCTGCAAGCGCATCCGCGCATCCCCCCGGCACGTGTGCTGGCGATGCTGAAGGCAGCGTGGATGCGCTTAAACGCAACTTTTTAGCTTCTTGTGCAGGCTATTGTGTTGCAACATACTTGCTGGGTGTGGGAGATCGCCATCTTGACAACCTGTTGATCAGACCAGATGGTCGCATGCTGCACATTGACTTTGGATTTATTTTAGGAGAAGGTGGGAGGCATGCACGGGAAGGGGGTGTTCCCTGATGAACCCTGTTGTTGTTGCATTGCCTGGCCAGTTGTGTCATTTTAATTTGCTAGATATGCTGACTGCTCCAAAGCTGTGTATAATCTGATTTACATATCCGTGCGCCATTCCTAGATGTATGAATACATATGTGCATATGGATTCTTGTCTCTCGACACGAGTATATTTCGCCCTTTATGTGTGCTTCCGGTGTATGGCTCTACATTCAGTGCGAAACATGTTTCATGCCCCCGCGGTGAAAGAATGTATTCTGCATCCCCCTTTGCTCCTCTCCCTCTCCCGTTTGTCTTGGAGAGAAAAAGAATGTATTCTGCATCCCCCTTTCCTCCTCTCCCTCTCCTGTTTGTCTTGGAGAAAAAAAGAATGTATTCTTTCACCCCCCTTTGCTCCTCTCCCTCTCCCGTTTGTCTTGGAGAAAAAAAGAATGTATTCTGCATCCCCCTTTCCTCCTCTCCCTCTCCCGTTTGTCTTGGAGAAAAAAAGAATGTATTCTTTCACCCCCCTTTGCTCCTCTCCCTCTCCCGTTTGTCTTGGAGAAAAAAAGAATGTATTCTGCATCCCCCTTTCCTCCTCTCCCTCTCCCGTTTGACTTGGAGAAAAAAAGAATGTATTCTGCATCCCCCTTTGCTCCTCTCCCTCTCCCGTTTGACTTGGAGAAAAAAAGAATGTATTCTGCATCCCCCTTTCCTCCTCTCCCTCTCCCCTTTGTCTTGCGTTTTGTAGATCCGAAGCCGTTCCCCCCCCCCATGAAGATCTGCAAGGAAATGATCGAAGTCTTAGGATCTCTGGATTCTCCCGAGTTTGCCTATTTCTTGCATCTCTGCTGCCTTTGCTTCAAGTACCTTCGCACACACGCGTATCCCATATGCCTCCTTCTCGAGTGTATGGCCACCTCCAGCCTCAAGGATATCACCAAGAATCTCGTGACGGTGCAAGGAAAGCAGCCAGAAACGCAGCAATCGCCACAGGGCAGTCCGCCCGCAGTGGTCACCACCGGTGAAGACGCCGCTCCTGCTGCGACTGTATCGTCTTCGGCTTGCTTAGGAGTCAGACTAGAAAATGCTGCTGCATCAGGCGAGATCACCAGTGCAACAACGACAACTCCGGCTGCCTCTGCTGCTGCTGGTAGTGTCTTGCATCATCAGCAGCAGGCATCTCGGGGTACACCAGCACCACTCGCCGAGATGTCTGCGTCTCCTTCTCGCCCTTTTAAAGACGATTCTTCGGGCGCAGCAGCATGTGACGCTGCAACTGCACCAACGAACCGTCCTGCACCGACAGCGGCTTCTCCCCCCCGCCCTGTATCGTCCAGCAGCAGCAGCAGCACAAGTGGGAGACGCGTGTGCATCGCGATAGAGCGAGTAAAGGAACGCTTCCGCTTGGACCTGAGCGATGAGGAAGCTGAAGAAGCTCTTGTGCAGATCATCATCAGCAGCGCAGGTGCCCTCATCCCTGCAGTAGTCGATAGGCTGCATGAATGGGCGATCTACTGGAAGTGAGCGCTCAAAGCACACTTTTTCGGCGCTAATCAGCAGCCGAAAAAACAATAGTGCATTGAGCGTTGTGGGCGACAGCCTCCCTTTATTTCCCGTATTTCGTCTGTCTGTATGCAGCAGCAGCAGCACGCAGCCCGCAGCCCGTAGGCGCATGCGCCAGTAAACAAGCCCCATACGTTGTGTATGTGCACATGTGACTATATATATACATAAGTGCATGCATGTACGCTTGCCATGTGTATCTGCCGCACACTCGTATACGCTATGAAGATATGCGAATCGCTCCCCCGTAGCATGCGGCATTTTTTAAGGGTCCCTGTTTCAGCAGTTCACTTGTTCTCCTCTTCTGCTGCCGGATATTACTAGGGCTCATGAGCAGAGCGGCTGTCTGGGGTGTGTTGATTAGCATCACGCTTGTAGCGACACTGAGGGAGAACTGCAGGCTTCCCACGTGACGAGCTCGTGAGTTCGACCGCGCAGAAAAGTTGCCCTGTAGCTGTGGCTGCTGTGCACTATGGTTTTATGTGTACCATGGGGAGGCCGATATATATATATATATAGATGTATGTACATAGATGTGTATATAGATGTATATATAGATGTATATATAGATGTGTATATAGATATATATATAGAGAAAGAGAGCCAGTTGCACAAGCCTTATCTGGCCTGAATGCTCCGTTGCGGACGCGCTGGGCATGTGCAACGCCTTCTAGCGCTCCTCAACAAGCACCGCGGGCTAGCTAGCTGACTAGCTAGCTACCTAGTCAGACGGCGCGAACTTGTCAGGCATGGAGTCTTAGGCCTGCGAGCGCTCCTTATTGGTCCCCTGCGCCACTCCGCTGGATTGGCATTCGCAGCGTAGCTAGCCATACGCCGAGCTGTGCAGCGCGCTGCACTGCTGGTAACTCTAAAAAATGCAGCGCCGAAATCCTGGCTGCAGGAAGGCAGGTTGCTCGAGAGAGAGACAGAGCGAGAGAGACAGACAGAGACAGAGCGAGACAGACAGACAGAGACAAAGAGCGAGACAGAGAGATATTGCAGCTTCGCTCAGCTATTGCAGCCTCTCTTCGTATAAGGGTTGTCAGATCAAAAGTGCAATTTCAGAGACGGGTGCTTAGACTCAACAGGGTGTAAATATAACTAGTGTACAAGAAAGGGTGTACCCGTAGCCTCACTCGCTACGGTACATCCCTCCCTCTACCTGCCTGCTGCAACTGGTTTCCCATCCCTGCCGCGCAAAAAGACAAGTAAGAATGGGCTGCCTGATCGTTGAGCTGCGCTTTGTTTTCTGAAATAGGAAACATTATACACTGGGCATCAAAGAATTGGCCTTTCTTATTGGTTTAACGCCTTGCAAGACTTATTATTCCATGCCAACTCTTCTTCGCTCGATGCAACAGGTCTCTGCAGTGCGCTAGTAGGCATACAAATACAAAATCAACTTGTCACTTCTTTCTAATGCTTTCATGCATGGATTCAATACAGTGGAAAGCACCTTGGTGTAGCTCTCCCCGCTCCATGCCCCCTCTCCTCCTGTCCGGAGTTTAGAGTGGTTGGGGCTTGGGAATAAGGTCGTAGCTCTTTGAAAATCAATCTAAAGTTTTCTGAAAACTTTGTAGTACGACTGGCGGTACGTATCTCCCCTACATAGACTTTTGAAGCGAAACTGCACTTTTTGTGCTCACTAGTTTCGGGTATGCGCGTTTACAGCTTCACAGAGCAAGAAGCACCTCGTTTTCGTCGTAGGCAGTGCAGCTACGCATAGACGGCTGCCCATTGCAAAAAGGCCACGCGTATCTGCGTGGGTGAAGACTACATTAGAGCGCTCACTTTGCCAGGCTCGCCACTGGTTGATCAGCTTTTGTTTCGCCGAGCGTGCTTTCCAAGCAAGCTGGGAAGGCGTCCGTAAGGGCCGCACACTGGCCTGCCGTGATGTTGAAGCGCCTTCCTTTGCAACGCGCCAGGAGGAAAGGTGTTCCTCCTCCAATCCCGCAGGCTGCAGCGTCAGTAGGACCTGAGCCTGCGCATACAGCCCACGGGAGCTGTTTTGATGAGGGCAGGCCCAGAGCCAATGAGCCGTCTGTGTATGCCGGTGCGCCACACGAGAATAGCGGCGATTTTGTGGCAAGTGCAGGCTTTTCAAGGTGCACGCTGGCGACAAGGCGCGCGTTTCCCCCCAGAACATCCCCCACCCTCTCCCCTTAAACCCTTGTGCAAGCCTGTGGATACGGGTACATCCATCAGGGAGCCGTCCGGAGGACGAAGGCACAAAGCAGCGCGGCTTCAACACTGGATGCAACACCCTCGAGTGTACATACAGGTGCCCCAGTAACCGCCTGGCCCATGACTGCTCTGCGTTCTAAGTAGCCGCGCCGCCTCGCACTCCCCAGAGGCAGGCTGTCACAACAAGCATAATCAGAAGTAGGAAGAAGCAGCAGCATCTCCTGGAGGCACCACTTAAGCCAGCTTTCCAGCATGCGTTCTCTGTAGCGGCGGCTTAGGCGGACTTGCCTGCCGCCTTCTGCTGCGGGTGTTGCTCTTAAAGTTGCGGCGCAAGCAAGCCTCAAAAAGAATTTCCCGGCGTCTTATCGATCTAAATTCTCTAAACTTCGCCCATCACAGTAATTTGCTCCCCCAGCAAGGTGCCATGCACCACCCCCTTCGATCTCCCGGACCGATCGGAACGGGGACTGCTGAAAGGAAGCCGCAGCCGCGCGGCGTCTCTGGCACGGCACCTTTGAAGGCGTGGCATCATTTCCTTTCATGGCAAATGCCTTCTTCATTAAGAATGAGGAATACTTAGAAGGCGGTGCTCTCTGAACGCAGAGCGATCCCCCTTCTTAAAGACGGTGGGAAACACGCGGGTGCAGTAAGGCCCTGCTCGCACCCTACCACCAGCTCCCTTGCCCGTCGGAGGCGGGATTTTCTCTGCTTTGTGGATTTCTTTCAATGGATTTTTCCTATGCCTTAAGACACAGGCAGCGATACTTCCGCCCTAGCGAATGGTGCATCCTCCCGTTTGTCTCGCGACGGCAGGCTCTGATTAGCCGGAGCAGAAGCCGCACAGAACGTGTCTAATTGGACGTCGAGGGGGGCACTCGGCGTCTTCTCAACTCTGTCTGCCATCGCTCCCTCTGCGACGCCTCTTCAGGCGAGCAGTGGCAGCCTCACCGACGTGCAGCAACCCCTCCTGCCCCTGTGGGATCTGGAAGCTGCCGCTGAGGCTTTACAAGCCTCGCCGTTTTTCGTTCCCCACGCGGAAAATGGAAGGCTTTAGAGCACCAGAAAGCGACGCTCCCGCTCCCGCTCCCGCCGTAACCGAAAACACAGCAGCAGCAGCAGCAGCAGCGGCAGCAGCAGCAGCTGAAGGGGCAACCGCAGGGGGCACAAGAGGGGTGCTCTCGAATGTGAATAAGCGCGCCATCGCCAGTGCAGTGGCAGGAGGATTGCTTTTGTTACTGCTGCTCTTGTGGAGAGGAGAGACTCTGAAGCAGGAGCTGTCGGTAGACGCCATCCGCGCAACAGCAGCAGCAGCAAAAGCCACAGCCACAGCAGCAGTGGGGGCATGGCTTCCCTATTGGTCTTCTGCTGCGGGGAGACTGGCGGAGCAGCAGCAGCAGCAGCAGCAGCAGCAGCAGCAGCAGCAGCAGGAGGAGGAGGGACTGCTGCTAAGACCTCTGCCGGAGCCTCAAGTGGACGCCTTTTCTGTGGAATCGGATGGCGTTGCGTGGCGGCAATTTGCAGCTCGTGAGGAAGACGCTATTAAGCGCGTCTTGCTGTTGTTGCAACTCGAGCAGCAGCAGAGGCGGCGTGCAGCGGCAGCTCCTGGGGGGGCTGTTGCGGGTCTGTCGTGGAAGGCATTGGATTCTCTTTTGAAGGCAAGAGCAGCAGCGGCTCGAAGGCGAGCAGATTCGCGCGAATTCTCTGAAGAGAGGCGCCAGCGGATTTCCACAGTCTCCGCGGAGTTCAGTTCAGAGGACGCTGAAGCAGCGTCGTCAGGGCGGGAGCTGCGTGAAGTGTTATTGGAGGAAGGCTGGTCAGTTGTTGAGAACGTGAAGCAGCAGACCATTCGTTTGCCTCGAGCGTTGCGCTCGCTGCTGCTGCAGCAAGGGGGTTTTGGGCTAAAGGAGTTGTTGCAGAGCGCGATCGAGAAGAGCGGAAACTCCCCTTTTTTTCCCGCGCTTTCTCCCGTGTTTTCTTCTCTAGCGGAGGAGGCGCGGGCTGGCGTTACACCCCGGCACTTGTCTATGTCGGAGGCGTATTCAAGAGCATACAAGCAGCTGGCAGACGCAGTGCATCCGCACAAGCTCACGCGAGCCGTCAAAGTGGACGGGCACTACCTGTATCCGTGGTCGGTGTTCACGAAGCAGGAGCGAGAGCAGCTCTGGCTCATGGCGGATCAGCTGAAGTGGCTCCCCAAGTGGATCAAGCATCATCGCGTCGCGCGAAAGCCACCTCCTAGGGTTCTAAAAACGCATTTGCCAGTTCTGAAACCAAAATTTACGGATATTTATGGCGGTCCAGGGGCGCCTTCCTTGGGTGCAGAACCGGGGGTGCGATACACCTGGCTGGGGCATGCGTCGGGGCTTGTGACGATCGACGGTTTGAACGTGTTGATAGATCCTGTTTTGGGGGAGGATATTGTGGGTGCAATGAGTGATTTGGCGAAGCGTTTCTTGAATTTCGTGAATTCGAAGCTGTGTGGCAGTCTGGGGGAGCGGCTTCGACCTGCCCCTGCGCGCATTAGCGAGTTGCCATCCGATCTGCATTTGGTCATCTTGTCTCACAATCACCAAGACCACATCATGGAGCGCGACATTAAGCACTTGTGTAGGACGCACAAGGAGCGTTTTAAGCATTTGATGTGGTATGTTCCCGAAGGGGTTGCGTGGTTCCTCGTGAAACACGGGTGCTCGCCGCAACGCGTGTGCGAGTTCACGTGGGGAGAAAGCAGAACGCTCTCGTGCATGCCGCGGAACGGGCAGTATGCGTGCAGCGACGGGGTGTGGGTTAGGCCGGCGGCTGCCGGCGACGCTCTCTCGCAGGCGCATTCGCCGAATGGTGGCGGCGCTCCCTCTAGCGACGAGAGCGGGTGGCAGGGGCCCTCTAGCGGCGCGTTGCATGCTTCGGAGGGGAGTGGCAGCGGGAGGTTCTCTGGTCATGACAGGGGGGGAGACAAGGGGATGCCTTCAACGCCGAGCAAGAAGAAGATGCCGCCCATGCATCGCTCGGTGCGAGGAGCAGCTCCGGCTAACGGGGGGGCGGGGGGCGGAGCTCCGCCTCTCGGGAGCGGCGTGGATGCTCGGAGCGCGGCTCAAGATCGCTCTCTCGGGGGGGGGAGGCTGCCCATGAACGCAGGAGCGGGGGGGGCGGGGGGGGGAATGCAGCAGTTTCGCGCCAGTCGCCTCGCGGGAGCTCCCCCCGCAGGCGCTGAGGGGTCGCTCGGCGAGGCGCGCGCGAGCGAGGCGGCTGTAGATCGCTTCACCATCACCTACGTTGGCAACGTTCACTGGAGCGGGCGAAGCCCAGCCAAGGCTGATCACAACACCTCCCTTTGGGGGGGATTCGCCATCAAAGGGCCCCGTCACAACTTTTTTTACGGCGGCGACACGAGTTATTTCAGGAAAGATTTCGACGAGTTTCGCAAGGTAGGTCGCCTCTTGGGTCCGTTCCATCTGGCGGCTTTGGCGATCGGCGCCTACGAGCCGAACGAGGATTTGCGCTACCAGCACGTCAATCCGCAGGAGGCTCTCATGCTCTTCAAGGATATCCGAGCGGAAGTCGGCGTCGGCGTGCACTGGGGAACGATGCGGCTCTCGGCAGAAAATTTCTTCGACCCCATGTTGGAGCTGGAGTGCGCCTTGCTCGGTGTCTCCGTGGGGGTTTGCCGTGGGGAGACAGTTCCTGGCGGCGGCTTTGTTGCCGGTGCTGAGGGGGGGGGGGCGAGTGGGGGGGGTGTTTCTGCGGATATTCCGCCGAACGCTCCCAAGCCGCTTGCAACAAAGGAGGCTGCAGTGCCAGACGGCAAGCGCGGGAAGAAGGCAGCGACTCAAGAAGCCGCCGCAGGCAGCGGGGAGAGGGCGGGCAGCGGCGCCGACGCAGGCGCCAAGAAGAAGTCGCCTCTGTCTGCTCGCAAGAAGGACGCCTCGAGCAAAGTCACCAGCAGCAACGCCGCTCCCTTCCCCAGCAGCAGCAGCGCAGATGCGAGTGCGGAGGGCGCATCCACTGCGAGAGAGGAGGAAACCGACACACTCGTTGCCGGCTCAACGCTTACGGCAAGCGTCCTCTTCGAACCCGAACCAGAGCTCGAAGCAGCGCCCACAGTCGCTGCAGCCACTGCGGCAGGCGCTGCAGCCGCTGCGGATGACGCGCCTTCCTCTTCGCGGGGAACCACACGAGAAGCTGACGGAGAAGCAGCAAAAGGCACTGGGCTTAAAGCCGCAGACACTCCGGCTCAGACACCCTCTCTGCAGCGGCGGCAACCGCATTCGAAACTCCGAGATGCAATCGACCATTTGCTGGAGAATCCACTGAGCGTGCTGCGACGGGGAAGACGCCCAACGAACATGCGGGAAGCCATTTTCCCTGGGCACTTCTACAGATCCACGCTGCAGCCGGTAGCTCTGTGGAGCGACCCTCTGCTGCACCCCAGCAACGCAAGGAGGTAATTCTTCAGCATGCTTGGCGAAAAAGTCGTGCGTACTAGCCTGCGAGCAAGACGAGGGGAGGGAGTGGGAAGGAGAGGAAGAAATAAAAGAGGGTTGGCGGGAATACGTATTTTGCACCCTTTATGGGAGCTCGATGTGGATATATATACGTACATATATATACACATATGTATATATATATATAGCGCGCCTTGTTGTGTCTGCTTTGTTGAACTGAACCTCCTTCTTGTGCATTTTAATTTTTAGCTCTAACGGCACACACAGGGGCCGCTGCCGGTTGCCTTCCCCCCGCCAGCGTTGGCGCGAGGAAAAATTGTTTTTAGTAGTGCCCCTTATTTCGAGGCAGAGGGGGAGAATCGGGATCGAGAAATGGATTCTCTCCGCATGTGCATGCCACGTGTTTCTCCGCGCATCTTCATGCTCTTCGCTTGCGGAGTCTCCGTCTGCGGTTTCTGACACAGGCTGCGCCGTGCAGAGAAGCTAGAAGCACTAGGTTTGCTACATCACGATCCACATTGGAGGGAAAAGCTCCTTGTGGAGGGTGCTCGCTTTCAAACTCTCCATATTGGGCATTCTATTCAGGTGGGTCAAGTATGTATGTGTGTATGTATGTCCATGTGTATGGATGTATGTATATGTGTGTGTGTGTGCATGTATGTATGTATGTATGTGTATCTATATGTATGTATGTCCATGTGTATGGATGTATGTATATGTATATGTATGTATATGTATGTGTATATATATGTATGTGTATGTATATGTATGTGTGCTGCTGGTGCGTGCGTTGTGGGCTGTCTGCATTAATCTTCTCCCCTTTTTCCTCCCCCTTCGTTCCTTCCCTTCTTTCTTCCTTCCTCCCCATCTCCGTCAGGTCTACCACAGCGTGTGTGTGAGTCTGAATATGTGCAAAGAATTTGATTCCTTTTTTGTTCTTAGCGCTTCTTTTTCCTGTTTGGTGGCTTGGCCTTCCCGCTGCTGGCTGTGTGTTTGCCTCAGGTTGAGCAGGGGGACGATGGCACACACATTCTCATGTCGAGGAGCAGCGCGAGAGACCACATTGATCCTCAAGCCACTGCAGAGCAATACGCCTTCCTGCCCCTCTACCTGAAGCCCGCCAGTGCTGGCGTTTCCAACGGAAGAAATTCTGGAGTTCGTAACGGAGCCAAGGGAACGCATGCTCGCGGAGGAGGTGTGTCAGCGTCGCCGATGGAGGCGGCTAGAGGGCAGCAGTCTGACGAAGTGGGGAGCATGGAAGTTGCTTTTTCGCGGGTTGCGGTAGGAGTAGGAGTTCCCAACTTAAGGAGACAGCAGCGTGCAGCGCCTGCCGGTTCTGCGATTCGGCCGTCTTCGAAAGCCGACTCGCCAGTCGCGGCTGGCGTTGAAGAGGAGGATGAAGAGACGGAAGTCTTTGATATCATGGACTGAAGTCTCCGATGGCAAGCGGGATTGTTTTTATGTCCCTTCCTGGATCACCCCATTCCCTCAGTGGGGGCGCGTTAGGCTGCAGGTGCCGGGGAGGCTGCACCTGGTGGCTGTCGCAGTTTGCAAATTTGGATTGGTCTGCTTCGTCGTTCACGGTGTATAAATGCATACGTACAAATGTGAGTACAGGTGTGCGCAGCAGGCTGTTTGTTTCAAGGTATCTTGGGATATTTCTGCACGTTGATATCAGTAAAACGCAGCACAAATTGTTTAGTTGTGTATGGGTGCCCAACGTGAGGCATCAACTCGTGCATGCATGCAAGAGGCGTCGAACCGACGGTGTCAATGCACGCCAGACCATCGCTTTCTTTAGAGCATCCACCACATAAACTCTACCGAGGATACAGGGAGCAACAAGCGCAGTAGAAAGCAAAAAGCGCGTGCTCTTGCCTCGGTTTTTCTCTGTAGGCGACCCTCTCAATCATCAAGTGTCTTGCACGATTGATGGGCTGCACCCTCCTAGTACATTGTCTCTCTCCCTGCGTACCTCTCGTGAACGCGCCTCTGAGGTATGCTTATTGAGCTGTGCTTCGTTGTGTTCTAGGCGCTTCTTCTGCATCCCCTTGCTATTTATGCACAGATGTGTTGTCTTTTCTACCAGTCCCTCCTGCTATCTACAAGCAACGGTTCTTTCTTTAAGTGGTTCCTAAGCGAGTCTGCTTTTAGTCGCTGATTAGCCCTAGGCCGAGTTCTTTGTACGATTGGGGCCAGCTACTGCTCTTCTTCCACCAAAACCTTTTCCGGCGCAACAACGCACCCACTACTTCCGCAGTTGCTGCTGTTGTTCACGCCAGTTGTGACTCCGCAATTGTCTGTTCATACCATTAGTCGTGTAGCGTAACTACTGTTACTCCTTTCACTTTTGGTATCTCAATGGGCACAGTCTAAACTGCCTATGGGGTGGTGCAGCGCGAAATTGCGCATTGCTGGCTCTAAAATTTTACTGATGACCTGATGCATTCCGTAGAGGCACGTCTTTATGAGACGAATAATCGACTGCTACTGCTTAACCTCTATGTACATTTATATGCTGTGTATACACTGCTGCGCGAAACTTGAATCCATGAGGTCAGCCCAGAGGGAGGGCATCGTTGAGGACGCCCCAGTTCGCAAAGTGTACAGATGCTGCGTAAATCTAGTGCACACGAAAAGGATAAACAAGTACACTCGCTTTTTTTCTATGAAATGCGCGTTTTCCATTCTTCGTTTGTTCCGATTGCTATTGGGCTAATCCAAAGGAACTCAAGCTCCGCCTGCGGGTGTGTAGCTCAATGGTAGAGCGGCCGACTGCAGATCGGCAGGTTCATGGTTCAATTCCGTGCGCGCCCTTTTCTGTTTCGGGCGAATGATGCATTGTATTCATTACTTTTAGTAATTTTGCTTATTGTTTGTCCCTAGAAACGAGGATATTAAGACAAACCCTACGTTTGCCCTTCGAGCTCAGCTCTTTCCTCAATATTCTGGCGTCTCGGCGCCACGTAGCAACGTTTCTGCGGGTCGGCAGTCATAGTGACGGAGCAATATGAAACCAAGAAGGCTATCAAAGCACTATACCATAATAGGTTAATTTAGTTTATAGAAGCGTTACCTTGAAAAGAACTACTGAAGCAATACCAGCTGAAAAAGCAGATACACCCGAAAGGAAGATGATTAAATATGAATGCAAAAGGTTGTCATCACTTTGCTTCAGCCATCGCTTTAACCCTTTGTTGCTTCTGCACACTATTGATTGCGCAGTACGCATTATATTGTCTTCCACTCTGCCGGCCGGCTAACTTTGCCATTGTCATAGAACAAAGTACAAGGCACAGGGCCATAACGAAATCTACACAATGATCTCACCAGAACAGTGGCCACATGCACATTATAAAATCAAAGAGCACACCGGAAGCAAATGCAGATTGAAGGAGTCTCCATAGTGTCTAACATTCTCCCATCTCTAGTGCAATAATTGCTCCAACAAACATTCTCCGCAGTTCAAACGGCTCTTTTGTACAAGGATAGTGCCGAAGGAAGGCAATCCAGAAATCTGTGAAGTAAGAGAGTACAGTGCTCTTTGGGTCAAGGGAATCACCGCAAAAGGGAACAGCTGGCATGTGACCTGGTAATGTCACGGTCATGTTACTGGCAAACATTTAGATACACCACCGGGAATCCCCATGGTGCATTTATCCACTGAAAATTTGTTTATGGCGGGTATTCACATGTCGAAAAGTACGAGAATATGACTGCTGCATTGATATCGCAGGGATAATGTATGCGGGCCACAATCTTTGGCATGGGTTCCCGCCATGATTGCTACAGATTGTTGTTTCTCGCTTCCTTCCACACGAATCCAGCTCTTCAGCTTCAAGATGGCAACACAATGGACATTCCCTACTCCAACTCTAATGCAATCACGGTTTTCCGCGAGAAACAATACTCAAGCTAGATTCTTGAACCAAGTCATGAACTTCTTCTTGGGCAAAACACTGTTTGTGAGCCATCTCAAGTCATTCAAAGAAGTGAAGCCTTTGCAAATGTAATCACTCCTTTGAGATTCTTGGAGCAAAGGAATACTTTTAAGGATTGCTCCCTTTGCTGTACTCCCACACGTACCTACACATTAGAGAGTGCCAACGCACCTTCAGGCGCCTTGTACTAGCGGTTTTCCCCGTATCCATGGACAAACTAGCCTATGATAAACCTCAAGGGGCGGAAAATGCGTTTTTCCTCCATGAATTTCTTATTCTTTCTAGTATTTCTTTGTGTTCTGACGATGCCTGCGTCTCCGCTCCACACCACTCTTGCATCGCGGCAGTCTGCCCTGGAAGTGCCGTCTCCCTCGTCCATCATCTCTGCGATCGTCGAACACTACACGTAAACTGCACTTTCGTTTGTCCATTGAAAGCAGCAACAAGCCTCTTGGTTGCAAAAGTCGTCCTAAAGTCGAAGTTACTGAAGCAGCAGGGCTAAAACGAATACCAAAGGTGGATGCACAGAACGTCCGCTTAGTTCATAACCAAACCCCGGGTATGACAAAAGGAAAGATAGGGAGTGAAATGTTGAATAAAGGCGAGGGGCGCATAGCACATGAATCTGAGCAAAAGGAGCCACTGACTACAAAAGTGAACTTCACGACCCCCAGCCACCAAATTCTCAGTGACGAAATGCACGCTGAGTTTACTCCTGCCGTGGCGTGCATTGTTCCGTAAATTTATTATGGGTGTACTTTTTCAGCTGTGAAGGAAAAGCTCCCTCTCGAGGCGTACCGTGAAGGTGTGGAGGAGGAACAACGAAATGCCATGGAAGCAGAAGCAGATTTTGCTAGGGAGGTAAGATATATGCTCATGCCAAAAGGTACGAAACACTGGAAATCGGAAATTGCTTACAGTTGGACTATGAAGAGGCTTTGAAAAGTAAGGCGATCATTATGGTGAACAATAGATTTTTCGGATTCTATTCAGGAGTTTGACAGGGAGCCAGCTCGCAGACAAATTGAGGAGAAAAGAGGTACATATAACCACCTGAGACTCAGAGCTGAAGAATGCGTTTCCGCCCTTGAGACACAGTTTCCCACGCATACGTTCACCCTAAACTAGGTTGGGCCATAGAGGCCTCTAAAGACAGACATTCAAACACGTAGTCCTATAAAAAAGCTCGCCCTCATGACTCTTTTTTGCAGGAAGAAAGGGAGGAAGATGGAGAGGAAATCGCATGACAGAAGACGTCTGTTTCGGCATTGTGGCAAGGGAAGGGGGCTCGCCATCTTCCAGTTGAAAACTGGGCAGCGTTAAAAGCATGAGAGAGCTTTCTTCACACGAGAATGGAAGCCCATGGGCAAGTACCGTCACATTTGTCGTCACCGGTTCCAGCTTGGCACTTTTTTCTATGGAGAGTTCATTGCGGCAGCTCCCATACGTCGGAAAAAAACACGCATGGTCTCATATCCATTGTGCGAGGGGGCAAAAGCATCGAAGGGCTGACAACGTGCGAGGGCCTTCCAGATGATGTCGTAAATTCCAATGCGCTTCATCGCTAAAGAGGCCAAAGCTCTTATCGGAGCTCTTACCCCACCGAAGCGCTACTAGCCAGGTGCTACAAACCCTTCTGCTTCGTTTTAGCCGGAAGCACCGAAAACAACTAAACGGGCAGACCGAGACCGCTTGCTGTAGATATCTACAAGGCTAGTGATACTGAGCTCGTCCGCAAGCCAATACCCTGAACGTCTTAAGCAGACTGCGCTCCATGGTTAGGCGCGTACGCCATGGCAAAAAACGCTTCAGTAGAGCCTTACACCCTAAAGAGCAAATCGCACATGTGCTGGTGGAAGCGGCATGCGGGGCAAATAGTCGTCATGAAAAAGCCGTAGACTTTGTAAATTAGTTGCGCAAACACTATTTCAGAACTGATTCTCTCCTGTTCTAACAGTGTTTCTTGCTGGGAAGGCCTGAGGATGGCCTGCACCGCCGTAGACGGCTCCCGTCCACCTTTTCAAGGCCGTCAAAGGTTCTTATGGAGCATCCTGTAGTCGATTCACATTTCCTGATGTAGCCTATGTGGTTCTTCGGGACTGTGCAACCAAATTCAAGCGTCCCAAGTAGCTTTGAACAGGAGCATGCATGCGGTTATAACTCGATGTCTACGGCCATAACATCCTCGAAGAATGGTTTGTATTTGGCGACAAAGCTTGTGTGAGCTGGATGACTTGAGTATCTGTTGAGGTCTTCGGCGTTGCTAAATTGGGAGTACAGAACATGGGTGAATCCCCTAGCACGTTCATGAGTGAAGGTTGGCCGGAAAGAAATGGCAAAAGGCATGCCCTTGATGCACTCGGGTAGGGCCTCGGCTTCTGTAGCCATATTTAGAAGCGCAGAGGGTGGAGTGTCCGGCTTGAACTTGAAACAGACCACATGCACAACGCGAAACGCCGGGATCACTGCTGCCATCGTCACCTTGAATATTTCGGAGGAAAAGGAACGTGAGTGATAGACCGACAAGAAAAACAGCTAAGATAGACGGTTAGGTTTCTGTAAGATCTCGGAGGCACGTCCTGTGGGTACAAGCCCGTTGGAAGAGGGTCACTAATGAGGAGAACTCGAGACAGTTTATCTCCCCACACGTTCTCCAAGATTGCCTGTTGTGTTTTTTCATGTGTCATTTTATTTTGGTGCTAGAGCATTACATATGTCCTTGTATGTTGGTTGTACATATGCCTTTTTCCTCGTAGGCCTTGAGTGGCTCTCCTTGGTATGCAGCGCTCCTGTGGCTATTTGAGTGATTCGGCCTTTGGTTGTCGAGATTGGACGGCGCTCTAGACTCTTCTGGACGCTAAAGAGGCATCGCCTGCAATAGCAGCACTCATTTTTGTGTGGTGCTAGTGGCGCTGTCGCCTGAAGCCCACACAGAGTGGCTTCACCCTTTGGACAGCTTTTGGCATATTTCCTTGATTTGTGTCTCACGTCCTAGAAGACACACGCTGAGGCATAGTGCTTCGGGCACCTGCCTCTACCGCCTCTGGAAAATGCATCAAAGTTCAGTCCCTAGTGATCCAAGCCAGTACGGCACCATGTGTTCCAAATCTACTAGTCAGTCTGTGCAGATCAATCAGCGCCCAAAGTCTATCAAAGCATGCCAAAAAACCCATTTTCCTTTCCCTGATAAGAGCGCTGCCTATCTCTTGCGGCCATCCCACAGCTTTCGGTTCGAGGGAAGGTACGGCAACCGCGTTGCAACCAGCTACAACTTCAGGGGCACTCTAGGCATGCATCTGCACGCCGCCGCACATAGCACTTGGCACACGGGTACACAGCGTTAAGCTCTTAATCTTGATGTTTTTCCCTGTGCAGTGCAACAGCTCATGCACAGGAGCGACCAAGCCGATTAGCCATGACATAACTAAATCCTATTGCATACACATAAAGTAAATGAAAAGCGGCAACGCAAAAGTTTGTGTGCTACGAATTGCAAGCAGCCAGTCAACTGATTCCTGTTGTGCTACACTTTCGCCTGCCACAGCATTCATCTTTTGATCCAAGTTTTTCCATGAAAAGGGACATCCGTAATACATAAACCTATCTGTTGTTTACGTGAATAGTAATGTACGACTGTGCATGTATGCTCACACTATGTATGGACAGGCTTGCTCCTTTTCAATCCATATACACTTGTTCTTACCGGGAGGTAGTACGAAAAAACTGTGGCATCAGAGTCTGCAAGGCCTTCTAAAGCGGTGCTGACTTTCCAACTCTTGGAAAATAGTTCTTGCCGAATTGCTACGGGAGGCTAAAAGGGAGCAGGACCATTTAGTGGGGGGCCATTTTTTGGATTTATAGATACCTTGTAGTTCTACAAACACGTGAAACGGCAGACGCTGTTCCCCAGAAGGAAGGTCTGAACCTGATGGTCGCCTGTAGGGAGGCGGGTAAAACGAGGATTCAACGCTCGTCCCCTTGTACGCCTTGGCATGGCGGCATGATATACACAAGTCAGGCAAAAATCTTAGCAGTACGGAACATATGGAAAATAAAAGCGAGAAGTCTAGAAGCTGTGTTATGCGTATCATATTTACAGCGATGCATAGGGAAGATACTTAACCACCCCAGAAGGGGAGATACGCATACACCGGGTGCGCATTTCACAAAATGCAGAACTCCCAACGTGGAGCACGAAGGCGCCGCGAGACAGCGGGCCGTTTTCCCTGATTGCCCATCCCCAGAGAATCACGTGCCTGAACACACCCAGAAGGACTGCCAACTTGCTCTTTCTCTCAGTGGCGTGTAAAGTCGTCACCAAGAAGCCCCCAGTCTCGTGTTGGTGGACGCGAAACAGAGCAGGGACGGGCGTCTCAGTTCAAAGCTGCGGATGCTCCCTGCTTTGTGCGGAGGGCATACACACCGAACTCCGAAATAGCAGCACAAGCTGACTGCAGAGGGGACCGTGTGTCTCCTTGCGGTATGATGAGCTGGCTAGGTGCGGCAAACAGGCTGCACGCAGACTCGGGAAAGCCAGCCGCGCAGTGCACAACCTAACAGCCACACTCTAACTCGAAGAGCAACACAAGCAGTTGCCCTCTGAGAGTAAAGCAGGTGATTATGGGCATCGCATGTGTCGTACGCCAAATCCTGTGTGCTAAAAGGGAAAAAACTGAAAAAGAGACAGCGATCTACGCAGAAAAGGACCACTGTGTAGATAGAGGTTTTTGAGACAAACAAAATCCCTTCAGGGGTCTTGAGCGGCGTCAGCCGGACGCCGCTCGTTTGGGCAGGTGGCCTGTGATTCTAAAATCTACAAGGCGTAATTTCTCCCTCATTCCCCCTTTAGAGCGGCTTCACAGGGGCTGTGGGAATGAGGAGGAAAAAAAGCTGCTCTTTCCAGCTCCTCTAGGGCCGCCTTATCACAGCAAAGATCCTACGTATCAACGGCACTGCAACAACGCTACGCATCTAGGGGCGCTACGTGTCGAGGTAGATACACGCATGCAAATAAATACACACGAACACTCCCGGTGCAGCCACGCAGGACCCCTCCGAGACAGGGCCGTCCATCTAACCTTCGAAGAGACTGAAGGGCGGGCAGATCAACACAGAGCCATACACATGCATTCTAACCCCGCCACGATGGAAGGGATCGCTGAAAAACTGTAGACCTCATTTACGCGTGAGTCCAGACCGCGAGAGCCGAGAAGCCGACAACCTTTCCAAAGAAACCGGAGCCAGCAGAGGTGACTCTATATTACTACCCCACGGGAATCTCAGAACACAGGTGCAACATGACGCTACGGCAAGCGTCCACGTCACAGCAGATGGAGACGGCACAGTATCCGCTTGAGGAGAGCCCCGACACAGCGGTGACAGCGCTCAGGAATGCGGACATAACGCATATCTATAAATATGTACATTTGATGCACATGTGTATGCTCTGAATGAGCTCCTCTTGAAGCGCTCTTGAATCTCCCGCGCACAAGGGGCAGAGGGGCCGATTACGCAGGAGTTGACAGAAGGGGTCTGGAGGGATATATATATACATATATATATATACATCCCTCCAAATAAATACACGCATCAACCGCCACAGGCAAGGATATGATCATGAAAAGCAGCCTAGTCAATAAAAGAAGGCGTAGCCCTTTGCCCCACCGTTACCGCTCATCTACGTTCCATCGGCAGCGTCTTGGCTGCATTTTGATCACACTAAACCTCGCTCTAGAACGCAAGGCATATGCACAGTATCGGCAGCAGCAAGCAGCTCTAGAGGCCTCCTCGCTTCAAAGCGGCAGATAGACTTCTGGCCAGTCTTCCATACTCTCACCGCCTTGCACCGGAGGGGTCTGGGCAGAGACGCCCTCCTTAGGCTGCACTCTCTCCTCGGGGGAACTCCCCGATAAAGCTTCTTCAGCCTGCTTCGAGCCAACCAGTGGAACATGTCCAGCAGCATAGTACCGAGGGCAGGGAGTGACCCCTCCCTTTACTTTTTTTTCCATGCCTTCCGTCTTAGAGTCAAGTTTGCTGCTGTTGTAGGGGGCCCCCCCAAGAGTCGTAGACCCCCCCAAGTCCCCAGAGGGCCCCTGCGGGCCTCTCCTCTGCGCGTAGGTCTTGCTAGAGCCCTCGCGAGCACCCTGTAGCACATAATAACAACAACCCCACCATTACCACCACCCAGATGCCGGTGCACCTAAAAGGCCGTGTTGGTCGCGAGCCATCGAAGACGGGCTGCAAGCCAGCAATCGTTCAAAAGGCAGCGCATGCACCAGCAACAGACAGCATCCGTAGCAGCGGGCATACGGCAACAGCAGCTTCCTTTTGCGTATGCTCATCGACTTCGTGCCTGTAGATGCACTGAGCACCCAGAATACAGAGGCCTGACAGGAGAAAGGAAAGGCAGCGCGCACACAGCCACAGATACATGCAGACATATACACAGAGCTCCGGAGGACTAGAGGGAGACACCATCATCCGCAGCCCCTTAAGACATGCTGAACGGCCATTGAAGGGGAAGCTTGCCGTTTTCACGGCTTTTATTGAAGAAACAGCAACGCCAAGAAAGCTGGAACGGGCAGCTCTGCGCAAGCAGTCACTCGCACCCTGGAGGAATTTGCCGCATACAGGAACAAGCTCAGCAACGTGAAGCAGGCTGCACGAACGCTCGAAACATAGACCTGAGGGCAAAGAGAGAGACAGTGTCATCAGGCGTAGAGGCAGCTCGCGTTCGCAGAAGCAACGATTACCACCACGAGACTTGAAACTCGAGGAAATGCAGGTGCATGCGCGTCAGTCGAGCAGGCAGGAGAGGCTCCCTGGTCTGGAGTCGAAGGGGGGAAATAGGGCCTTTGAGGAAGCTCAGCACAGAAAACAACTTTGCAGGAGGTTCTAAGGAAAGGGCTAATAGGTTCTGGCATGGCTATGATGTGGCTCATGTTGCCTTTAAGGTAAAGCGCGCATGCGCGGCTTTGCGTTTGGTCGTGGAAATACGGGCAGCTTTCCCCTTTGTTGCAGCAGCCTGCAGCAGCAGCGTTCCGAACGAGGAAAGTAACAAGGGGACAGTAGAGCAGCAGCAGGTGTAGCCGCAGAAGAAGCTGAACGAAGACACTTAACAAGAGATCTAGCTACATAAAAACCTGTGTATAGGGACCTTGTCTGTAAAATTTGCAGAACGTCAACTTATGAGAGCGATACAGGCCTTCCCCAGTTCGGTTGTGTGGATTTAGAAAACTCCATCTCTTGAAGAAGGCCTTTGCTGGAGGTGCTGGTAAGGGGGATGAGGCTGATGGTGGTGCTGCATCTCGGCAGACGAAGTTGACATCTGCTGCAGGTACAGTCCTTGGCAGTGTGCTGTGCTCCTGCTGCTGCTGCGCCATTCCAGCGGGAGCAGAACCCGACAAACGCGAAGCTTTTGCCGGGGTACCAAGAGAAGAACTCGCAATGAGCTTATTCCAGTTCTTGTCACGGATCCAGCGCATTGCGAGGCGATGCCTCAGAGCTCTACGAGATTCTAAGGCTTCAAAAAGCCTCCGCCGTTTTTCTTGCAAGAGCTGTTGCTGCTGTGGGTTCTCGGGCTGCTCTTGCTGATGCTTGCATGGCGCCTGGTCTGTGGCGGTCGTGCTGACACATGGACAGGCAGGCGAAGTCTCTGATGCTGAGGAGAGGGAAGTTGGTCGAGCAGGCATCGTAGGTTCGAGCACTGCCTTGTCGGGAGGCCTTATCCACGAGAGCTGGCTAGGAGACAGCAGAAGTCGCTGGGTAGCATGATGGTGTACATGATGCGGGTGGCTCTGCTGGGGCTGTTGCTGTTGGGGTGGGTACTCTTGGTGGCAGCTACCTGCTGGGTGCAAGTGCATCGGCTGCTGCACGCTGCCCCCATACACCCCTGGGGAGGCGATTCCCCTGCACTGGACCTTCTTTTTGAGCGCGGCGACTTGTGTCAGCAACGCAGTATCGTCCGCAGCGGCTGCTAAGCCCGCCTCGGCTACTGTTTTCCCTTCGGGGTTCCTGTTTCTCCTGTGGTGTCGGGAGTGTTTGGGGCGCCTAGAGCTACGGACTAAGTGCATTTCACTAGAGTTGCTCGTTCGCCGACATCGGGGGGCTCTAGAGCGCGAAGATGGACTGCCGCTGTCGCTACGGCTGGTGCACTCTGAGGTGTACGAACACCTGGAATGCCGACCGCCGTGGTGCTTACGGCGCACCATTGGATTCGTCGCGATGAACGGCAAGAAGAATGGCAAAGGCACGCTGAAAGAAGAATCAATTTCTCTCAAGCATCACGCAGCAAGCGCAATATATACCCCCCGGACTGGACACCGCTGCCGTCTGAAGCAGCGCATGTTCAAATCCCGGGCCGATATAACCACGCAGCTCGTCCCTAAGAACCGCTGCCCTGTAGCTCCCAAGCCTTCATTTCGTCCGCTGTTTCAGATATGGCTCGAATTGTTGTGTTTCATCGTTGTTCGCTCATGTGACACTGCCGCTGCCAGTAGCTCGCGTCCTTCGCATCCCGCAGTGGCCTACGCGTGCGAAGCACGCGCATTCGTAGTTCCCTCGACACCCGCACCCTCCTTCGCGACTCCAGGCTGTCCACTATCCCCAAAATGAAGAATTACTTCGCCGACTCTTGTGCGAGAGCTTTCTCTCCGTTGCCGTATGGAAGGGGCCCCTGGAGCGCCTCTGGATCGGAACGCCCCGTTGATCTCCCGGCTACCGCTGCGAATTCCGCCGCTGCAGGGGAAGTGGAGCAGCAGTTGGCGGTACTGAAAGCTATTCAGTGCCTTGTGCAACAGGAGAGGGAGCTGTATCAGGAAGGCATCCGGCGAAGCAGCCGACGGGAATACTGCGGCGCCTGCGAGAAGAAAGGTTCGCACGCACACGCAAGCGCGCAGGACGGCTCTCTGCAGACGGGCGAGCAGCTTCTGCGGAGCAGGGAGCTGCTGTCATGGGGTGTCTCTTCTCTGTGTGTGTCTCGCAGTGGTGAAAGCTGAAGGCGAGCTGCGCTGCCCAAGTTGCAGCGTCTGGCCAGCTGGGGCTTCCGATGCATGCAGTGGCGTGCCAGCGTCTGCATGCGTCGGAGCGTTTACCCTCCTGCCGGACGCCTACAACCCCAACAGAGGAGAAGAGGACGAAGAACAGGGAAGCCCCTCTGTGTGCAGGGGGGGCAGTGGAGATCTGAGTTCGGGTGTATGTACGCCGAGGAGCGGCGGCGTGCTTACTCAGGAATTCCTGCTGCATGCGTTCGGAGCAGGTATTGAAACTTCTCGAGAAGAAGAGGTCGACGAGAGGCCTGCCGTGTGGTGTCATCAGAAGAACTGCAGGAACGACTCTGACCTCAAAGGCCTTCTCATATGCTCCAAGTGCAGGCGATGTTTCCATGCAAGGTGCGATGCAAAGGCTGCCATTCAGCAGCTACCCTCTTTGCGATGGGGTCCGCTAGCCGACCATGGCTGGCTGGCTGAGTAGCGCCTTTCCCAGACATACACAAATGGCATTCTGAATCCTGGGAAGCGGCTCTGCAAATTTCACTCTACAACACTGCACAAGAGAGGTCTTCATCTCTGTCTGTACACTAGAACTCTTTGTACATGTTCATCTCTGTACAGTAGAACTCTTTTTAGGTGTTTATCTCTGTACAGTAGAACTCTTTGTACATGTTCATCTCTGTCTGTACACTAGAACTCTTTGTACATGTTCATCTCTGTCTGTACACTAGAACTATTTGTAGGTGTTCATCTCTGTCTGTACACTAGAACGCTTTGTAGATGTTCATCTCTGTCTGTACACTAGAACGCTTTGTAGGTGTTTATCTCTGTCTGTACACTAGAACGCTTTGTACGGGCTGCATGCACGTTTTCTGCGCGCAGCTGCTGCGAGCCGCCGCTGAACTTTGACATGGTTACCCGATTTCCGTGGCAGTGTGCGGATTGCAAGGTGGGGCCCAGCCAGCATCGGCATCTCGGCTAGCGCATGCAGGGTCGAGTTGTGGATAGAGAGGGATAAGGGAAGGGGGGAACCGCGTGGGGTTGATGCGCAAGGCACAGCGGGGAAGGCGGGTCGCAGTCACAGCGTAGAGAAGATGCGCGAAAGCGGAGGATAGCGCAATCATATGTGTCTGTCTCTCTGTCTGTCTGTCTGTCTGTATGCCGAGGGTGACTGTTTAAAAGAAGAGATGCAGAAAAGGGGTGGAGGAAATTTGTTATGGCGATGCTTTCACGAATTGAACAGAGACGATGAATAGGCCTGCGTAGCTGTCGGGGAGCTCCCCTGACGGGATGCTGTTTTTGCTGTTGCATTTCCATCACTATCATCGCCTTGTCAGCCTATTCGCACGAGATGACGGAGGGCGTCACCAGCTGTGCGTGCGCTGTACATTCAGATTTGCGAGATATGCCTGTCCAATAAGAATGAAGAGACGATGTTGATTTGCGATGCTTGTGATCGGGCATTCCACATGGAGTGTCTCTCTCCGCCAGTGCTTCAGGTTCGAATGAAAATGATCGCGAGGGGAGGAGGGTGGGTTGTGCATGTTAGGAGGGATGAGTGTACAGCGTTGCCGTGGAGGTGTGTTGTTGTGGAGCTTTTGCGGTTAGCTGCGGTGCTGCCTGTGTGGCGTCTCCTCGCACTGTTGGAGTGGTGGTGTCTGTGTTGCCTCTGAAAGCTTCGTGCGGTATCCCGCCGCGTATTCGCGCTGTCGCCTTGCTCCCAAGCGTGTTGCTAAGGAAGGCATTCTCGTTTCAAATCTCAGTGCTCGCTTGCCGCAGAAAAGGGGCGGGGTTTGGTGTTTACGGATGTGGCATGCAGGTGCCAGACGGTGACTGGTTCTGCAAGGGTTGCGGCTACTGCAGCTGCTGCAGGCGGCAGTTGTCTGAAGAAGAAGCGTTGGTGCGTTGGCAGGCCTAGTAGTGGGGGCGGGAGTTGAGGGAAGGGAAGGGAACGGGGGGAGTAAGCGAAGCAGCAAGAGGCTTGGGGGAAAGTGCGTGAAATATGCTGCTTTTTCTGCCGGCAAAAATTGGGGTGTGTTCCCTGTAATGGCAGCTGCTCGCTTGCCGGAAGGCGGCCAGCGCAGCCTGCGTGCTTCTGCCTCAAGATGACCCCTTTGGCGTCTGCATTGCATGCTGGCGTTTGCGGTGCTCTGCGCGTCAGGATATATCCTGTTTTTACTCGAATCGTAGCCGCATCTGCCCAGAATGCAAAGAACGATATCTGCGCGTAAAGAGGGGGAGGGCTGTCCTCCATGGCACGCAGACGGCTGAGGGAATTTACGCCGCATGCAGCAAGAAGAACAGCGCCAACAAGCTTTGCGAGGTTTGTGTAGAGCCTCTCGAGTGCGAGGGAAAGGGGGCCAGCAAGAGAGTCTACTGCGTCGACTGCAGAATAGGTGAGCTCCTGTGAGGGCTCCCCGGCATTTTTTCTTTGCGAGCGACTGCTCGTCTATCATTATCTTGATATGCCCGAGACAAGCGTTCGTGGAAAACTCCCAAGTGAAGTGCAGTGGCACTATCACGCTCAGGGCTCTCGAGTGTATGTACATACGTGCAGGTGTTCATAAGGGCTGCACTGTACCCGGCGCTGGCCCTAACGAATTTATTTGCCACATTTGTAAGGCCCTTCGTGAGGAGTTTACCGTAGGGACTGAAATCGCCCCTGCCTCCCCGTAAACCTCATTTCATTCCCTGCTAAACTTTCCAGCGAACGCCTTTCTCCTGGCGTGCAGCGATACACTTGAACGCGCTGCGTGAGCGGCGCAGCCGCGTTCGCCTTCCTCTATCGCTAACAAGGTGTCTCTTTGCCTTGCATATCCCAAACACAACGATCTGCTGCGCCGAGCCGGCGACACTAAGGGCCCTGCAAGAGACTGTCGTGCATGCGCGAGGGGGCGGGGCCCCCCTGCGCTTTAAAGAAGGGAGGCCGGCCGGGTTGCGCCGGTACGCGTCCCCTGTTCAGTGGCTTTGGGGCTTTTATCTGTCGTTGATCCTCAGGAGTTTCCGTGCAGCTTTTTCGTTGCGTTTTCTGGCTTGCCATGGGGGGCAGCTTTTTCCTTTTTTTCATTAGGGGGTCTATGGGGTAGGAACACTGCTTACAATGCGTCCTTAGAATCGCCACTTGGCGAGTGGGGTTTCAGCTTTGCATGCAACGCAAGTAAAAGGGCTCTCTGATTCCCTAAATGCGAGGGCAAGAGTCTTTCGAGTGTAAATAGCGGTGTGCACAGATGGCGCTATCTAAACGCCGGGGGGTCTCGTCCTCCCCCGCCTGCCCCGTCGGGTGTACAGACCCTAGCACCCTAGATGAATGTGTCTGCGGGGGTTGTAGTGGGGTTGTTGTAGGGTGTTGGGGGGGCAGGGAGACACCGGTGGATTCCCCCCGGGATCGCGCTACTCGTTGAGATACGCGTGCACGTTTGGGGGCCCCCCGCCTCCTGCGCTCGAGGCGGAGTCCGCTGCGAAGAAGAGGACTAGAAAGACCAACGTGTGTAGCAAAGTGAAGTAGATGAGCGCGAAAGTTCTCGTAGCTCTCGAGGACAGGAGCATGCGGCCCCAAATGACAACAACCCTCTCGCCAACACTCAGATGTTGCCAGTTCTGCTGCTGCTGGAGGCGTCCGCTGCCCCGCGCCGGCGTGTTGCGGCCGTCTGCTGTCGAATCCGGGGTGCGCGAGGCCCGGGTGTCTGCGCAGGGGCCCCCCCGGGAACCCAGAATGCTGCGCGCTGTATCTGCAGCAGCAGTTGCCACGCAGTCTGCCACGGCCATGACGCCTTTTACGAAGGAGGGGGGGCCTCGCCGACTCCTGTGCTGCCGCCTTCGTTGCCCAAGGCTTGTCACAAAGGGCAGGGGTGCTGCTGCGCCGTCAGTCTCCTCGCTGAGGCTTTCTGCCCCCTCCCCGTCGCTGTAGGCCCCGAGTATCTCCACGGCGGGGGGGGGGCCCCCCGAAGGTCCGGGGGCCCCCCGGAGGGCCACCAGGTTCGCCTCTGGGGCGTTAATTGGGTGCGAGGCCCCCCCCTCCCTCAGGGCGCAGGAGAGGCTGTAGTTCTCGACGGCGAGTGCCGCACGGCTCTGCTGCTCACTCAGCGCTGCGGCGCGCCAAGAGTCTCTCTCCTGCAGCACAGAGAGGGAGTCCGCACACCACGCATCGCAGCAGGCGCAGGAGGGCTGTGTAAGGCATCGGAATTCGCGCTGGGTGGCGCCAAGCCTCTGGTTCATTCAGTGAAAAAAGGCATGTTTTTAGAACGTCGGAAGGGTCTATGCGCACTTGCTCGGTCTCAGCAAGCTTAGATTTGTAGGCTTCGCGCTGGGCGACAACTAGCTGCAAGACGCCCGTCCCCACAGAACCCGCCGTAGGAGGGGCCCCCCCAGAAGCCGCGGCTTCGGCAGCAGCAGGATGAAGCGCGTGAAGGCTGGGTTCAAGGGCTTGAACTCCGTCAAGTCGAGCAGACCTCGCCTCCGAGGCTTTTTCGGCAGCCTCTTGCGCAGCTTTCAGCTCTTCTCGCAGACGCGCGTTCTCATCCCGGAGACTTGACAACAGCGCATCGCGCGGATCCGCTGCCAACCCAGAACTGGCAGAAGAGCCCACAGGGAGCCTCCCGGAGCTTCCTGAAAGCCGTTCGCGGTGCAGATCCTGCACTTCCGCCTGAGGCACACCAAGGACGCACAGCACTCACCGTGCGGGCTGCTGCTCGCCTCCCAACAAGAGCGCATGCACAGGAGGGAGAGGGATCGAAAAAAAACCCCAGGGGGGCGGGGGCGGAGGCAAGAAAGTACAACACCCCCAGCTGTCTTTCTGGAGCACTCAACGCGCGAGCGGCATACACACATACACCACAATAGAGGCTAAACAGGGAGCGAGCACAGCGGGGTGCCGGTAATACCCCTCTTGCCCTTTGCGCCAGTTCTACCTCCAGCTTCACGAGACGCATGCCAAGATCCTCGGCTTTCTTAGAGGCGGCAGCAAGAGCCTTGGCATGCGCCTCCTCCAGTCGGGATCGCCTGGAGGGCAGCAGGAGTCCAGCACACATGCGTATCAGATATACGAATATATTCCACATATACATGTCTATGTGTATCGTCATGTATCTATATATGCCACACTCTGCACATGTCAGTGCACCTGACTGCACATGCACAGGCACACACACGAGGCCCTCCATCCACAGACACCTGCATACACTGGCTAGCCGCAGTTGCCTGCAGTTGCCTGCTGCTGCTGCTGCTGCTGCTACTGCAGCTGCTGCTCCTTCTCCTATGACATGGGCTGTGCGGGTGTCAGTACATTTGCTGCTCGCGCTGAACATCCGCCTCAAGCCTCTTCTCTGTCTCCATGAGCTCCTTTATCCGCCCTTGCGCAGACTGCAATGCTTTCTAAAGGCCTCAAAGCAGTCGATCCACACACACACAGCAACAAAGACAAAGAACGTAAGCCAGCGAGCCAGCCTTGGGAGCCGTGATTCTTGCAACGTGCCATTCCCGCGCTGTTCCTTTTATTACTCTCTCTCCTCTCTCTGTTTCTGTTTCGCCTTCATTAAACGTCGAAGCTCGCTGGGTTCAGCGGCGGCGCTTGCGACGAAGCGGCCACTCAAAACATGCACAGTTCGGAAGATGAAGATGCCGGTTCACGCAAGAGGACAGCGCCGCTGTGTGTCGAGAAGCGCAGCCTTACGCTGTTTGCCCCTGGTCATGACTCTCGTGCACTGGCGATCTTACCAGTGCGTTGGTTGTATGCGCTGCCACGCTATTGCCTTTGCCTCCTTCTCTGGGTACTTCTCGCTGCTGGGCTTCCGTGAGAAGCTGCAGCTCTGCCGCTAAGGCGTGTGCCTGTCTCTCCAGCGCTTCTTGAGTCTGCATCCCCCAACACCGACACATGATGCTGCTGGTTGAACAGTCCGAGTACGAACAAGAGGTTTCCACAAGATAAGCTCTCCACTGTGATGCACTTCACTCCCCCCCTCACCCCACGACTATCCCGCATAGGAGATTTTTCTCCGCGCCGAAGGAGCTCTCAGCTCTCTGCGCGATGCGCCAGTGCACCTGCAGCAAGGTGACGAAGCAAGGCGCAACGGAAAGTTGCTCTACCCTCTACAGCAAAAGCAGTGCTACAAAAAACGCCCGTCGCCTTCTTACCGACACGAACTGTTGCTGCTGCTGCTGCAGCCGCCTCTCCAGCCGAGCAATTTGCTGGTGAGCGTCCTCCAGCTGATGGGTTTGCTCTGCAACCTCCAGCTGAACGCAAACATACCGGATGCAGTCAATCACAAACGCAGCCATCCACGTATCCGATAGTGCCTCCCATACACCCCTCCCCAAACAAATCGTGCGCCCTCGAGTGTCTGAACAGTCCAAGCATTAAAGTCAACATGCCAAGGCACACGACGGAAAGGCCTTACAGCCTGGAGCTTCTTCGCGCTGCTCTGGGCGTTTTCAGCAAGAGCCAGCTGCAGCTGCTGCTGTTGCTGCTGCAGCTGCTGCTCTTGCTGCTGCAGCTGCTGCTGCTGCTGTTGCACTTGCCGCTCTAGCAGCCGCACGGTTATCGTTTGGTCTTTTGCCCGCTGAATCTCACACTCCAACTCCTGCAGCCACCATCACCACACAAGGCACTGAAACAGGCGTTACTAAACCGCCAATACAGTATCGAGCTCAATCTCTTTTTGCACAGATTTCGCGCAGGTCGTTTAAGAGAAATGCGTGAAAAGAAGAACAACCAGCGCCTCCGACGCCGCTATTTTCCCTAAATACTGCTGTGCTATTCTTCAGTGGCATCGCATGCATGCTGGGAAGTAGGAAGGCCCTTGAGGCCAAAACACACAAAGTATTCCTTCTCCAGCTTCGCATTCTTCTCTGCCAGCTCTCTGGCTGCGTCTGCCTGGAGCTGCAGCTGTCTCTTCAGAGACTCGCATTCGGAGGCTGAAGGTGCAGAAGCCGCCAGCTTTGATGTGGCTTCCAAATCTCTTAGGATCACCATCAGATCTGGCAACGCAAATCACAAAAACCATCACCCTACGCTGCCGATGGCGCTATGGCGCTGCTAAAGAACAGATAATAGCAGCAGTGGCTCTCTATGTATATATGTATGGGTGTGTTGCTACGCGTGTATGCGTGATTAATTGGGTGCTTGTATGCGTGTATACGTGTGGATCTGTATAAACAATTTTGCCTACACCTATACGCACACATACATCTATATACACACACATACGTCCATGTACACATACATACATATACGTCTATACAGATACGTATACACATACATACACTATACATCTATACACATACGTGTACATATACATACACATCTATACATGCAAATATAAGTGCACGTAGATATATAGTTTGAGGCGTGTACGATACCCGGTTGCTGGAGGAGGCGTTGCAGGAGGCTGAGGAAGGCGGATTCTGCTGCTTTGGCTCGCTTGGTGAGGGAATCTACCTCCTGTTGGTACCCTTTGAGGAGCTGCTCCGTTGCGCTTTTGAGGTGCTCGCCAGCAGCCGGCGTCTCGGAGGGGCCGTTCGGGGAGTGGGGGGGCTGCATGCGAAGCGGGCATGCAGACTCCTGGTCTTCCTCCGCATTGTCTGGTGAAGGAGGGCGACCCTCTCCGTGTGTGCTCTCGGAGGAGGCGGCGATGAGCGACGACCAGAGGCGACGGTGAACTGAGGAGGAGAAGGAGATGTTGCGCACAGGAAGGCATGCGAGGGAAACGCAATTAGAATTCCTCACAGACTACACGGCACCGCGTGAGAGCGCATGGCGAATTTAAAAATTCAGGAAATAGTGCGCGCCTGCATGGTCGCCTCGAGACACTCGAGGCGACCCAGAAGGGTGTCACTACCAGAGGGCTGTATGGATGCTCTCTTTTGCGTCTCGAGAAGGAGGAGATCCTCAAGAAGGAGGGAAGGTGGTGATGCGTTCAAAATGCCCCAGAGATTGGCGTATTTGTGTGTGTGTGTTTTTGTGTGTTTGTGCTTTTGTGTGAATATGTGTGTGTTTGTGGGTGGGTGTGTTTGTGTGTGTTTGTGTGTATGTATGTGTTTTTGTGTGTTCGTGTTTGTATGTGTTTGTGTGTGTTCGTGTTTGTATGTGTTTGTGTGTGTGTATGTGTGATTGTGTGTGTGAGTAATGTCACACCCTTGGTCTCGCTGGCAAGCCTTTTTCTGCTCTCGACTGCGGCCCGCTTGGATTTCTCGATCTCGTCGCAAAAGGGTGCGAAGGAGCGGACATCCTGCCAGCAAGAAATCCTGAGGCGCGCAGAAAAAAAACCGAAGACTTCCGTGGCAAGATGTTGGAGGCGAGCCGTTCCACCGCTCTCTCCAGCCTCCTTGGTGAAGACGAGTTAAGGAAAGCTATATGCAGCAGCAGGGGCCTGGCGTGAGACTCCGAAACGTAGATCGGCGGAGGCTGTTTTTTGAGCTCGGCGTGTGTGCAGGAGGAAACATGGGGAGAGTTTGACAGCGCAGAAACGCCCCAGCTTTCTGAGGTGCGTAGACACCTCACGGGGTCTCAAGGGTGATACGGCAACACGTAGCGGAGGGGGAAAACGGAGGGGGGGAAATCGGGGGGAAAATCGGAAGGTTGGGGGCTGGGAGCAGGGCATAGTGTAAAGACAGGCAGCCTACCATGAAGCAACGGCTTCGGTCGTCGTGCTGCCGCCCCCTATGATGTCCATAGCGTGTCGTGGGGGAGACGCAAAGCGAAAGATGTCTCTGGGCAGTTCTGCAGGTTAAGGGTCCTCCGCAGAGGGCGTCCAGCGGGCAGGGAGTGTTGGGGAAGGCGAGGGGAGGCGCCAACAAGGAGCTAGCAACAGGAATGCAAATGTGTATGTCTGTGTGTGTCTTTGTGTGTCGGTGTATGTGCGTGTGTGCGCGCGATCAATGCGTTCGAGTCGGGGTTCCTCTCACAAGAAGGGCTTTGCAGAAATGCGCGCCGCACAGGGGAATCAAGCAGCCATGCATACAGGGTTATACCATGGACAACTCATGATGAAAAAGCGTGCATATACCTAAAAACGACTATATGTAAGCGCACAGAGTGTATTTCCATTGTTCAATCATTGCGCATACGCGTTTGAGGGCCCCCTAGCAGCCTTTCGGATTACCGATGAGAGGCCTCCCTGCTGTTGTATGAATGCTTCCTGCAAGGTATCAAAAGCGGCGCCCTCGAAGCCCCTTTTTGTATACCTCCCAATATTCACGCGTTCTCTCGGTTTACGACGAGAAATGCAATTTCCGCGCAAACGTTACCCTTTATGTCCGCGGGTGTGCAGCAAAAGGGTTGGATTTCGAGGTGTTTGGCAGCGGTCGATGCTGCCCTGACTAGCGTACTCCAAGCCATGCAGTGCGTTGTGTCTGTATATGCTACGAAGAGTTTATTTCGACAGGATTTCTTGAAAATGAGTACTTCTGAAAGGCAGATCTCTCATTAAAAAGGGGCCCCACTGGCCGGGGGTGCGGGGGTGGACGACTAAGGGCCCTCTGTCCGTTGCTCCCTCTCTCTCTAGCAAGACTCCCAAAGCATGCGGCTGCCTTTTCCTGCTATGTAGGAAAACGGCTAGCTCGAGCCTTTGCCCAGGAGGTTCCGTAGTGCCAGAGTTCAGGGTAGGTCGCCCTACGTTCTCGTTGCCTGTACGAGCAGGATGCCGCTCTTAGGCTCCTCTTCCCCGTTCTCCCCCCGCATGGCTCCTACCTCCTCCAGCGCCACTCATTCCAAGCCGTTACCGCAGCAGCAGCAGCAAGAACGTTTCCACCAGCGCCATCGCGGCAGCCATGAGAAGCAGCGGCAGCTTCCCACGAAGCAGCAGCACCACCGTCGCGATTCGCATGGATTCGAGGGCTGCTGGCATATCTCGGACATAAGTGCGTTGGCTGCAGCCCTTTCCAAGGCGCATCGCATCCTTATTGTGCCGGGGTATGGCTTCGCTCTGAGCCGTTGCTTTGCAGAGCTGACCGAAATCGCCAAGCTGCTGCTTTGCGGCGCAAGAGTCGCCTTCGCCGTGAGTCCTATTGCGGGTCGCTTAACAGGCCACATATCCCTTTACTTGCAAGAGGTTCCCTCCCACTTTATCATAACGGGAGAAGAGGCAAATGCTACCATCTTTCTTTACGACCTCGCCCTGCTTGTGGGCGCCAACGACATCGTGAATCCGCTGCTTCTAGAGAGAATGAGGCCGATGGATGGCGCCATCATCGAGGTGTGGAGGTCTCCCCGCGTCTTCGCGTTGATGCGCTCAAGGGGCCCCCGGGGGCCCCCTGGCAGCCGGCGCAACAACCCCGTTTTTCTCAATCCGCAGGTGTCGGTTGTGCCGGGGGAAGCAAAGAAGTCTCTCTCGAGCCTGAACAACGCGCTTCGGCATTTGGGAGTGGGAAAATCCGGCGAACTTCGGAGCTGGCCGCCCCTCAGGATCGAAGAGGAGTTTGCATGCGCAGACACGGAGAGCCGTGCGTGGCCAGCTCCCAAGAAGACGGTCGGGGTGTTGCGCGAGCGCCTTGGGGGTGGGGTTGTTGTACCTCTGGACCCTCCGGGTGTGAAGCGGCTGCGGCAGATGGGGTTCGCGGTGTTGCTGGAAAGCGCAGGGCAGTCAGAGGGCCCCTACGCCGACGAGGAGTATGTGGTGTTCGGCGCACAGCTGGGCACTGCGGAGGAGATCCTCGCGGTGGCAGACGTCGTGATTCACCCTTCGACCCCCCCGTTGGAGTGCTTCCTGCCCTTCTCGGAGCGGTCGAGCTCGTCAACGGCTCTGCCGGAAAACTCCGCAGCCATGCAGCGGGAGGGAGCACCCGGCGGGGGAAATCCTCAGGGAACAGCAGGCAGCGCGAGAAGGGGGGCGAAAAGCCGCCTCCTCCTGTGCTGCCATCCCGCAGGCCGGTGCTCCGCCCTACTGTCTCTCCTTGCCGAGCTGAACTGGCTCGTTGTCACGTTGGCAGTCTCTTCTCCCGCGATCCAAGCGAGGGGGATCGCCACCAGTCCGGGTTTGGAGGCGCTCCGGGGATACAGGGCAGTCATCGAGGCGCTGTACGCGCTGCCGCGGCTCGTCAAGGGACTAACGACGGCAGCGGGCCGGATAGATCCCGCCTTGGTGCTCGTGCTGGGGGGGGGCACTGCGGCTTTGCATGCAGCCGCGGCTGCCTACCGGGCGGGGGCAAAGGTGTTTGTGGTCGATCCCAGCCTCTCTGTGAAGCCGCTCGTCGAGTCGCTGGGGGCAACTTTCCTGGCGATTCTGTGCGGAGTGCCTTCGTGGGGAGCCTTGGAGGAGTTTCAGGAGCTGCGGGAGCGCTTGAGACGCTTCACCGAGCAGAGCGACATTGTGATCTGCAGCCCTGACAGCGCCGCGGGGGATCCCCCTCCGAAACTGCTGCCGCAAGAGTGGATGCGCGGGATGAAGGCGGGAGCTGTGATCGTCGATCTGCTGGGGGGGCACCCAGAGGCCGCTACCCGATGGTTCGGGTCGGTGCAGGGGGGCCCCCAGGGGGCCCCCCCCGCTGGAGAGGGGCCTCCTCGTGGAGTCACTATTCTGAACGGCAGTGCTCTCGAGTACGCGATGCCCCGTCAGGCAACGCGGGTTCTATCCGAAGCGGTCTGCAGCCTCCTGCAGCAGCTCGAGACGACGCGTCATGAGGGCGGGATGTCTCTCGAGGATCCTGTGCTCAGGCGCCTCGTGCTGGTGGAGGGAGGGGCGGTTCTTCCTCCGCAGCACTGGGGAATCTTCCGGGGAGAGCGCACCGTCTCCCAAGTTACGTCAAACGCGGCATCGCGGTCAGACTCGCTGCTTCAAGCAGGGCCCTTTTCTTTCGCAGATCTCGGAAGCAAATTCTTCGAGGACTAAGCGTGGGTGCGGGGGTGCTCGACCATCTCGGCGAGCAGCCGTCGAAAGGGGTCTCCTGCGCGACGCTGCCAATGTATGTATATGCTTGCTGATACCCCGCTGTGCCATTCCGTTTTCCAAGGAGGCAGGGGGCTTGACATGGCACTGTCACGAGCCACCGCATGAGGGCTATCCAACAACCCCCTGACTGCGCACCCCCTCCGCGCTGTGTAAGGCGCAAAGGACTACCGAGATCTCGGCAGGCTGCCAGGATCTCCCACGGGGTCGCTCTGCCGGGAACCAAACGTAGATTTTTCCGTTTCTACCTGTTCGTTCCGTGGAGGTTGGCAAAAGGTTTTTTCCCCCCCACCCTCCGTGTGTTTGCTGTATTTACTTTAAGAGGGATGCATGCCGTTGCCGACAGTGCAGTGTCGCGACTGAAGGGCCCAAGGTTTGCGCCTCCGCGTCGGGGACGCTGGGAGGAAGGCAGGGAGCCAAAGGGACCCCTGCCTGGCGCTAGCTGACCTTCAAGTGCTTGTTGCGATACACTCCGCCTCAGTACTCCGCCACATTAAAACAAACATTTCAAGAGTTCTCAGATAGGGTACCAACATCCGCCCTTGCAGCGGGCGAAGGCATTGTCGTGCCTTCCTCGGTTTGCACTTTTCTTTTGGCATCGTCACTTTCCCCCCTGCGGGGGGGCTGCTCGTAAAGCAGCACAGCTGCACTAGCAGCGTCAGCTGCCTGCCGCTGCCCCTCCTTCAGCTTCAGGAGGGTTGCACCTCTCGAGCGCTTGTTGCTGTGTAACGGGACAGAAGCCACCTCTAGCCGCGCGAGGAAACCGCCTCGGCTCAAGATGGCAACCTCCTGGTGGGGAGAGCGCTGCGATTGCCCAACCCACCGCAAAGCGCATAGGCTGTCTCTTTCGCGCGTCTCGTCGTGAGCGAGTTTGCGCTTCTTCAGCGCGAACCCCTTCTCCTTAGATTCCCCAAGGAGAAGGGCAGCTGGCTGCTCTGTGGGGCCGTTTGCAGCCTCGTCCTTAAGGCCCTCTGACGATTCTTTTCCAGAGGCTCCCTCACAAGGGGGCCCCTTCGGGCTTTGCAGCCGGATTATAGAGCTGCCAGTGCCTCCCCGTCTCTGAAGCTTGAGATGCTTGAGGCTAAGAAGCTTGCCTGAGTGCAAACGGAGCAAAGGCAACCGAAGAACGGTGCGCTGCTGAGCTCGCCTCCCGCCTTCACGCTGCCGCCTATTACGGGGCAAGGGCTTTTCGAGGCGGGAAGCCGCTGGGGTAGGGAGCTGCTAGGCAGCGAAAAACATTTCAGAAAAAAGATCCATAGAGCATGATGCGCAAGCGGATAGTGATAGAGGCAACGAAAAAGGCCCTGAGGCGTAGGGAGTGCACAGAAAAGGAGAGCAAGACAAGGGCAGGCAGGGGATGGGCTGAGGCGGAGATTCGGCTGTACGTTTTGCTGCCTTACCGCGTCCCCTTTCTGTGACGAGAAGCAGATGGCCTTTCGCGGGTTCGGCTTCAGAAGGCACCGCTGTTACCGCCACTACTCTGTCTCCCTTCCTGCGCCGGCCCCACAAAACGCCTCACGAAAGACACATTTGCCCTCCTTTGGCGAGGGAGCAGTTGCCTCCTCAGCGCTCTAGGGGTATCGTCCGTCGAGCAGTTCGCTCCCTCTGTCCTTTCCCGCACACTAAGTCTCCCCGGCACCCTATCAAAGCACCCTCTGAGCCATTTTCCTTCCTTCCAGGGCCCCACATGCATGCAGCGCTTTACGTGAAAGGGTTACGGGGGCTTACCTGAGTGTGATGCCCTTGATGCCATGGGAGAGTGGCGTTGCGTCCCTCAGAGCCTGTCCGTCAAACCTCAAGGCGCAGCCGTGGGCGGTTCCTAAGAAGAAAGGGAACCGTGTGGAAGGCGGAGGCACCTGGTATGCCGCGATCCGGTAAAATAAGGTCCTTACCTCCATGCGCGTTTAGAGGAGATACTGGGGTGTGACCAGCGAGCAAGATTCAATGGTGCCCCTGCCTGAATACGGGATGCAACAAGAAAACCTCACCAGTGCTTCAACCTACCGATTACAATGGAGCAGCCTTTTTGCGCTTCCGCTGCTGCCGCCTCTGTCTCTTTCTGGTTCTCTGCTGCCCCCTTCTGCTGCCCACCCTCCGATATAGTTACACAGCCTGCAACCTGATCTCCACGTCGGAGGGCCAGCAGTCGTCTGAGGCGCTGCTTCCTCGCCGTTCCAGAGGGCAGTAGCAGGCGCAGAGGTACAGCTTTCACTAGGCCCTTCTGCGTAGCGACTACCAGCCGGCCGTCTGTCTCGCCGCTGTTCACTTGCACCACGCAGCACAGCCCCTCTCCTGCCACATCTCCTGCCTCCCCTGTACCATCTGCCGCTGCTGCCTTGCCCGTAACGCGACGGCGCGAGCTGTAGACTGCAGCAGCAAGGGGCGACCCAGAGGCCTTTAGACCATGACGTTGCAGCTGCTGGCCCCTTAGAGACAGGCACCGCCCGTCTCTCCAGATGAGCATAAGCCAGTCGCTGTCTCGACACGCCGTTGCTGCTACAACGGCGCTCATCTTGCTGCTGCTCCGGCTGGTAGTGTCTAGCGACTGTGAAGCCTCAACTGTCCACTTGGTGCCTGCAGCTGCACGTACTCCCCCCGCACTCTGACAGCGCTGGCCCGTCGAGCCTCTGCGTTGGAGGCTAAGCGCAGCCTCAGGGATTCTCTTGTACAGGCCGCCCTCAGTGACGAGTAGCAGGTAGCTGTTCAGGAAGACACACACATCATCAGAACGCAATACAGCAGCACAAACAGGCAATAAGTAGCGGTTTTCCCCACGCTCATGCAGACGCATGCAGTGTGTTGTCACGCGGAGTCTCCATGCGTAGGTCCAGCAGAGCATCACCAGGTACATTCCGAGGCACGAGTCACGTTGCACCGTCAGCGGAGTGCTGGCCTTTATCCGGATAAGCGACAATTCAAGCACGAAGACATGAAGTCGCATGCAAATCCTGTCTCGAAAAATATGGGGAGCCGTGCTCTCCGCAGGAGCACGAATGTGCAGGACCACTGGAGGCCCCCTAAGCGTAGAGAGGCCTCCCTATGCAGACGCCGACATGTCATTCTTTGAACAACAGCATCCATAAGTGCATGACACTGTGTCCCCCTCCAGACGCACGCGGTGCTTTATTTAGGCGAAGTATACCTCTTTGTATCCTTGGGTGTCTCTGCACTCTCGTCTCTCCCCCCATTAAGGATGGCATCAGCATCGATGGCCTGCGAACTCCCCGGGGGGCCCCCTCGGAGGAATCGCGTCTTTCTTGGTACTCCATACTTCGTGGCCACCTCAAGAAGCTCCTCCTTGATAACTCCATACAGCTCCCTATCATCCGAAAGGAGGTGCCGAAGCTTTACGGCCTTCTGGCGCGTCTCTTCGAGCTTCTGTTGTTGCTGTTGCTGCTGTAACCGCAGCAAACTGGAGAGACGCATGCGCAGCAATGCTTGAGCTTGGCGTTCCGTGAACGCAAACGGACGCTCTGCGGGATTACAGCCACTCGCAACACACAGGCACAGAGTGCGAGGCACCACATCTGTTACGCCTACACCTGGGTCACGCGCGCACAACAGGTAGAAGCATGCTGGCAACTGTTCGGAGGCTTGTAGAGATAGCAACGCTAAATGCTTCCGGGTAGATACACACAGTCGGGGGCCACCCGCATTGTTGCCAGGCTAGGAATACACATGTAAATACATGCACATGTATACACCCGGCTCTTGAGCAGTGCGGAGTACAACTCCCCCCTTCCTTGAGTATGGAAGCCCTCAGTACTGACGATACCTGTAAGCTTTTGAGTTGCCTCAGCCGCATCCGCGCTGTCTTGCAGCAGCTTGATGATCTCATTGCTGCAGCTTGCGGCCTTTGTCAGGCCCTCTAATAGGTGCTGCTCCTCCAGCAGCAACTCCTCTTCCCGTTGAGTGCGCGCGCGCACAGCCTTCAGCCTCGCCTCCAGCCACGCCTCTAAAAGTCCCCTGCGAGGTGCATGCATCTCGCATTCAAAGTCTCAAACGTTGCGGCCCTGATCCGGCTGTGGAAAAAGACGCCTCCGAACTGAACAGTATGCATATATGAGTGAAGCCACCAAGGGCTTACCTAAGAGAAAGCCTCTGAGGTTCCTTCCCGTCTTTCAGGGCCACAAAGTTACACTGTACAGACACCTCAAGCGGCGTCCGTGCCAGCAAGTGTTTCCAGGCCTCACGGGGAGGCACTTCAGGCGAAAGCTCGAAGACAACGCGAATTCCGGAAAAGTCGCTCTCATCTCGTACGGCTGCGCATTCCGTAGATGCTCGCACTGCACTTGAATCCTTAAGCCTGAACTCGCAGCTCTATACCCTGACGGCAAGACGCCGGCACCAGGATACTGCGGCTGGTGGCTCTCTCTATCTAGGGAATGGGCTGCCTTGAGAATCCCTCTATTTCAAGTCTTGAAGTGTCGCCTCACCAGCAACGCCGGGAAGCAGCCGGTCTGCAGCCAGTCTTGTGGCCAGACGCACAAGCTCTCCCTGGCATGCATGCGCAGCAGATATATGGAAGCAGAAAATCTGGCAGTTACAAGCACCCAGAGAGACGTTCCGAACACGAGCGTAGAAGCAGAGCGGCAAGGACGCAGAAGGACAGGGAAAGTGAGAAAAACAGAAGGAGCATGCAAACGCGGAGGCGATGGAGGGTGGCGTATACACACACAGGCCTTCGCGTACTTCGCGTTCTGCGAGTGATTGTTAATAGCTTCAGGTACCTTGTTCACGCCGTAGGGTAGTTCAGTGACGACGATTTGGGTGTGTTCGCTGTCAGCCTCATCGTGTCCTTCGTGTTTCTGTCTGGCTGTGAAATGTCTCGGCTTGGTTTTTTGTTCCAAGAAGCCCCTTGCCCTCAGGCGCAGCGAGCCATGACCCTCCTTGTAAGCCAAAGCCGCTGCGCTACCCTCCACCAGCAAGCCTCCTGTGGGGAAGTCGGGTGCTGGTAGAAGGCGGTATAGCGAGCTGTCGGGAAGGCGCCGGTTACTGCAGCGGCAGCAGCAGCAGGAAATGGCTGCCACGGATTGAGCGAGAAATGCGGTGAGAAAGAGCTACACTGGGAGCTACTGTACTCTCAAGGGACAGCAAGGAGACGCTCGAAAGAGGGCCGACTTCGAGTGTGAACGCACTCGATAAGCGCGATGCAAGCGGCGACGACCTCCTTCAAGTTATGAGGCGGCAGGCTCGTTGCCAGGCCCACTGCAACTCCCGCCGTCCCTTGCAGCAGTAAGAGAGGAACTCGGGCAGGCAGACACTCCGGCTCTACCTGCAGCGACATGTTATTTCAAGGACTTCAAATAGGTATAGCGCTTCATCGGCAGGCCCTAAGCTGCCATATCTGCATGCGCAGAGATCCTCGATATCCCCAGGTACAAACATCCGGCACCGTACTTGCTACGAGGCCAATGCCTTCGACCCCACACAACCCGAAGGGTTCAAAATACACCCCTGACGTCATTGGCAAAAAGAGGGCACAGGCCTTCGCGGGCAGAGACAGCGGGAAGCGAGGTTGGCACTGCACCTCCGTTGCGTCAAAGTTTGGGCGAAAGCTACACGCCGACGTGTGCAAGTCCTTAAAGAGCGCGTCCTGGCTGAATACACACATATACATATGCAAATATGTATCGGCACACGAGGGCCCAACACCCCCTCGTCTCTTCTTCCCCCTTCCTCCAAAGAACTCGCGCATTACAGACTTTCCCACAGGTTCTAGATTCTGGCATACCAGAAGGCGGAGAGCCTGCACTCCGTGTATCGCATTGCAGCCGCGGGATCTCCATCCACCGAGCCAAAGTTTCCGTGGCCTTCCACAAGCGGCAAGTGCGAGACGAACGGCTGCGCCAGCCTGCATGCAGACCAAAAACCGTAAGCGCGTAAATGCGCATCTCGCTGCGGAGGATGCGCAGCTCTACCGCATGGCTGCAGCCTTTCGGCTTTGCGCTGACCAGTGTGAGCCGCCCCTCTACAGTTGCTCGAGCGAACCACCCCACAGTGCAGCTGCCAAGGCCGCTGCCGCTATAGCCACTGCCGCTTGTCTAGCTGGGAAAGCGCTGTCACAGCACCTGACGAGGGCGTCATAGACGGCTTTGTCTCCGTGCGGATGAAATTTTCCAAGAACTTCTCCTACAACCCTTGCACTTTTTCTGAACGGCCCACTATGGTTCAGGCCTAGTTGCTGCGACACCGAACGCAGGCACACGCTCCACACAGACCTGTACGTACAGACACCCCGCCTGGTGCCGGCAGCGTAGCGCTTCGACTGAGCCTCAAGCAATCCAACCCATCAAAAAGCCGAGAAGCGCCTGGATCCTATATACATTCGGAAGCGCGCACATCTTCGTTGAGCCCTCCATTTGCAGGAACAACATTTTTTCGCGGACCCAGGTGGACACCTTAGCATGAACGCCCATGCAATCGGAGATCTACTATTCCAGATAGTCTGCCTGGACTCCAAAGGCTTTGACACGGTAGAGCTTGTTAATAAAGCCAGCAAGGCCTCATCAGGGCCTCGTTGCTGAGTTTGGTGTATTCAACGGGTTCCTCATGAACTTTGCATCCTATCGGCATGTGTGTGTCTAGACACGTAGACATGCAGACAGATATCTAAGCCTCTGAACATACATATATATGTATATATAAATGTTCTTGCGTGCATGTGTGTGTGTGTATGTGTGGTACCTGCATTGCAAACAAGATCCGTCTGTGAACCGGTTTGAGACCATCCCGGGTGTCTGGGAGAGCCCTTGCATGAATGGTGGAGACGGCATAGAGTCCAAAGCTCTCTATCAGCTCGTTTGCAAACTCTCGGGGGATTCCCTCATTTCCCTCTGTTTCTGCTGTTGCTGTTGCTACGGCCGCAGTGCTGCCTGGTTGGGCAGAAGCGGATTCGGCAGAGTCAGAGTGGGAGAGGGCTGGCTTTCGATTTAGAGGCGATGCGCGCACGCCGCTGTTTGCCGTTTCTTTCGTAAAAGGCAGATGCAGGGGGGAACTGAGGGGGCAGACTTTCCCCAGTCCAGGCGTGCAGACGGCCGCAGAGCAGCAGCGCTGCGGCGCAGACAGAAAAGCCTCAATTCGAGGCACGCAACCCACGGCGACAGCAAGGAGGCAGCACAGCCCCCCAAGCACGACCATCTTGTTCTTACGAAGTATTACGGCCAAGCGCCAAAGCCCTTGAGTGTCGGGAAAGTCTTGAAAGCCTCGATGCCGATAAATATATACATATATACATATATATGCATACATATGCACGCCTAGGATTACAGATGCCACCCCGCTAGAAATGTGGCCTTAGGCCTCGCGGATCGGTCGCTCCCATCTCCCTGAGGGGTTCAAAGTGCCGCGTAGTGGAAGTGTGTGTAGAACACCAACACGGCATTTGCCGGACGGGGTTAACGAGGGTGAAAAAGCGGCAAGGCTTGCGGATAGCGGTTCGGTTGCCCTTTATATATCTCTCTCTCGTTCTTGCCTTCTTCTTCGGAGGTCTCGGAACCGAAAGACAGTTGCTCAGAAGCGAGATTCCACAGTTACGATTCACAATGAACCATTCTGCGTTCGCCAATTGGCGTGAGCACTGTGTAACCTGTAAGCAAGCCTTTCGAGACTAGGAGACTGTAAACAGGGTCGGTGGATGCCTTGGGGTCCTCCGAGTGAAGCTCGAGTAAACCACGCGGGGGTAGCCGTGCTTATCAGGGGGATACCTTAAAGTTGGTTTCGAAGAGTGGTTGTTTTTTCTTTGGGGAGCTTTTATCGCATTGCGGCCAGTTCCCACCGCTAGCTGCCTTACCGCCCACCCTCCCATCCTCCCGGGAGGTCCCCCCACCATCGCTAGGCTACAGCTGCCCTTGGGCCCCTCCTCAAGCATCGAAGTGCATAGCCACTTGGAATACGGGGACGTAAACGCTTTGCTTTTCTTTGGGAACTTGAATCCTGCTGGAAACCGATGATCGTGCCCCTCCAACCGAGGCCCTAAGGGCCTTTCTGCCTCTGTGCAGGTGGTGCCTCAGACACGCGCTGTCTCGCCGTCCCTGCAGATGCGCCTCAGCTGCTTCGCACGAGTCGCCTTTTCCCTGTTTCTCTCGCCGCTACCCAATGCAATGCAGCACGCACCTTGTTGGTCTCAGGTAGTTCTCAGGACGTGCCTGAGGCACTTCAATGGTCCGGGGTCACTTGCCTCGGGGAGGCGTCTGCTTTTCCTAACACCCGCTCACGCGCCGCCCTCCCTTCCAGACAGCGAGACTGTTGTTTCACTCTCTTCGAATCGCCTTGCTTTTGTTTTGCCTTCGTGTTCTGCGAATCCCCTGTCCCTTTGGTCGGGCTCCCCCTCAAGGACAGCCGCTCCCCGGAGCCGCTGGATACGGCTTGGAAGCAGCGACTTCTTTCGGCATTGCGCTACTGCCTCACAGAGCTCCGCCCGTGAAAAGCTTCCCACAGACTGCGAACACTCAAGCGAGCAGCAGGTCTCATATCAGCCCCTCCCCCGGATCCTTGGCCTCTGCTTTTCCCAGATCTTCTTTTGCGGCTCGCTCGCCTTCTGCCTCTCCTCTAGAGTTTTACTGCAAAGTGCCTCCATGAATTCCGATGCCCTCGCCTGACGATTCAACGGTCGGGTGCATGCTGCTGCTGCCACTTTCTGCAGGCGACAGCGACACCACGGGTCTCCCTTGCACATGCATCGAAGTCTGAGAAAAGACAGGGATCACAGAAGCAAAACGCTCTTTCGCGAGGCCTTCTGCGGCTCGAAGTCGTTCCCGGTGACCCTAATAGCGCCATTGTTCTTATCGGTCGGAATGCGAAACAGGTATAACTTGCATGCGAACGCCGTCTCGAATCCAAAAAAGTCGCCTTCCGCATGTCTGGCCTCTTCCCCAAAGAAACCCCACTCTCCCAGCACTCTCGTCTTCCGTGCACTCAGCTGTCACCCCTTCCCCTTCCTTCCTCGCTGTCCTCTATCCTTTTTCTGCCCCCCTGCATGCCGGCCTGTAAGCCTACGCGGCGTCTTGATCCCCCAAGCCTTGGTTGTGTTCTACGTGTGACAACCCTTCTATCGACGTGCCACCCTAAGCAGGGCCGCTGTTGGAAGCTCTCTCGATACTAAAGCCTAACTCGTTCTACAAGTCTTTTTGCGCTCTCTCTTAGCGCCTTCTTCCCCCGTAACCTTCCCCCTTGCCTCTTGCTTTGTCCTCCTTCGTCTGTTTATTTTTGCAGAACGAGCATCTCACATTTTCAGTGGCGCTGCCCTCCGATTTCTGGTTGCATGCGGAGGGTCTCCCTGGTGCCCACGTCTTGTTGCGATGGCCCTCTGAGAGTTCGTGCAACAGGCCTTCAAAGAGCCTTTTCTCGGAGGCCTTGTCATTTGCTGCTCACTGTGCGGCGTATTTCTCAAAAGGGCGAGAAGAGAAACAGTGCCGAGTCGTGTGCGCAGCGGCAAGAAACGTCTTCAAGCCACCAGGATCTCCTTTAGGAACCGTTTCCATTAGGGGCCAAGTACAAGTTGTTGCGGGAAGGTAAAAATGCCCCCTACATCTAAAGGAGCAGCTCACAAAGCTGCTAAGCCAAAGTGGCTCCGCACCCGTTCTTACGTTTCCTCAAAGCTTGTCCTGCCTTGCCGCCGTGTCTGTGTTTGTGTGTGTGTTTGTGTGTCTGTGTGTGTGTCTGTGTCGCGGTAGTGTGGGTGCAACTAGGTGGGGTCTTTTCACGCCAATTCTACCTGCATGCATTCATTTGCCGATGTGTGTTTCTTGTGACCTTCATGACAAGGCCCTCCGTGGTTGCGCCGCGCCTGCTCGAGGTTCTCCGCGAGAGACTCAAGGGAAACAATCAACTAGGTAGCAAGAAAAACAAGAAAACACTGAACCAGCCGCCTGATACAACGCAAAGCGTCGCTGTAGTAGCGGACGCACCTGCTGCTGCGCACAAGTCCTCCAATGCCTCGAATTAGACAGGCCTAGTGATTTTCGTGACGCCTGCACGGGGACCGACAGTTAGCCGGAGGGGGCGTCACCAAATAGCAGGACTGGCCTGTAGACGCTATTTTTTCCCAAAACAATGCGGCTTAATAGAGTCGAAAGCACTGAGGTGCCTCCTGAGGGGCCATCCCTAGGGTCCCCTGTCTGTGTGCTCGAAGACAGAGTGCGCTCTAAAATCTAAAAGCGGAAGTAGAAAGGACAAAAAAATGAAGTTTTTTGTGACGCAACAAACATAAGCTGGGCAATAGATCCTCTCAGGGTCCCCCAAATGTAGGAGTCTGCCCAGGATTTAAAACTTTCCTCACGCCTAGTGTGCGTCCTACGTAAGAGCACCCGCTAACCCCGAAAGTAGTACTGAACGCGCGGCTGTTTCCACTGTGAAGGGAGCAGCAACTCAGGGAAAACTATGTAGAGCATGCTAGATGCCTGCCGCTAGATGCTGCAGCACTCAGCGATTGAGCACAGACTCCTCCGACTTCCTGTGAGCATACACCTGCTGTGGAGGCTGTGCTTTTTCCTCTTGCACTGGAGGCGGCCACGGAATGTTTCCTCCAGAATCGCGCAGCTGCTGGTCTAGGATAATGCTTCTAAAGTAAGCCGCAGGAGAAGGAGCCCGGTTCCTAGGAGGCGAATTGGAAGCCGTCCGCAATGGCAATTCGTCCTTCAATACTGGGAAGCCCGCAGTCAGCGTAAACACAGCAGACGCGAGGTCAGCATTTGTTGCAGGAGTGCCACGAGGACGTTCTATCTGTTCCTTTGTTACCCCTGGTCGGCCATATCTAGGAGCTGCAACGTGGACAGCGGCATCTGCAGCGTTATCTTCCTTAGCTTTCGATGTAGAGCTGCTCCGTGACAGTCCCTTTATGAGAGCAGCAAAGGATTCTCGAGGAGGGAACGGCGCTGCGGGGACTGCAGCTGTGAAGAATCCGCCGAGGGCTTCTGCAAACCTCTGTCTGTAGTCTGCAGGCGAGAGGACAGTCGGTTGGAGTCCGCTGGTCATGTAGGCAATAGATTTCCCAATGTTTTCTACCTGCTTATCCCAGGTGTATCGACGGAAGAAATCAATGAGCCCGAAACAAAGCTCCCCAGTCTCCTCGTACAGCACCACCAGCAGAGAGTAATCGACGACTTCGAGGCGCTGCAAAAGCTCGAGATCTTCTTTCAGAGCGGCCATAAGCGTGGTATTGTCAGGAGGAATTAAACACAGCGCAAATCCACCAGAATATTCCCGTAAATTCTGATCCCACAGTACAGGTACGCCCTCTAATGCAGCCTGCGCAGACGAGGACTCTGGAGCCTCTCCTGCTGCTACCACTGCGGTTGCTTCCGATACTGCGACAGACGAGGCACCAGACGCCGATAAGGCGCATGCCAGGGTAGCAGGCAGCGCAAGACATGGAGTTTCATCTGCAGACGTAGAAAGGACATATCACACACTAACAAGCCTATCTGTCTGTCACTGGCTTGCTATTTTAAGTCTGTGAACCGCTCTCAGCATATCTGTGTGCCAAGAGTACTTCTAAAACGAATTCCACGAGCTCCAGTCTATTCGATTTCACGAGTTCCAATCTATTCTTCCTCTACCTGATTGTATGCGCGTCTTCTCCCTGCCTCCCGGTGCTCCTAAGGAGGATCCTGACGCTGCGCAGCTGCCTGTCTGCTCCTCTGCTATAGGCCCCATAGAAGTGCCTGTCCTTTCTGCGGGCATCGCGGTGCCTGCTGCTTGTGCGTTGCGTCCAGTTGCTGCTACACCTAGGCTTGTCACTACAGCGTCAGCTCCTTTGTTTCTAGTGCTAGCACTATCACCACTACTTCGGGTGGTGCTGCACGTGGTTGCTTCCTTGTCAGGAACATAGCGCTGCCACCCAAGTCCCTTTAGGTCAAAGACCTTCACAGGTCCCTTCGGGTGTCCTCCTTCCCTGAATCGGAGGTTCCGCATTGCAACAAAATACTTTTTTTCTGTGCTGGCGGTTGTCGTGAGCTGAAAGAGGCCAAAGAGAGCCGTAAGGGCAGACGGTCTGGATCCATAGAGTGCCCCGGAGAAACGACGGAAGAAGGCATCTCCCTGTGCTAGAAGCAACTTGAGCTCGTGGCGGTTTATCTCCTTGAGAATATACAGCCTGACATATAAGCAGATGGAATAGTGCAGAGCCGCAGTCAACAGATATACACGGCAGCAGAGAGACTGGCTGTGTGCTGAGGAGGCTCTGTGGCCTTTGTACAACCAAGAAGAGCACCAGCGCATCGGACATACCCCACTACACTAAGCTACACGACTTCATATCATTAGACTCATCAAAATACGCAGCGTGAAGCTTAGGGCTTTAACCAACCCATCGGAGGAGATGCTAAAGGACGCTCCGCTTTTGCCCCCATAGAGCTTTACTGGCCTCGTCCGCTTTATCGAACAGCAAAATTGCAGATCGTCGCTGCATAAAAGATGCCGCAACGCGTGGAACTGAAACCCATACACAAACAAACAAGCGAAAAGAGACGATTCAACTGACTGCACATATCAGACTACAGAAAGGCCCAACATCTGCAGCGCCTGTTTGCCGGCAGCGAAGGCTGCAGGAGCCAAGCCTCATACAACAGCAGGAGGCAGTGATCTAGATGCCGCTCCAGTTATCTGTACGCTTAGAGATTACCCACCATTAGACTCTCCGGTAGAGCAACCCACCCTTGAAGCCCCCTGAGTATCTTTTACCCCGAGCAAAGTGATTTTCAGCCAGACAGCACAGTGTCTTTGTCTTGAGGCCCCTCGGAACTGACCTGCGGAGCGAAGAACAGAGTCACTGTATGACTTCGATCCCTTCCGAGTTGTTGCACCACGATATGCGGGTCTGTACCGTCCGTTGGCGCCTCAAGCACGTCGCGAAGCACTAGCAAGCTATCTTCTTTTGCACTCTGTACTTGCGAGAGCGCTGCCACAGGCCTGTTTGTCGACTCAAAGGGGCCCCCCCCGCCCAAACGAACTCTTTCCAAATCGTCCTCTGAAGAAAGAGCGACAAGTCGTGGTCTGCGTCCTGTTGGCTCCGCCCCGCGTGCAACAGGCCACTGCGCGGAGCACAATGGCGGTACAAACAAACAGCAACTGAAGCAGTCCCCTTGCTGGAGACCAACGGCTTCAGCAGACGCGTCAGTGTGCGGTACCGGCACTTCCCCATCTCCATCCCTCGCTGGAGCAGACACTGCGAACGCTGGCAACTCTGCGCCGCTTTTCCTTTTGGGCAAACACTCTGAGGCTTCGTGATCCTTCAAAAGGCCCTCTGCCTGGTCCGAAAGAAGACTGCGCAGCGCAGACGGAAGCAGGAAGCAGCCATGAGCACACCCACCACTTCCTAAGAGGCCACCATCCTGCAACCTTCGCATCCCCGTGTTGCTGCCTAGGGCCGCTGCTCGACTTCGTGCGCGGTGCAGAGCACCCGGGCAAGTCCCCTGGCAGCATTTGCATGCCTTGAGAGAGGTGGTGCTCTCTGCCTCCGGAGATTTGGAACCCGTTGACGCGCGCGTGCAGCGTCCACAAAAGCCCCCACAGCAGCCGCCACACACATTCGAGAAATCAGTTGCCCATCGCCGCTGCAGCTGCAGCGCCGCGTGTCTGCTGAGGATGGCAGCAGCGATGAGCGACCCTGCATCTCCAGCCTCCTGCGAGTTCAAGCAGCCGTGGAGGCCCTCTTGAGCGCTGGGATCGATCACGCGTGCCTCCTCCAGCACCGAAGACAGGGATGCCTCCAGTGCCCGCACAGCTTCTCGTGTCACTTGATGCAGATGCTGCAGACAATCAGCCTCCTCGCGCACGCCGCCAAAGAAGGAATCCACCGCATGCAACCATGGCTCTCTAACTGCGGTGTCGTGAACACCCCCCCGTAGAGTCGGCTGTACCGGTGCGCTAGCCCGAAGGGCCCCCAACTTGAGGGGCCTCCAGGGCCCCTCCCGAAGGGAACCGTCAAATGGCTCCATGGCGGCAGCTGTACCGCTGATAGAACTCCTCGAAAAATGCACGGCTTTTGGTGCAGCTTGCGCAGTAGCAGATACGCGTTTTTTTCTAGAACCTTCTGCGCCTCCAATTGTGGCTCCAGACGACCCTGAACCCTCTACCACCTGTGGGGCTGGACTTCTGGCAACAGGCCTTGAGGCCGCTTCTTCGCCGTCACGCAGCCTCATTGGAGACAGTGCTCGCGTGTTCATTCGCGCACTGGACTTGAGCACCTCTTCCCTGCGGCGTAGACGCCACACGACTTCGCACGAAATGCTGCGCTGCTGCTGACACCGCGGGCTTGCCTCTGCCCCTGCACCTGAGACTGCCGTCGGTGATGTCGTACGTAATCCGTTTGTTGCAAATCTGCACGCCTGCACTGCAGCAGTAGGGGCCTCCTGTACGGACTGGAGCTGCTGGTGACCCCCTTGCATCGCGGGGCTCAAATATCGACTGCTCTCTTGCCATGCTGGTGCCTTGTTGACTGGAGGTGCTGTGGATGCTGCAGCCGGTGCTACCCCTCCCGCGTCTGATCCCTTGGGACGTTCCGCTGCGCGCCGCGTCAAAGGGAAGGCCTTGCCTGCACACAGCCTTGCTGTGCTCTCTAGCACAACGAAACCTCTGAGCTCTAGGGCCTGCCCTTCGCCTGCAAGCCCACCAGCAAGTCCGACAGAAGATGATGCTCGCTCACACACCGTGGTGTCGTTGGCAGAGGGCCTGGGGAGACAAGCGGAGGCGTTCGGCAGGGACGACTCCTGCAAGGCCGCCTCTGCGGCAAAGGAGAAGCTCCGGAGGATAGCGGTAAAGCGCTGCCTAAAAATCCTCTCGAGAGAATTCCACGAAAAGTCACAAACCTGCAGTAGCCTTTGGGCCGCCCACCAACAGCCACACTTCCGTCGTGCTTGCACTGCGTTTGCTGGACTCCTTTCGTGTTGCCCTCTAGAGGCTGAGCAGCTCGGCTGCCTTTCGCAGCAACCACCATGCTCCTGCTGATTCTGGGGGCCCGCATGCGCCTCCACAACCTGTTGCAACGAGCACCAAAACAAGGTCAATGTTGCTGCTGCCTGCTGCAGTTCTTCCTGCAGCACGCCCAGCTCGCGTCGAAGGGTAAGCAGCAGCTTAGAGAGCACAGTCCAAAGCTCCCAGGCTACGTCGCCAGGAGGGTGTCGTGCCGGTGAATCCGCAGAACTGGGAAGAGCAGGAGATGCAGAAGGCGTGGAAGACGCTGCAAAGGAGCCGCTCTGCGTTACCACCCCTTCCTGCATATCCACGGCTACCAGCTGCTGCTGCACTGCAGCAGCAGACACCAACAGAAAATCCACCCCTCGTCTTGCCCAAGACGCCTGCAAAAACGCCGCAGAAACCATACGATAGACGTTTTAAAAGGCCACCGAACCGTGACGCACCGCCTTCCCAAGGGAAACGAGCTTGACGGGTCAAAGGGTAGCTGCTCCTATTCAGGCTGCTGTTTCTATGGTGACAACTGTCAGGGTGCAAGGGCTGCTGCTCCCTCCATTGCTGCTGCTGCTGCTGCTAAAAAACTATCGCAAATTGCATGCCTGCAACTTGCCTTTCTATCACGGACTGCATTCAGAGCCGCCTCAAAAGTCCTCTGTATGGCCTTTTCTAAGCAACAAAAGCCCCCCGAAGGTGTCGCCCCAGCACTGCAGTCAAGGGGCCCCAAGTGGGGGGCCCCCTGGGGACTGCCAACGACAGCTTTTCCCAGGCGTCTTGCCGCCACCTGCAGAAGCAGACGCGCCTTGGAGCAGATGCCGCCACTCATGCACAAGTCTGCATGCTGCTCAGGGCCAGACAGACTCGAAAAGCTGGCAGTGGTAGCGGGGAGTCTTGGCGCTACTTCTGCAGCTGCTGCTGGGGGCCCCTCTGCTGGGGGCCCCTCTGCTGCGTCCTCATCCGAGCTTAGCGTCGGGTCGCAGTCCGGGGGGCCCCCTGCGACGGGAGTGAGGAGCAGATGGGAACCCCCTTGACGGCATATGGAATAAAGTCTTCGGCTCTGGTGCTTGCAGGACATACCCTGAGGCGGAAGCGATACATAGGAGGGGAGCATACAAATCTTAGCACATACACATACATATACGACGGAAACGAGGTTACATCACAGCGTCAGACACAGGGCTGCGAGACTCGTTCTATAAAAGCCATCAGGTTTGTTCATACGCATTTACTCCAGGGAACTTCGCTTGCAAGCACACGCCTCCGAGGCAACGCCATCAGCAGCGCCACCAATACACGAGGGAGATCACCAGCAGCAGCCGGGGAGGGTGCGCCTTACAACATTTCCGCAGACAAAGTGGAACGTCCTATCCCTAAATACCAAATGCGAGCACCCGGAAGGAATCCACGATTCAGTGCCTGCCGCCAGCTGCCCTTGCAGCTGTAGGCCTTGCTGCTTTTGGAGAATAAGCGTCCCGCTGCAGGTGCCGTCTCCGCGCAAGGTTTCGTCCGTAAGCAGCAGCTCTAGGAGCTGGACAAATGGGATATCCCCGAAGCGCCCAATCTCTTCTGGCGGTGCTAGGGGAGAGCCTCCACATCGGCTGCAAGTTTGCCACCAAGTTGCACACTGGGCAGACCCACCTGTGCATGCTCCCTTGTGCACCCCTGAAGCTGTTGTCGCTGCGTCGAGATCTTTTGATGCTGGAGAAGAACTTGCCTCGCTAGACGCTGCGGCAGCCCGAGGCGCATGCGGACTGACCGGATTGCTTGGTGCTGCTGCTCTAGCTGATGCTCCTGCTGCATCAGGAAGCCCCGAAGACAGACTAGGGGATCCGTCAATCCTGCTACACCGCAGGATCGGACTGGACACATGAGAGGGCCCCCCAGGGTGCGCGGGGAGTCCTTCCTGCGAAGCAGCCGCAGCATGCATTAGCAAGGAGAGAGCGAAGCTCGACTCAAGCCCTCTGTATACAGACCCTACGTTCCGCGGCAGGAAGCCGCCTACACGTTCGGCGACGCAGCAGCAGTCAAATTCGAGGACTTAAAAGTAGGGACTGCCGTGAATCGGCAGTCGGCTATCTGGGGGCACGACGAAGCCTCTGGCTCAGCACTGAGGATCTGCAGAGCAACACTGACAGTGAAGGTGATGAGAACGCGGTTAGTATCGCGCGAAAAAGCGAGCGTGTGCTCGGAGAGCGGCCGCTTGCATCTAGCATCTCCGGCTGGACAGCGACGCGCACCAGGCTGCTGCAGAATAAAGCGCGTCCAGCTGCATAGGACTTCGCCTAGCGTCGCGCCAAAGGGGTTGAAAGACAGCACACATGGGGGACTAGGGGCCCCCGCATATCCGGAGGAGCAATGCTGTAACCGGCAGCTCCAGCTGATTTCGTAGGAGGGCCTTTGCGCCTCCAGGAGAAAGGCCTCCTCCAGGAGGCGACTCCAAGTTGAATCGGCATCTCCAGGTTCCGCACCGTCTGCGCCGAAGGCAGCAGAATTCGCATCCTCATATTGCTGGGGGGCCTCTGCACTGCAGCAGAGCCTGCCGGGAGGGGTGACGCGGAGGTGATCTGGGAAGCAGAGGTCCTCCTGGGAAACTCTTGGCGGTCCATCACTGCCCTTTGGAGAATCTGCAGCATCCACCAGCATTAGGAACTGTAGCTGCGTTGAACCAGCGACATTGCCGTGATTTCCCGCTGCTGCTGCTGCTACGGCTGGCGCGTTTGAAGGCTCCTTCGAGCTCTGCCGCGGGTGTGTCTCGGTGTACATACACTGCAGCAGCCGACGGACCAGGTCCATGGGGCTTCTTGACCCCAACGAGGAACCGCAAGACCGCAGCCACTGCACTAGCGTCTGCCCCCGAAACTCCTTTTTTAGCACTGCTGCAATGTTCTCTAGGCGGTTATCGCCAGCAATTGCACGGCAGAACACACTATTGGGCCTTTGCAGCTGCTTGATTGCTGTGTCTGTATCGTCGTCGCACGCTTGTTTCCCGTCCTTCAGCGGTGCCCCTTCCGCAGAGCCTCCCCTCCACGTACCCTGTAAGCACCCATGCGGATACTCTGCTGCAGACGATCGCAGCAGCAGCAGCATCTCTTCTGCCTGCTGAACCCATGACGGACAGAGACGGTGATTCCCTGGATAGCAGCATGCAGCAACGAATTTGAGTTGCTGCTGCAGGCCAAAAGCAGTCCAAAGGGCCCTCCAAAGAACCCTTTTGTACCTCTGCGCTGCTCGCTCTTGCGCGGCAGCCCCTGCTGCGGCTGCAGCGGCTACTGCTGTGAGCGGCTCTGCTGCCAGAGCTACAGACGCCTTCGCAGCAGCCCGCGCAGCGTCTGCCGATGGCGGGAGGACAAGACAGATCGTGCAGAGGCGGAAGGGGGGGCAGTCGGAGAGAATGAGGTGTGCAGACGCGCCAGGGGCGGGGGGCCCCCACTCTACGGAGCACCAGCCCAAGGCTTTCTCGTTTTTCAGCAAAGAGGTCGTTGCAACTTCAAGAGACGCCCATAGGGGGGCCCCTATGGCCCTGCTCGCCCTCACCAAGTTGGCAACGGAGACACCCGGTATTACGACTACCCGAAGACTAGCCAAGTAGATTGACAGCGACTGAGAAACACCTCCGGAAAGCAGCAGAACGTCGGGCTGCAGCAAGGCCAACTGTCGCTGCAGCACCTGTAATGCGAGGCTTCGCCGTCTCTTCTCGACTTCGAGCCGAGCAAACCCCTCATCGGAAGGGGGCCCCCCAGGGCCCCCAAGGGGGCCCCCTTGGAGCACCGGAACACTGGCCCCCGGGAAGTCTTTAAAGCCCCATTTGCGCTGCATGTCTAAATTCCCAGCCAGCAGCAGGAGCCGAGCTTTTCGCATGGGCAGCAGCTGCTGCTGCTGCTTGTGCTGCAGCATCAAGGGGACTGCTAGACCAGAGAGCGTGTGCGACTGTCGGATGTCTTCACCCCTGGTGCAGCAAATGTAAACGGCATCTCCAAGGGAGCGAGCAGCAGAGGGGGGTAGCTGCACGGCGGAGATAGCGCGAACGACAAGGTGCAGCAGTACTGTCACGGCGGCTGCGGGGATGCCTTCCAGCATGCAGTGTGCAGAAACACTTTCTCTCAGCAGACGCATCGCATGCAGGCCGTTGGGGCAAGCCTCCCTCGAAGCCCCTGAAAGCCTCTCCTGCGAGTTCGTGTGACTGCAACGGCTCGTCTCACCAGCATCAGCTGGAGGAGGCAGGGGAACCATGGGGTTAGGGGTGTCAAGACAGCCCGAGTCATGTATGGGGCCCCCGGTGGAAGATTCCCATGCGTGTTGCATCCATTCCGTCATTGCGTCCAGATCTTGTTGCTGCTGACACAAGGGGGTCAACAGCCTTATCTGTCGCTTCTTCTGAAAAAGACACGCGAGACAGAGCTTCAGAGCGCCTTCCGCATGAGGGCCCCTCGACTCCCTGCATAGGGAGCAGCAGCGCCAGCAAAAGATTAGACCGCATTGTCTGCAGTGGTGTCGGCGGATCAGGGCTGAGAAGGACACGCCACAGCGGTAACATTCGCTAGCTTCCGAGTCGCGGAGCCACAGCGCCATTGCCTCTGGGGTAGGACCAAGCACACGCTGCGAGACAGAAACTCATTGATAGTCTGAAGCCTCTACACCACCCCGAAAATCCCAGATCGCCAACTGAAAGCCAACATTACGGGCAAAGGGCGAAGATCTCATGAGCGCGGAGGGACGAGTTTTGAGCATCGGCTGCTGGAGCTCAAAACTTTTGATGTTGATGCAGGCTTCTCGACGCTGGTATTGCACATCTCTTCGTGTGACATTTCGAAATCAGGCGAGTAAAACAGGCCTTAAATAGCCACCACCGACGGAAGGCCTACAAACCGGGGGGCCCCTCCTCAGCTCTACAAGGGCCTCTTGCCGCGTTCCTGCTGCAATCCCGGGGATCGGGGGCCCCTTACGCCGAAGGGGGAGATCGGATTTTTGGAGGCTGATAGCACTGATCATATGCACAGCCATCCTGTTGTGTCAATTTTTTCCCTTTCTTCGTCGCGCTAATAGAAGGAGGCGCTTTTGGATATCGACACGCCTCCGGAGATCAGCCATCGCAGAAGCAAGGGGCCCCCTCATGAAGCCACCAAGGCTGCCGCTGCAGGGAGAGAGTGTCATCCCCACAAGCCCTGCGGCATCGGGAGGCATGGAGCCCCTTGCTTCGTTTTGTGCTTCTTGTCCGTTTCTTTGCAATAAGTTTTTTTTGGGCCGAACTGCAGCGTTCCTCGAATCGCGCTGCTGTATTCGCACTCTTTGCCCCTTCTCTTCCGGCAGCCGCTGCTGCTGCTGGCGCCGCTGCCACGGCCCCGCACCGCTGTGGTCTGTTGATCTTCTGAGTGCTTCAGTTGCACAGCTTTTCGGCGAATTCTGTGTTTCGATCGCCATTGTGCGTCTCTTAGCATTCTGATCTGCCCTGTGGGGCCGTCTGCCCTCAGCCGCAGGGAGCCAGCGCGCGAGCGGCAGTGAGGGGGACGGCGGTGACAGTCCACACGGTTCTGCGAACTCGTCGCCGTAGTCTGAGGCGACTTCGGGAGTTCGTCGTAAACCGGGGGCATACGAGATCGCTATAAGTGCGACGAAGTAGCTGAAAGGGCTCAGCGAACGCAAGGAAGACGGCAGCCTCGGGTGCTTGGTAACTCGACAGCAAGATGTTGGCGTTGCTAGAAACCTCTGCAGGCTTCGCCCTGTTCCGTATAAAGAAGGGGAAGCTTTTGGAGGTTTCGGACGTTGAGGCCCTTCAGGCGCATTTTGCATCCCCAGAGGCGGCTCAGCGGGTTGTCGAGCTGCACGCATTTTCTCGCTTCAAGGATACCAAGCAGGCGACTGAGGAGGTGCTCGCTTTAGTAGACTCGAAGGTTGGCAAGGGTCTGAAGAAGTTCCTCAAGAAGAACCTTCTCCAGGCGGAGGGCGAGAGCAGCAAGCTCGTTGTAGCGGACAAGGCGTTGGGGGTTGCGATCAAGAATAAATTGGGTTTAGAAGTTCTTTTCTCACCACAGACTCACGAAATAATCAGAGGCATCAAAGAGCAGTTCGCAGCTCTCATGGATGGCATCGAGGAAAAGGGTCAGTTCAACGATTACTTGCACGGCACTTCGCTCTTCAGTGCTGTGGTCTTCTAGGGAGCGGTACCAGGAGGGTAATCTTTTCTTTAGTGACCCCTGTGTCTTATTGAATCTTGATCAAGAGGATTTTTTCTTGCGACAGGGTGCCGAGAGGCGAGGGGTGGGGGCGGGTGTATATACACATCTATGAGGCTGGCGACAGGTTCCATAGCCAAGATCTGCGGCCTCTTAGTCGGCACCATGGAGCCAGTCCTGCCTGAAAGCCACTCAGCACTTGAAACTTGTATTTGTGTGTATGCTTCCCGATGCACAGATCGTCAGCAGATGGCGATGTCTCTATCGCACTCTTTAAATAGATTCAAGCTTCGTTTCAGTCCAGAGAAACTCGACACTATGATCATTCAAGCTGTTGGTAAGGAGCAAGCGATCCCACTTTTTGTAGAAGGTTTCAAGATTGGTGTTTCCTGTCGTCCTCTCGTAGCCTCTTCGAGATTGTAATGGCGCTGTGCCGCGGGGGGCACTCTCGAGGGGTCTTCAGAGGGGCCGTTTCTAGTGGCTTCTAGCAGCACGCGGCATCGGGATTTTCTGTGCATTTTCTGCTGCTTCATGCTTTCATGATGCAGCCCTTCTAGACGACCTCGACAAAGAGCTGAACAACTTTGCAATGCGCTTGAAGGAGTGGTATGGGTGGCACTTCCCCGAGCTAGCGAAAGTTATAACGGACAACCTCGTCTTTGCAAAAGCCGTCAAGCTTATCGGGTTTAGGACGAACACCAAACATGCAGATCTTGAATCGATTTTACCTGATGAGGTGAGTCATCTGCTAGGAAAGTCGAAGAGGGTGGGGGGCTTGAAAGCGGGCATCAAAGACGCAGATTTTTTCACTGGATGGCAGAACTCAGCGAGTCGTATAGAATGATCTAATCATTTTTGCGTCTAGGTTTTTGCGCAGCTGCTTAGGGTGCCGTTCTTGCGTTTGTGCCGCGCTAGTCTCTACTTGGGTGTATATCCCTAGGAGCCACAGCTCACCGTAGATACGTATTACACGTATGTATGTTTAGAGAGAGCGAGAGGCTAAGAGCGTTCACCACGTCTATCAGTATATTGCGTCCTGCACCTTGAATGTGTATATCTTGCAGATATGCTCCGAGGTGCGTATGTCTGCCGAGACGTCTATGGGGACAGAAATGACAGACGATGATTTGCTCCACATCACTTCTCTAGCGTCAAGGGTCGAAGAGCTTGTCGAATATCGTGCCAACCTTGCTGAGTACCTGAAGCTTAGAATGAAGGCTGTGGCTCCAAATCTGACGCACATGGTAAGCAAAGGCTGTATGCCGGCTGGAAGAGCTTTCAAGGCGCAGATTGTCGCGACGGGCCTGACAGGCCGTTTTCGCATTGGGATATAAATAGCACTAGGGGGCTTATGTTGTAGACGAGGGAGATGGGCAATGTAGAAGCACGAGCGCTAAATTGAGGCATGCAGAGGCTCTCGCGTCTACTTTTGGATATTCCGCTGCGCAGTTGCATGGGCCTTTGCTTTCGCTGCCCCTCTCTGCTGCACGTCCACACGCAAGAGGAAAGGGGGGAGAGAAACTGCTGCTTCATGCTCCTTTTCTGTGGTGCGTCTGCGTCCCCCTTTTCCTGTCTCCAGGTAGGCGAAGTCATTGGCGCTCGGTTGATGGCTCACAGTGGCAGTCTGCTGTCTCTATCCAAGCAGCCAGCATCGACGCTGCAGATTCTTGGTGCCGAAAAGGCGCTGTTTAGAGCGCTCAAGACGAAGTCCAACACCCCTAAATACGGCATCATATATCATGCTGCCCTAGTGGGACAGGCGACACCTAAAATCAAGGGTAAACCGATTATTTGTGCGAGAGCGACAAATGTCGGAACCAGAAAATGGGGACTCACGAGCTGCATGAGACTAAAGTATATCGTTCTTGCGTGTCGGCGCTTCGCATCTTTTTCTTCTCGCTCGTGTAGCCTCCCAAATGCTGCCTTGTGTTGTTTCACCCTCTTGCTGGCGAGTCCAGTGGACACTCGTTCTTTCAGGCGCCCTAGAATTCCCTGCTTTATCTCTGAGAGGGCTGCCTTCTCGCATCGGAGCTCTTTGATTGTGGAATTTGCATTAGTTGTCAATCCTCCGATGCGTGTATTGGCTCACAGGAAAGATATCTCGCGTGCTGGCAGCTAAGCTCTCGCTCTGCGTCCGAGTTGACGCGCTAACCGAGGCTGCAGAAACAGCAGCCGCAGAGACAGCAGCAGGAACAGATCCCGTGGCCGCTGCAGGCAACCACGCGCCTGCGGAGCCGTCGGTAGCGATTGCATGCAGGCGCTACGTGGAAAATAAACTCGAACAACTCGAGCAACAACTCTCGAGCGGTGAGATTCAGCTTTCGTGGTGAAGGGCGCTTGGAGCTTACTACTTGCTGTTTGAACTTGTGGAATGGATGGCATTTCGGATATTGGGTTCCAGGCTTTGTGTTATTTCGATATGGTTGTGCAGCTGGAGGTAAGCCTGGGGCCAAGCCTTCTTTCCAGCGCTATGAGCCTCACCGCGCGACTAACGGTATGGCCAGAAAGTATGACGCTTCGACGGACGTAGTCCTAGGACCAGATGCTCCGAAGAGGCACATGAAGCATGTTGGGTTCGGGGCTGATGAAGCGACTGACGAGGTTCCGAGGAAGAAAAAGGTAAAAGCGGAGGCACAAGACTAAGATAACAACTGTTGAGGGACCCTTTTTCTGGTGACGCAGCCTACACGAGGCCATGCTGGGCCGCAAAGAATGGTGCTAGCCTGTAATCCACTTGGGAGCTCCCTGTATATTAGTTGCAGAATAACCAGGACTAGCAGCGGCAGCAGGCTTGAAGAAGCGCCGAACCAGCCTTAATGGTGGTAGGTATTTGCGGTCGCATGAGAGGGTGTAGCGGTTGTCTCGAGACTGCTGCCCATTCGGCGGGAATCTCATCTATGGGATGCAACCAGTTTGCGTAGAGCCCCCCTATTCGGGTTTAAGACGCTGGGCCTGCAACAGGAATGCACACATATTTATTACCCGTCAGACTAAGAAGACCCCATATAGTAGGGGACAGGGAGATGGCGAGGGATGGTGTTGGTTTGCTAGCAATCACTGTGGACCGTTTCTACTGTGCGGGGCGAAAGGCCTCTTGGCCTCCTCTTAATTTCTACCTCACCCGGACTGCATTTCAGCGCCCTTGGCTTCTTTTACGTGGCTTACCCTAGGTGCTTTGCGGCGCTTAGGTGCACCTCAATATTGCGAGCTCATACACCCATGATGTGGTGTACTTCACAGCAGAGACTGGGCGAGTAGTGTATTAGAGTAATGTCTCAGGGTGGGTGAATTTCAAACGCTTGCTGTAAGTGGCACTGGGTGCAAGTACATTGTTGCTCTAGAATGTGTGGCAAGATAGTGCACAAGTCCGAAGAGCGCAAGCGATTCATTAGTAGGCTGCACTGCACGTTCTGCTTTATTAAAACCTCCTTATGCCCTATTATTGCATAGCAACCCATGCAAATGGGATGTTCACGTCAACAAAAGAAGTAAGCGGCCACGGTGAAAATATTGAGTTACAGCTTATTGTTTTACCGTCAAGCAGACGCAAGCCACTAGGCGTAGAATTTTGACCTTTTGGCAACAACGAAGATTATGCTGTCGAATGCTATCTCATTCCCGCATGTGAATGTATTGCGAGCGTGCACATTTCCCCTTGTCTAAGGTATGCGTAGAGGGGCTTAGTAGCGACGAAGATTGTTTCTAGAGTCGGAAATTGAGGTTTTCCCCCCCTAAAGCACTCCCTCTTTCCCCAACCCGCCCCTCTCGTCACTCTGAGGAGGGGGCAGGGGGGCAGCCAGTGCGGCCATAGCTGCATGCCGGGTCACTGTGAGTCTTCAAAGCTAGTTGCACAGAGCATCTAAAGCACACGAGCACGACATCGCGTATTTTTGCGTTGAGCGAACAGCACCCTACAATACCTTAGATATGCCAACACGGATTAGCTGCTCACTGATCCTCAGATGGATAGACTACACTAGTCAGATTTTAGTCTACAGTACATGTATGACACGAACAGCCAAGATGTAAGCTATGGCATCAATAAACACGTACAGAATCGAGTTCACGATGGACTGCATGGCATTTGAAATGCAGGAAGGACGAAACGTGGGTGCAGACACAGGTTCCTACTTCGAAGAGGGCTGTTTTCCTGTTTTTTTTGCTTACTTAGAGCCGTGGGTATACCGTGAATAACGAGCTAGCGTACAGCATGTCAAACCACCCACCGAAACTCAAGGTTAACGTATGGCCCCACTGTCCAGAATTCCTTATCAAATCAGTTTTACTGCGAATTAAAATGGGACGCTTATCTTCGCGTAAGCAGTGCAAGAGCATACATACCATTGGGAATGTCAATCCGCTCCGTCGACCGCTCTGTCCTCTCTCTACTAAAGCCACCGACATATTTTATTGAATCACGTGTGTTACTTGTATTTTAAAAGTGAGGGACGATCCTTAGAAGCTAGCCTTGGAACAAACTTTACTGCCGGTGACACCTGGAGTGAGTGTGTTGATAATCAGAAGCATCACACGCCTTTGTCACCACTGCCTCGCCTCCAAGTTCAACTGGAACTCGTGCGAGTTCTGGTAAGCACCCCCCGGGGTGCAGCACGAGGAGTAACGGGAGCAGGCCACAAAGTGCAGACACTGCCACGTGTTACAGCGGCAACAACAGCTCAACCGCGGTGGTAAAGCTCAGCGGGCTCATAACAGCAAGTGGGCTCCATTACAGAGTAGCTGAGCGCAAGCCGTAGATCAGGAAGCGACCTTCAGGCAAAAAAGGGTAGCATGCCTGGACTTGCATGCCAGTTGAAGAAGCAACCACATACGAAACAGAGCAATAGCTTAAAGGTGCTCCATAAAAAAACGGTCCATGTTACATTGGGTCCCATGTTGCATGTGTGGGAAAACGGTCACGTAGTCGGTTTCACCAAAACGGGTGTATAACGATTGCATGACCACTGAAAATGTTTGTTCAGTGTCCCCGTGTACGTGTGCCCAGCAGATATATTAGGCACGCTGCTGTTGTTTAATTTCATCTCTTGCTTTAGCAGAACCCATGGGCATTTTAGTTGTCTCCAGTGAATGCATAAGGACATTCTTCCAATGCTTTCAGAACTAGTTGTTTGCTGGGTTCTAGAGCATAGCATGCTCTGCATAGAACCTTGCAGGCGAGCCTGCATTGGCAATGCAATTGTGCGAGTCTTGCTGTGTCAATTTTAGTCGATCCAGCACTTCGCGGAGTGGGATTACAAAGGGCAGCAGCTGAGGGCCCAGCAAGCAAAGGCAAGCGGACGAGGCTGGCGAAATCGTAGCGGATCCTACACTCACAGTTAAACTACGTTTTCGCTACGGCAGTTCTGCTGAATAGGCCGACTGGCGCGTACGAAAATCCAACAGCAGCAGCCATTCACAGTGTAGCCTATTCGCCGATTCTGCCGAACGGCCAGAATGGGTCATGCATTCTGGGTTTTTTCTAGTTGCTGGACTATGGAGCGTAGCATTGCTAGGCAGTAATCCATTGCACTCGAAATGATATCATGGTCTCCAGCACGCAAACCATGATTTGAAATTTATCAGGCCGCGTTGCAGTTTCTACCGCTGTATTGTTAAGTAGGCCTCAGAGCATGGAGTCGGGTCCATACGCTGTAGAAGCATCTTGCGCACTGCGTGGTGGCTGAGTGTTTCGACGGTCGGAGCATGTGAAACCGTGTGCAGAGTAGTGGAGCTGCCTGGGATGCAGGCACGGACTTCCATTGCGCTGCCATGGTACGTACCTCTTCGTCCTTCCCAGCAAGCAAAGAGGAGGGCAGGAATGAACACATCGGACAACGCAGGCTGAATCTTAGTGGATCGTAGGACAAGCCTACTCTCACACTTACAATACCTGGTTGCGCCAAAGTCGTCTGCAATGGATGTAGCGCTCCAGATGTAGGAAA